TCACCGTAGCGTCGAGGTCTGTATTCAGTAAACCAGCGATCCGCTCTATCAAGCCACGGACATCCGTCTCCATATTGGTCAAACCGAGGCGTTCTAGGATGACGGAAACTTCGCGGAGAATTTCGGCCTGTGCTCCCGATCGGTTGCGAATGGGTCTCAAACCGCCTATAAGGTCTGCAGTTTCTGTATTTTGATGACAGTTTACAGCGTAGAGCTGCTTGGAAGTGATCTCTGCGAATATCTGGCAAACTGAAGTTTTGCCTGAGCCTGTCTCTCCAACCAGGAGTACAGGCTCATTAAAACGCAAAGCCCGAGCAACCAGCACAAACAGGCGCCGCATTGCTGCTGTCCAGACTATTTGAGACTTTGAGGGAATAGGACAGTCCACAAAATGGTCCATCCCATCCCGAAAGTTGTACATCTCCTTCTCGTCGATTCGAACCTTCATGACAGATTCGATTACTTCTTTCACCACAACTTTGTCGTCGTCTCTGCGTGCACGTTCGGCTAACAGCATGTATCCATTCTCAGCCAACTCCTGATACCCTATAGCGTCTCTCCCTGCCCACCGGAAGAGGTCCCGCAGGGTTGCAAATCCCTGCTTGCTCTCAAAAACACGGCCAGATTGGCGACGCTTCTGAAGTTCTCGAAATACACTAACGATCCGTTGACTGTACGACGGTGCGATTCGACATCTTTGGCATAGAATGGTTTCCAACTCTACTTGTGGAACGTCCTCAAAATGAACTTCCAGGAAGCGGTTGCGAAATGCACGTGACAAAACCTTCCTTCCGGCATATACCCCAGGGGGATTTTGGGTGGCGAAAAGCATGAAGTGTGGGTGGGGGCGAATTACCTCTTGAGTTTCGGGTATAATGAGTTCCCGATTATCGTCTAGCAAGCGATTCAAAGCTTCCAAAACGTCAGTAGGCGCCAAGTTAAGTTCATCAAGGACTATCCAATCTCCATTGCGCAGAGCACGGACAAGTAGGCCATCCTTGAAAACAAGCTTTCCAGTATTTGGATCGGAGACGTAGGAACCTAGGTATTCTTGAATATCCGTGTGATCATGATTGTTTATACGAATGAATCGATGGCCTGTCCTTCTCGCCAGATACTCGATCGAACTCGTTTTCCCACTTGATGTCGGACCTTCGATCAACACGGGAAATCGCCTAGTGATGATAATCCTAGCTAAATCTACGAGTTTCTTCTCGACAGAAGGCGTGATAATGTAGTCGTCGAAGGGATCAATGGTCAGTCCACCTTTTTCCAGGTAGAATGGGCCAAATTTAACGAAATCTTCTGGGGGGCGCGTTTTCGGAACAGATGGCTCCTTCGACAGCAACGATCGTGGATTACGCACACCAGCGAGTACGTGTTTCTGTGCCAAATTAGTTACAATTTCCGAGCTGGGCTGGTCAAGCACCATGGTAAAAGCCATCAAACATCCTTCCCACAACGCTCTGCGCAAGCTATATGCGCTGGCTATATCAGCTGCGAAAGTCAAAGCACGTGCAAGAGTGCGCATGCTGTAATGGGGTCTGTGGTTTGACCCATCGGCAATTTGACGATCCTCTGCGAGCTTCTTCACAGCAGAATAGAATTCAGCGACGTTCATGATGGCAGCCTTATCGCCCACTGCACTTGGACCTATGTACTGTGCAACAATACTCAACAGGGTTTCACGATCAGCATCAGGTGGAGGAACGTCGATCTCCGTGAAGCGTGATCGAATGTTTGGAGGAAGATCCTTTTTGCCAACATCTGTAGCTGGATTCATACAGGCGAAAAGTCGAAAATCGGGATGCCGAGGGACGGGTTCCAGAGAGCCTTGTTCAGTTAGAGTGATGGAGGCCGTTGGTCCACGAAGAAGTCCGGTTATACATTCTAAAGTTTCGGGACTAGCGAGATTGATTTCATCCAGTAGAATCCTACCCCGAAGTCACCGACCGTCAATTACATGACACACATAAACTCAAAAAATTGTCTTACCAATCACCGGACCGTAGAGCCCTCACTAAGGGCCCCTCAACAAAATCAAATGCAAATTTACCTTTGCCTTGTGTATGCTGAACTTCAAACTCTTCTACATCCTCCTGAAATGCGGACCAAGCGACCTCTGATTCCTGAAGAGACGTTGCCTCTACCTTGCGCCTTTTGCGTGGAGCATCTGCATCTACATTCTTATGAACATCATCGCTGTAATAAACCCCTCATTAGCCATCTTGCCCTTTTAATTATGTGAATGAAACCTACGCAGCATTTTCATTTTGTCTGGCATGTATTCTGTCTCTTGCTAGTCTGACAGATTCTTTCCAAAGTCCTACCACCCTCTTCCATTTGGCATCAGCCACGGCCTTCCGAACAGTGTCTGAGAACTTGGCGTTCTTTTTCCAGCTGAATGTTCGACCAAAGAGTTCTAAGAAACGTTCTTGTAAGATAGCCCCAGGTATTCTTGCATCGATAGGTTTGAATCCACCCAATAGGTCTGAAGACTCAGTTTGGTGAGACAAGTTAAGAGAGATGAGTGGACGACGCAAGAGAGAGGCAAGATGGGTCACAACACTTGTTTTTCCTGTACCTGTCTCTCCTGTTAGAAGGACAGGTTCTGCCAGTGATACAGCTGTGGCAATGCGAGACAGCAAACACACAGCTGGCTTATGCATAGCAAAAGGTCTCTCCAAAGCAGGCATAATGGATGCTCTAGTAGACCTTGCTAGCAAGCGCGTTCGCCCTACGCGAACAGAAACCGATTGGCCATTTACATCTTTCTCAACTTCAAAGTCAGGTGTTCGACCAGTAAGGACCCAGCGACGCCGATCAGAATCAAGTCCAAGATGCTCAGCAACAACATCAGCCATGCGATCACAGTGTGCACGGGCTGATGCTGTCAAAGTCCCGGCACCGAAAAACACGTCGCGCGCTTCAAGATAGATATCCTCTCGGATTGTCGGATTAGGAAAGACAGAAGTTAGTATAGCGGGGCCTCCCGGAGTGAATTCGATGTCCATGGGCTGGTGGTTTGGTGGTAGGAGGGTCTCAATGCGATGACAAAATTTTTCTAGCTCACGCAAGCCCACAGAACGGACAGATGCCGTCGAACCTAGGGACCTAACAGATCCCCACAGTTCAATTAATGCCTGTGCAGTAGATCCAGCCAACTTGGGAAATTGGGCATCAATTATCGCCTTCACCTCGGTGGCGGTAGGCGAAGAAACATTAATTTCGTGGAATTTATGTGCACCAAAAAATGAGGGGCTCGGGAAACTGTCGTTTCTGGAGGACATGACCGATCGGGTGGCAAATATAGCAAAACCTTCTTCTGCTTCTACTCGTCCACGATGAGGCACCTCCATTGCTGCGCGACACCCAATCCAATTCCCGAGACCAAGTGATTCCACCAAGGGCTTGATAAGACCTAGCACTTCACTACTGCCTCGGTCTATATCCTCAAACACGACCCATCTTCCTTCCTTCATCGCGCGAACTAGAATACCATCTTTCCATTCGAAGGTTCCAAGCTGAGTGGGTGACGACACGTAAGAGCCGAGGAGAGAACGAGGATCAAGGGAGGTATCAGCCAAGTGCACGGTCACTATCTTGTTTTTCGTACTAGGATATAACGCAGACGCGAGGTAAGATAGGAATAGCGACTTTCCGGAGGATGGGGCGGAAGTTAACAAAATAGGAAGACATGATGAAATATGCAGTGCAATTACGCGTAAAGATTCAATGGCCGAAGGCGTAGCAACCACAGTTGGGGATACTTCGGATGGAACTGAAGACCTGAGGAGAAATACACCATGTATATTCGCCGTAGAACGACTGAAGTGACCCGTATTAGCGAAAGCAAATTGACATACACATTACCTTACCTCAAGTCAGAATCAAGTAAGGGTTGGCATATATCGCCATCTTCGTATGTGTAAAAGTTTTGGTCGTCTTCTATGAGGGCATTTCTAGCATCTATAATCCTCTTGGTCTCCAATGTCGGCAACAACCAACCATCGAGTTCTTTTACAATTCCGTCAGTGTTCTGTTCATATGTAATGGGGCAATCGACGCCACAAATCTCCCCCAATACACAAGTTTCAATTTTCTCTCTCTCTGCCTCACCCATACCTGACTGCAGCGAGTAACACCGGATGGCAAGCCAACGTACACCTGTATCGGGGTGAGGCGTCCAGATAAGAGCTGACAAAGGGGATAATGACCAAATCCGATGATGAGGTAGCAAGCGATTTGCCTGCAAAAGTCGATAATATGCGAGTAATACTCTGTGTAAGCGAGCACTGTCAAGAGTGCCAGGGGCCAGTGAGGCCATAACAAAATCCAATGGTCCATTCTCAAAAAATGGTTTTCGCAGAAATACTGAAAATACACTGCGAAAAAATGGAACTTCAGTCCAGTAAAAGGGGAGCAAAAATAGTAATGGGACGTACGGGAAGATCTCTTCGTGAGGTTCTATGAGCAGACAGAGAGCAGCAAACCTATTTTCCAAATCATCGTCGTCATGCAACCATCTGACGCAAAGATCAAGGAGGAGTGGTCTGAAGGTTTTTGCAACAAGCAAAGTAAGAGCAGGGACAGCCAGAAGGCGAGAAAGCGTAGACAAGAGATCTTTTGGAGACGAAGCTTGTATAACATTTTGTGCATAGATTGATTCTGCGGGGATACAACAAAGCAATGCTCGGGTTTGCTTTGCGAGATTTATCGTAAGTGGATCATGGACGGTATTGGTGAAAGCCATGTCGTAGATTTACTCTGAGTTTGGGCACTCGAGTAGATTAGAAAATTGAGGTGCAAGGCCTCGGAGCCTTTACAAAAAGTTTACGAACAGGAGGATCCAGCATTTTGGCGTAAGGCATGCGTGGGAATATAGTTCCCAAAGAGGACTACACCTTGACACTCGATCAGATTGTCTGGTTATCAATTTTCAGTAGGACCTTGCAATTGCAGCTATCTTCTCTTAGAACCATTACTTACACCACTGAGCTATGGCCACTGCATCCACAATCTTATCTCTCCATGGCAAGGGGCTCAAGCTAGATACTCGCGCAGATATCGAACCATGGATAAAGGACGTAGATCCTGCAGTTATTGAAGGGATTCATCTAGGTGGAAACACAATTGGTGTCGACGCGTCTAAAGCTCTTGCAGAATTTCTCGAAAAGACCTCTGTCCTTAAGGTGAGTGTCTCGCGATCTAGATAACATTAGTTTGCTAATGGCCGGGTAACGCGACCAGGTCGCGGACTTTGCTGATATCTTTACCGGTCGTCTGATCTCAGAAATACCCCTCGCATTGTCTGCGATCTGCGATGCTCTCAAAGACAAGACATCGTTGGTAGAAATCAACCTTAGCGATAATGCTTTTGGAGGTCGATCTGTCGACCCCATGGTCCCATTCCTCACCCACAACCACAGCTTCCAAATCTTACGACTTACCAACAATGGACTCGGCCCTGCTGGAGGAGCTGTCATTGCGGACGCGTTACACGAGTCTGCGAGACTGAGTAAAGCAGAAGGGAAAACATCGAAGTTGCACACTGTTATCTGTGGACGGAATCGTCTGGAAAATGGCTCAGCGACAGCCTGGGCGGAAGCATTCGCTGCACATGGCACTTTGACAGATGTACGGATGCCGCAGAATGGTATCAGGATGGAGGGGATGACAGCTCTTGCTAATGGCTTATCCAAGTGTCCTGCTTTGCAACATATCGATTTTCAAGATAATACATTCACCGAAGACGGCTCGGAGATGGGTGTTAAAGCTTGGGCCGATGCATTGTCCTCATGGCCAGATCTTACAACTCTCAACCTCTCTGATTGCGTGCTCTCGAACGAAGGCGAAATACCTCTTCTGTTGAAAGCTCTTACCACTGGTTCCAATATAAAACTACAGTCTCTGCAGCTCCAGAACAATAACCTGGAGGCGCAAACGTTTGCGTTACTCGCCGATGCCATCTCTACCCATTTATCCAGCATCAAAACTCTGGAGTTGCAATGGAATGACGCGGAAGAGGACGATGAAAATCTTGATACAATAGCCGATACCCTAAAGCAACGAGGAGGGAAATTATTTATATCCGACGAGGACGAAGAGGATGAGGAGGCCGCAAAAGAGGAAGAAGAGGAAGAAAAAGAGGCAGACGTTACAGCGCCTTCAAAATCGGATGTCATCCCAAGTGCAGCAGATAAGGCAGCAGACGCTCTCGCGGACCTTTTGAATAAAGTTAGCATCGGTTGAAAGGCCATTTTTATAAGGAGAATTCTTGGGTGACTTGGGTGAAGAGTGTTGTACATTTGTACATTTATGATGTTGTACCAAGAAATTACATATACCTATAAGCGTATACCTTACCTACATACACGCGAATTTCTTTTTGCAGGGGTTTATCATTTGTCGCCATTGAATATTACCATGTTACAAAATACATGTTTGAAGTGTTCTACCGTACCTGCAAGTTGCAAACGATCCACTTCCCTTCAGCACCCTCTTTTGGTTTTACATGACCATCTTTATACCTGCCCTTCATCCACTCCTCTAAAGTGATTTCAGTATCCCTAGGCAATGTCGGTGGTAGTGCTAAGGATTTGGACAGCCATTCGCCCCCTTCCTTGTGTAAGGACAGCTCTCGATAAGAACTGCGAATCATTGTCCATGTCTTGTCACGAGCTCTCTTGCGAAGATGATCGACGAGTGTCAACAGGGCTAGATCAGGCATACCACTGCCAACAGGATCGGATGTAAGTCCTGTTTTGTTGCTTAGAGGGCGATCGAGAAACTGGGACAAGACAGATGAGCTTGTTAATCCCTCGAACCTGACATAGTTTAGCGACCGTAGACTCTGAGCTAGTGAGGTTATCCAGGTATGTGCATCAGAGGGTCGTTCAAGAAAATTTGGGACAAGGCGAACTAGACACTGATTAAAATGGCGCTGTGATGGATAGGAAACAACAAGACTATGCAAGAGAGAGATTAATGTCACCGACTGGCGGTGTTGATGCGGGGGACGGGAAGAGAGGTATAAGTCTGGAACTAGATGCGAGATAACTGCGGTCGTCTGTATGGGCGAAGCAAATATGACTGATAAGAATAACGACGTCTCGTAGGCTATTTATAAGACTCCATCAGTGGAGCAAGGAGGAAACATCTCTGGGGCTTACCTTCCAACGCAAAACGATCGGTTCGCTTTGAGGAAAATATACCTTCTCTCAGCTTGCCTAGAATCATGCTGTGAAAAACACCATCTCTAGTAGCTCCATTAATGCTCACGAAATAATATCAATATATTTTCCTCGCTGCTTTTGCGAAGTCGTGAACGATTGACATCCTGTTTAGCTTTTCCGCTATCGTTGACATACTCGGTCCAAAACGCGCCTAGCTAATGGATTACAACAGAATACGTTAGAATATGTCTTCTTCGATCCATGCTTGAAAGCGACCTTCTCATCGATGAATTGTCTATATTCTTCTTGTACTTTGAAGTTTTTTAGACTGTATGCTGAGCTTCCTTAGGGGACCAGCCAGGATATCAACATCAGCGCACTTACGCATTTCCATCTTTCTCTAAGCCGCTACTTCGACTAACTGAAGCGATGTATTCCATAGGCCGCGTATTTCCTTTGCGCCATGTATCGCTACTTGCCAATCCAGCCCCTCGACCCCTTCCACGTCCTCGAGGTTTTGCCCCTCGCGAAGGTTGCGCAGATGAACCATATGGACGAGACATATTGCGATTCCACCGATATGCAAATGGTTTTAAGTGATGGTTATAATAGATGCAGAGATTTTTTGCTAGGATACTATTTGAGCAGCGGGAGGTTACAATTGAACGCTCGGTGAGCAGGATCGAACTCGGAGCTATTTCGGAGTTTCTGGAACCTGTGCGCGATAAGATTAGATAACGAATTTAGCTCACAGGCGCTTGGAACGCTTGCCCTTCACCTTGAAATTATAGAAAGATAGAGCGTATCTCAATAAGAGATGGAACGAAACGGGACCGATCTTCCAGATAATACCCCATCGCATAGCGACATTCCTCTCCGCTCTGGACCACCAACGAAAGAGGAACTGCTATATCATTATCCCGCAAAGTTCACCTGGCATCAGCTGAAGACTTTTGTGAATTCTGGGTAGGTTTCTGGATCTATGACTTCTCTGGAATTTGTTGTAACTCTTTGCGAAGGGATCTCGGCCTTCTAAAACGGGACAAATCCCTACAAAAAAGATACAATTTATGGGTGAAGGGCATCAAAGAACAGTATGGTTCCGTGGGTGGGTTATTTCTTGTATATATGTTCTGAAGAACACCATAGTATTCAACGGGAAAATTCAACCTGAATAGTTGACTACCTTCTTAACCATCGGCTGCAATGGGGCAAACCAGACACGCTCTCACTCCTTCAGTCAGTACTGCCAGTGGACAAGCAAGCTATTGGACAAATGATACTAGTAGCAGAAGCACAGAGCGCCTCGTCGAAAAATATACAATCACTCCCCACTTTACCGAAAGATGCTCCAGAGTACTTCCATGCTGGTATACCCTTTGATTCCGAACTTATCAGCATCATCCAAAACGACTGGCCATATTCAGGTAGTATTCTGTCCTTGTAAATCGTGCATACTTTCTGATCAAGAATGTGTTAACAGTACCTCCAGAGATCGAACATACCTTAGTTTGGACTCGTGTGCCCATTTTTCATCCAAAATTTGTATCCGATTCTATAGATGCACGTATCCAGCAGGATGGCTTGTGGGGCTTCACTGGCTCCATCGATCCTCCTCCCTCGCCATCTACACTGCCGCAATGCCTCCCGGCTCTGACAGATTGGGGAGTCACAATCGACAAATTGGTGACGTCGCCGAGAGGGAGCGACGAAGAGGAAGAGAAGGTCAAGCGAGCTGGCTTAGAAGTGAATAATTTCATAAAACGGAGGTGGATCGAGGGAGAGTGGGAGACAGCCTGGTTTGTTAATCCTCCGGTAAGTCTTTCATCGGTTCTTTATCATTCTCTTCGAATAATGAAGGGTCCATCAGAGGCTTCAAAGTGTTCCTGGATTAGCCCATATCCATGTATTTGCAAGGAAAAAATCACCTGAAGAAGTTAAGAAATGGGTGTCTGATTGAAGCAAGGTCCATTTCTAGATTGTAGGATGAAAAGAAAAAGAAGTGATCTCCACAACATTTCCTTAGAGTTAGCAGGCTGATAGGATTACTAAATTAAATGTTACAATGCTTTCGCATCATTGAATATGCTGTATTTAAACTTGAGAGCTTTTTCGAATCAACTGCAGCTTATCAACGGCAATTCTAATAATATCCCGCCATTCTGTCATAGCACCAAGGCCTGTGTGTGCGCATGAGATTTGAATTGCTAAGAAGCTGTCTGGTAAGGAGACATACCAATATCTCCGCATGCTAATCCTTTACCTATCGGTCCCACGACTTTATAGCGCACTATATCGCGGATGATACGAACGTGCTCTGCAGTGAGTGGATGTTCGTACATAAGAGTGTTCATAGCTGGAAATATGTACGTGGGAGTTGTTGGAGCCAGAGCCCGTAGAAGAGATGTCTAGAGTAGACGAATAAGCTCATACTTGTATTACTTTAGAAGAAGACAAATACGTACAACGAGGTTATCACATGTGCCGTGTGCGATTTTCGACAGCGTATTGGCTGAGCACGGTGCGACCAGCACAAGATCAGCCCATCGTCTGAGTTCAATGTGTAAGATAGGATCTCCAATTTTGTAGTCATCCTGAAAGAGAAAGTCAGGTATGTAGCTCGCGGGTCTGGGCGGAAGGAAAGAAACGAACCGACCACTCATCCTCGTCAGTCCATACCCTCGAGCCTGCCTCGATTACATCTGCAGCTTTAAAGAATGAAAGTGACTTCGTTGTCGAGACAACCTCAACCTTTACGTTTGCATACTACATAATCCCTCATGAGAAGCTGAAGAGACGGAGCTCAGCGGTTACGACGAACTTGTAGAAGTTCTGAGACAATGAGGGGAGCTTTGATTGATGCTACACTCCCTGTTGTGATGAGCAATATATGGGAATGATCCGGGATCCTTTCTTCTTCAGATATAAAACTCCTCCTATCCATGTTGTAGAATACTGGTAACAGTACTGAATAACACTCAAATGATGCAATGGTAGAATGATGGTGATGACGACAAGGCTGTTTGATTCTAAGGCCTTTGAGCAATAGATACAAATATTAGCAAATAATTCGCCTTTAATGGCATATAGCCGAGTCCTTGGTTGAGCTGACTGACTTTATGCTGAAGACAAAATTTAACGAACATAGACAGTGGTATCATTATACACAGTACAAAAAAAATCATCCGATACAGTCGCAGACTGATGTTAAGTCATCCAATACCCAAGCATCGCAAATATCAGCGTCATAATCAATGTCAGAAAGAATCTTTATCCTTCCAAGATTCCTACCTCCTTCCACTTCTCCCATAACATTCCAGCACCTACCGGAGCATTTGCTGCACCCTTCACATCTTTGATATCCAAAAGTTCATATTCACGCCCGAATGCTAAGAAGTGGGCGAATAGTGAATTGAAATGCGGCTCAGATCGGAGATGAAGAATCTGGGGATAGTGCGCGTGGTATATGTGTGCAAAGACGCGTAAAAGCTGACGGTATACATGCTTGACAGTCGAGGGGAACGATTGTGGGAAATCGTGGCCTATAAGAAATAATCAGTCAATGGTCATCTCGTAAACACACGCGTTTCAATGTAGACTCACCAGACTTTGTTGGGAAAACATTCTCGTCGTCTAACAAGTTCTGCACCCAGGTCATGACGTAATCTATGTAGGTTGGCGCCGGTAAATGAACACTTTTACGATCTTGGTTGATCCACGTGTAATTAAGTCTACACAAACAGAAACACGATTAATCAACAAAGCAAAGCCGACGAGGAGATAAAGACTTACGCAGAACCAGCAGACATCGTCGGGCAAGACTGCTGAGTGCAACATTCCGCAATAACCCCGTAAAATTCGTTCAAATTTGTGTAAAAATCGAATACTAAGACCAAGCACGACGTAGATAATGTATTTAGATAGAGCACTGATTCAGCTTGAGGGTACACACCGTTCACAGCAACCCACTCCATAATATCCACATACTTCGGTAGAACTACGATTGTCTTGAAATTGCCTTTAACCAAAGCTGCTTCAACGAAAGGACTGCAGAGATACAAAGGCTTTGGCGATGACGTGACCGGAGATGAAGGCACTGCAGGAGGAGGCATGTCTGCTGCGGCGAATGTTGAAGAGGTTGGGGTAGGAGATCGCTTTGGGCCGCGAGGTGCCCTGGTCATTGACCGCCTATATGACAACTCGTGAACAACATGGTTAAAATTGGCCGATAATAGGAAAAAGTACCCTATAGAGTTGAAGAAAGACATTTTGGATCCTAACAAACAGATATGTGAGAGAGAACGTGAGCGGTATGTGGACTGTTAGGGAATATGTCGAATGGAAGAAAAAAGTGAAGAGAAGATAATTGAAAAATTGGGTGCAAAAACAAGTTACCTTGCTTGACAAGGCAACGAAAGTGATCAGCGAAACCAGGTCTTTGAATTACCGGCATATTCCGTTACGCGTGCCATGTTTGCTTTCTATGGCTAATGGATATCAAACTCAGCGACGACTATGGTAAGTGCACTAGATAGCACAATACAACACGAAAACAGCGTCAGCCCCGGGGTTCAAACGTTCAAGGCTTCACTTTATACACCGCTAATCCGGTCCAACCTCTCCGAAAGGGTAAACGAGCACAACCTCTCGCAAAGGTCTGCGGAGCTATTTGTAAGACATGATTCGTCGACATATGACCTACAACAGTAAAATAGGTATTAATAATGCATCCCACACAGTAGTACAGAAGGGTTGCATAAGGCCTTTGTGTAGTGATCCAAGTATGTTGACAGGCATAGTTGGTCCATTTGTTTTACTGATACGGTATCCACAATGTTATATTAACACCTTGTGAATGTCTCAGTAGTGTCTTGTGGGCCTCTGTAGTGACACACAAAAAAGCACTTGGACAGATGTCCTGACAGCTTCATCATAATTGATAATTTGTACTACAGCATGCCACAGTATTATTGTACCATACGACAGAAAATAAATGAATGCGTGAACAAATGGATATACTAGGAAAGCAATTCTAGCCTAGTGAGAGCGGTCTCCATCAGACCAGGTGGAATAAGTGCTTTCTTTGGTCGGTGCAGTAAGATCTTGTTGTTTTTGAATACTTGCCCATAGCTAGAACAAAGTACAAATAGTGCAACATGTCATCAGTGGAATTGCGAATTGCGACAGCAAAGACAATCAACCTGCCATTGGGAAAGAAAATTGGTGAGGTGCAAGTTCTGGCTGGGTAGCGAAGAAAATAATTATAAGACAATTAAACTCAGACTTATTAAGCAAGCCATTTAAGCTCCGTGTCTCCGCAAACACAATAGAGCTGGACAAAGCTGTGGTCTATCTAGGTCTTCGTCCTTTTGTGTACTTGCCTTGTCCTCATTACAGATAATGTACTATGAATTTTTTGATAAGTTTGTAAATCTATTAGGACATGAGATGTGCTTGAATTGTGAAATGGTTTGATTGCTTTCCAGAATAGAATTACATTGTAGTCATACTCATAGTGAAGCTCTTATGGATGACCATGCATGGTCTGTACAATGATGAAAAAACATCTATAATAAACATTGAAGAGATGCCACTGGCTCAGCCATAAAAAAAATCAATTCTATAAATATCTTAGAAACGGCTACTCTATACTTCCGATACCACCCGGATACCTTTGGTAGACCTTGGAATTTTTGCTATCCATAAATGACTTTGACACAACATTGTACTAAGCTAGGCTTGAATTGTTTGGTAAACCTTTCACCAAGCGCTAATCAGGCTTATTACTGATATATGACCAACGTTTTTCGTCAAACATGACTGAAGCGTGAGTCAAATTTAGCGGTGTAGAGTTGTGCTTTACCTTCGTCATGCCTCGAAATAGTCACACCTTCCAAAATATAAAATAATACAAGTACTGTCATCATATTCCAATGATAACCAAGGCAAAAAATAACATCTATCTGGTGCGATGTTGCCAAGTATATCCGAATAAGTCTTTATTAATGACGACTCACGAGGATACAGGGAAACAGATTATCAAAATACCACTGTTATGTGTGTTCAGGCTGGAGGGGCATCCTGAAAGGGAAATTGTTAATGAGGTAATTGTGTGGCGTGAGACTTACAATGGCGGACTTTTGAGGGCACAATGCATTCATTGCAGGTCGCCACAAGCGTGTTCTGACCATCGAGCTCATCGTTGTCCGCGTTGAGCTCATCTCTTTTCTCACTCTTTTCTCAACATTGAGCACATCATATATGGTGGGGACAAGACGAAAAAGCAAAGCAGCGGCTGCTGCAGCTGCAGACCTCGAACATGACGGTTCTTCACAAGCTACAGACGAGCATCTCTCCAATGTCCCCTTGAACGTGCCTATACCTGTCGACGTCGACGCAGAAACACTCGCAAGCCTCCTACCAGATACTTCAATAACATCTCCAACACCAGAAAATATAGTTTCTTTATACAGATTGCTGCTCGCACAGGTTTCCGAGGCAGATGCCACTCAACGGCAATTGGAAGAGGCGAAGGGAGAAATTGACCGTAAAGACGTAGAACTCGACCAAGCTCTGCAGGACCGTGAAAGTCAAACAAGAGAATACGAAAGTTCCCTCGAGATTGTCCACAACCAGTTAAATGATGCTAAGCGGGAGCGTGAGCAACTTGGTGAGTGTCGTTACATGAGGCAAAAGCCATTTTATAACCTTTATCTTTCAGCCTCTTCGAAGGCCGAACTAGAAGCACAGTTATCGTCCGTTTCAAATTCTCAGTCATCAACGTCTGTTGAAGTTGTGAACCTTAAGCACCGTGTTGAGGATGCTGAGCGGGAAAAGCGAGATCTTATGGGCGTTATAAGTAGGCTGAAGGAGGATAGTAGTCAGCGGGAAGGTGATATTTTCCAGGTTGAATGTCTGCATCTGATGGGGTCTGACACACCTTTGTCAAACAATTGTCTAATATCTAGAGGAGATACAGACTCTACGCGCTAACCTCAAGCAAGCGCGTCAAGATCATCAAAGTCTAGAAACACAAGCTAGAGAACTTCGTTCCTCCGAGACTTCTAACAAGGCAAGTATTACTATCATTTGTAAGGGAGCTTCAAATGACCAAAATTATCGCAGTTCAAGGTCGATTCTCTTACGCAACAACTTCAACTGTCTCAAACAGAAACAGAGCGAGCTACTAAAGAACTGAACTCGAAGGTCGAGGAATTTGCCAAGTACCGCCGCTCAAAACATTCTGAAATATCCCACCTACAAGCATCATATGACTCCTTGGTTCAAACTCGCGAGTCCACAGAAAGCTCTCACAAAGCGTTACAATCTGCCCACACAACGCAGTCTCATCAATTAACTCAAGCTCTGGCACGAGTGCAAGATCTATCAGGTCAGCTAGCCGAGCAAGAAGCGGCTTTCTCGAGCGAGGCATCTGGGTTGAAAAGATTGGTCACTGTCATGGAGGATCGAGAGCAACAAACGAAAGGTATAGTCGAGAACATTGAAAAAGAATGGGCTGCTGTAGGGGAAAGGACAGAAAAAAGAGAAGCGGCTTTGAGGTCTGAAGCAGAAAGGGAGAGACGTGCCAGAGAGGAGACAGAGAAACGAGTTGAGCAGCTCGAAACAGTCTTGGACCGGGTTGGCCGTGGCGAATTACCAATACCAGGACGCGGAACTCCAGTGCCTGGGACGCCTGGTACTCCTATGAGAACTCCAGGCAATATCGATCATCTTTCGGATGGGATGCTTGGCCTTAGCCCAACTGTTGCGATGGTTAGCAAGGCTCAGAGGGGTGGCAAGACTTTCACGGATGTTTATGCAGATTACGTTCGCTTGCAGGATGAATTTGCAAAGAAATCTGCAGAGTATGATCATATGGATAGAACACTTTCGGCCGTCCTAGCTCAAATTGAAGAACGGGTAAGACAATTCTCTGCGTTGCCATAAGGTTATTTAAATTAGTCCTTTTAGGCACCTATATTATCGCAGCAACGGGCTGAATACGAGCGCTTGCAGTCGGAGGCCGCTCAACTAGCCTCCCAGCTCTCTCAAGCACTGAGTGAACGTGATTCCCAAAGCTCCGTTGCTCAGGAGACCTCACAAAAGTTGAAGAGGAGCAACCAGGAAACGGAACTGCTTCAAAGGCAACTCGATGACCTTGGTCGGCAGGTTCAAGTGCTCTTGAAGGAATTGGGAAGGCAGCAAGATCCATCTATTCCGTCTGATGAAGTGCTCGACCAAATGCCACCGCCTGCTGAGAACATTGATGCCGTGATAACCAACAACCTAGTTCTTTTCCGCTCCATTGGTGAACTACAGGAACAGAATCAGAAGCTGTTGAAGATTGTTCGCGAGCTGGGCACGAAAATGGAAACTGAAGAGAAGGAATATCGCGAGGCCCTAGAACGTGAACAGAGCGAAGCAGTACGGGAAGCTCATGAAGCTATTCAAGATTTAGCTACGCAGCTGGAGAGGCAGAAGAAGAGTAGCGAGGTCACAATCCAAGCCTACATGAAGGAACGTGACGCGCTAAAGGCGATGCTCGCTAGGGCTGATCGACCATTCACAAACGGCTCAGCGGACAGTAATGCAGTATCATCTATGGCTGTATCTGGGGCTCCTTCATCGGACTTGGTCAAGGAATTAGAAGATACTCAAGCGCAGTTTGAATCATTCAAAACTGAGATGGGTACGGATTCAACGAGACTGAGAGAAGAACTGGTTGTTTCTCAGAGGGAAGTGGGGCAACTCAACACGGCTTTGGCAAAGGCTAACGCGAAGATAGAATATCTCAATGGTAGGCTGTCTCGACTTTTGAAAATAAAGACCACATGTTAATATGTATTTCCATCAGATCGACAGCGCATGAACCAGGAACAGTTGAATATGCAAAGCCGCGAGCTTGACAACTTCTCAAAGCGTAATCAACAGCTGTATGATCAATTCACTCGCATCGATATCGAATGCAACCGTGCCTCAGAAGACCTATTAGTGGAAAGGGGCCATGTCGAACAACTTCGTAATGAGTGTGCCAATCTTCGTGCAGAAAAGAAGATATGGGAGGTAAGGGATCCATTATGCAGCTTATTGTGTGTTTCTCACCATCCAATAGAGCGTTCAAGGTCGTCTAGTGGACGAAAACAAGAGTCTCGCCATTGAGCGTGCCCATCTATCCGATCTCATGTCAAATGTACAGAAGATGCACAACGATTTGGAACGATCTGGTGAAAATGATCGTCGCCGCCTTGAAAATCAGATACAGATGATGGAGAGCCAAACGTAAGCCATTGTATGGGATATCAGTGCATCCGTCTCTTACCGTGATTTTCATCGCAGACAAGATTTAAGAGGACAGTTATCGCAAGAAAGAGACAGTGTTCGCCACATATCTTTGCAGAAAGACATCGAACTGAAAGAGCTTCATTCGAGGCTGGACAAGAGTGTAAGTTCATTTATTTAGTGAACTGGATTTGTCCTTATGTGTACCCAGGTGGAAGAACTATCTAAGACTCGTGAGTCACTCGTTGGTGCAGAAACAAGTAGAAACCATCTTCAGGAGCGGGTCGATGAGTTGGCACGTCAACTCCAGGGCAATGCAGAGAAGCTCTCAGTTTATGAACGCAGGCCTGGTAGCGTGAATGGTCCATCTCAAACCTTGGATCAAGGAATTCCTCGTGAGCAGCAGCTAGAGCAAGAAGTTGCAGAATTGAGGTTTGTTCTACATACACGATATGCATATACATTGCTTGACATATCCATTATTAGATCTGCGTTAAAAGTGATGGAGGTTGATCTCACAGCTGCTCGTAGTCACATGCAGCAGTTCCAGGAGATAAGTCAGGCTAATGAGGCAGCATTGACTACGCTCAGTAGTACCCATGAGGAGTATAAGACTAACACAGAGGCTCAGTTGGCTAGGAACGAGGTCCGTGTTTTCTTCAAGAATCTGGATCTTAAGACCTGATTCTGAGCACATATCCACCTACAGCTCGAGTATACTGCTCTGCAGGACAAAGTCCACTCAGTAGAACGGGACCTGACACAATCTACGGATAAGATCAATGAACTACAGCGTAGTCTCGAAAGTGAACGAGCGGCCTGGGCAAATGACAAGAAGACATTGGAGGACACGATTGTCGATATCAGCACTTCTGAAAGGCACTCAGATAGTGATCGAACATCACGAGAAAATGAACTACGTCTACAGGAAGAACGCGCCATTGTGCGTTGCATTGTGTTTCGTCTATACGCCCAGAAGTAAGCTAATATTTATGTTAGGCCGCCGAAGACAGGTATTCTCGGGAGGTTCTTGCTCATGCAGAATCCATCAAAGCAATCGAGGCAATGAAGCAACAGCTCTCAACAGTGCAAGTTGCGGCAAGGGACAACCTTGCAGCTGCATCGACAGCGGAAGCGAAACTAGCTGCCTCGGAAGGTAGTTGGAAACAGCAAAAGGAGGCGCTTGATAAGGAAGTAGCAGACCTCAATACACGGTGAGTCCAGTCTCGCTACTTTTGAAGTAGTAACTCACAAAGCACATGATCATCAGTTGCAAAGATCTCGCCGCTCAGAACACGCTTCTTCACCAGCATCTGGAATCTGTGAGCTCGCAAGCTGCTCGAATTAAGCAAGCTGCCGACACTTCAGCGGCCCCCCACGGCGAGAACGAAATGACTGTAGATGCGGATACCAAACTTTCTGAGCTGCGATCAGTTGTAGCTTACTTGAGGAAAGAGAAAGAAATCGTCGATCTCCAACTCGAACTTTGTAAACAAGAGAATGTGCGATTGAAGGCACAAATCGATCATCTGTCGCAGAGTCTGGATGAGACGAGAGCTACCCTTTCGGAGGTAAAAGGCTCCTGATGTGTTTTCCTTTCTTTACTGAAACTTTATTTATCAGGAACGTGAACGCGCCGTCGAAGCAGCGTCTTCTGATGCTCAACATGCTGAACTCTTGGAGCGGATTAATCAGCTTAATATTTTGCGGGAGAGTAATGCGACGCTGCGCACAGATTGCGAGACTTATGCCAAGAGGGCTCGTGAGCTAGACACCAAACTCAAACAATTATCATCAGAATTTGAGCCAGCCAAAGAACAAGCACGTCTAGCACAAGCCGAACTACAAGCTCGCAATGCTCAGATCACACGTTTGGAGGACGAAAGCCGTAGGTGGCAAGAGCGCAACTCGCAACTCCTGAGCAAGGTGAGCATTTATAATACATATGCTTGTATAAACTCTCATGCCTCTATGCAGTATGATCGTATTGACCCCGCTGATGTCCAGTCTTTGAAAGAAGAGATCGAGACTCTTAAGTCGCAGAAGGCTGAGGCGGAACAAATGCTATCTGGGCGAGAAGCAGAGTTCGCTTCACAAACGCAAAGGGTGTGTACATCCTACACTGTGACATGGCTGGCCTTGCTAATGCAGCTTGATGCAAGACGGAGGCCCTCGAAGCCAACGTGCGCAAATTCAAGGAATCCCACGCAAGGAATGCAGAAGCCGTCAGACAACGTTTAGGACTGTTGAATAACGAGAAGTCACAACTAAATGCGACTGTCGCGGAACTCAGAGCTCAAGTTAAGACATTAACAACCGAACGAGATGCGATACAGAGTAGCGCTGCTCCTGTGCTTACCTCTGGTTCTGGAAATGATCTGACAGACCAAGTCGAGTCCCTACGCAAAGAGAAGAATAGTCTAGAGAAAGCATTGGCGGATGAAAAAGCAACGAAGAACCAGCCGCCTGTAGATCCAAATCCAGACCTTGTATCCACTATTGTACGCATTTTCCTCCTTCGTATTTGCCCTACTGATATATATTATATAGGCCGCTCTGCGTGAGGAGCGCGACAGACTTCTGGCAGAGAAGGAGACCTCTAGCAAAACTCCGGCCAGTTCTGTTGTTAACACCGAAGAGAGTAAAGGACAGTGGGAGAAAGAGAAAAATGAACTTGTCAAGGCTCGTGACGAGGCATTATCCCAGGCAAGGGTGAGCTGCCACTTTAGACTACGACTACTTATAACCCCTCACACTTATGTTGATCATTTCAAAAAAGGCTGCTGATGAACAAATAAAAAAGGCAACCGAGGAGAACAAAAACATACGTTTCTCAAATGTAAGATCCAGTCATAGTTTCGCGGTCAATCGCTGAATGAACTGTGCATCATATAGGAGAAGCTTCAGATAAGGATGCAGGACATCTCAAAAGCCCGAGCTGCAGAAAAAGAGCGTCTGGAAGCTGCGGTAACCGCTGCTGAAAAAGCCAAAAATGATCTACAGGCATCTGGATCAGGAGCCAACTCTGAAGATGCATCGAAGCGGCATGCAGACGAGCTAGAAGCTCTAAGATTACAGTTGAATAATCAATACGAGGCAGATCTCAAGATTGCGGTGGAGGCTGCGGTGGCTGCAGCTAAAGCAGAAAATGTTACTACTAGCGCTTCAAATAGTGGTGCTGACCAAAAGGCTGCTATAAATACCGCCATCGCCGCACACGACCAGCAGCTTCAGGCTAAGCATACGGAGGAAATTGCGGCAGCTGTTGAACGTGGACGAAGGGAGCAATCGGTTAAAGGAAAATTGAAAGATGCACAACTTGTTCGTGCTCAGACCAAGCTGAAGGAGTTGGAGGCACAAATTCTAGAATGGCGTAAAGCTGGAAAGATACCCGAGCCATCGGCTGTTCCTACCACACCGACTGCAGCTTCGGGATCCACTGCACCTCCTACCACTGCTACAGTAAAGGCACCTGCACCTTCCACTCAGCCATCATCTGTTCCTGCAGCCAATGCTGCACGGAGGCAACCAACCAGTGGAGCCGTTCACCTAGGTCCTTCAGCTACTGGTGGTGTCGCTACTCGTGGTAGAGGAAGTGCGAGAGGCGCACGTGGCGGAGCACAACGTGCCCTAGCTATTCGGGGCGCTGCGCCAGCTACGGGACAAGGAGAGGAGGGCGCCTCGTCTGTGGCCGCTGCGCCAGCCGCAGGCGTATCTATCGTTGGTGCTGCGAGTAAACGCAGCCGGGAAGAAGGAGAACCAGACGACTCACTCGCGAAACGCCTTAAGCCTGCCCCAGAAGCTCCTGGGACCAGTAAACCTGTGTCCATTAGACGACCCCCAGCCGATTCATAGTACAGGACGATATCAAACTTTCTGCTTTTTGACCTAATGATATGTTGCATGTTGTATCCTTAATACGCATATTTTCTGTTTTCACATATGATCCTGTATATGCTACCTCAGTAGTACCTTATCTTGGGCCTTGTTGTTTTCAAAGGTTCTCCACGAATTTGATCATTCTCGGATGAACATACAAGACCATATATCTTGATCAGATCAATTGATAGCATTGCAAAATCAATGACAAATGTAAAGAGGTAAGGAAAATAATCGAAGATGTAGTGTGTAAACAATAAATCAGACGTGGATGATGTGCGTTGCGAAATCATATAGAAAAGCGTCGTGAGGGTATTGGAAGAAGACAAAGTGAGATAGTCAGTTATGAAGGAGGCAACAACGATAGCAATATATAGCACGAACAACGAAAGTCGACTGACGAGTAGAAAATGCGGATATTCCAGGGTGATGGAAAATATAGCAACACAAAGAAAGATGTATGGATCAACATAGACAATGAAAGCATTAGAACGAGAACGAAAAGAGTGCCAGTCGTAAATGAGAGAACCATGTCCAACTGTGGAGTCGTTAAAAGAAGGTGCGACGAAAAATCATCCAGAGAATTGACGAAAAAGAATATAAAAAGAACAAGTTGTAATCAATATTCGATCTTCAAGCAGCAACCAGCGTGCGTGACAGCCTTCTCGAGACAGTCTTACCAGGGACCATAGCCTTGATAGCACGACGCATTAGTGTGACGGTGTTCTCCTTGTTAATCTCCCTGATCTCTCTTTCTGCACGAAGTTCAGGTGTAGTCGCAACATAACCAAACTCATCTACCGATGACGATCGCCACACATCTTCGCTTGACACAGGAGGCGGCATTGCTCGTCTTGCAGAGCTAAAAACGCGGAAATTACGATTGGCATGGGGGCCAGCGAGTTTGGGTTCCGGGGCTCGAGTCGCAACATGTTGGATAGAGCGTCTATTGTCAGACTGGTATCCGCGGCCGACACGCTTGACACCAGTAGCCGCCATCAAAAATCTGTCGTACACTCCCTCCACGCGCTGCTTATTGGGCGTATCCAATACTGGAATTTCAATCAAAGGCTTTCGTTGGGGATATGGCTCAACATGATATGGAGAGGAGGTGAGGTCGTCAAACTGCAGAATAGATTGATCTCGGGAAGTCGTGACTGGCGTGCTAGGAATGTCGTCTGTGAAGCTTGGAGACACAGGGGACGCTACAAACAAGTTTCTGTGCAGGACCGATGATAGACGTGGAGAAGGCGCTGGGATTGGTTCTGCAAAAGATATGATAGGTCAGGTCAAGATGCTACACCGATTCAACGACATATTCCACTTACCACGCGAGAGCTCATATTCCAGCGTTGAGATAGGTTGAATTCTGCCGAATAAATTCCCCGAAGACTTGGATTTCCCTCGCCTTCTTGATGGCGAGCTATTTAAATCGAGGTCATCGTCATCGTCGCGTTTTGTGCCTAGCGTCATGCTTTCACGGTGCCTATCTTCTGTCTGAGGGGATCGCGATAGGATGGTTGCACGTCGCTGCAGACGTGGTGGGGTTTGCATGATCACATTAATCGTCGGGATCGTAGGAACCAAAGATGGTGCATGACTCAGTTCCTCAGAAGGAATACCAGGAAGAGTGGATGCGCGATCAACTCCCATGCGCGCATACACAAAACCTAATTCAGACGCGTTCGCACCACTTTTTTCACTCGTGGCGAGGTATGCCGAAAATGATGCACTGCGATCCGCATCGCCCCCAGTCGACAGCTGTTCTGGTTTAGCATAGTATGACTGCTCCTGATCGTAATGTGATTCGTCTTGTTCACAATTATCCACAAAGATCTGGTTTGCAGCAAGTACCTTCCTGGGAAACCTCGAGGAGCGCGAAGTGTTCCCGCCATAACTGTACGAAGTGTTCCCTGAATTTCCAAGCGATACTTTCGCGTTCGGCTTGCACTGTGAGGACGAGCGCGAGATATTTACTGGCGACAATGGGAGAGCAGGGGGTGGGGTAACACTGGTAGATCTCGAAGCAAAGTTGAGTCGAGCATCTTCCACTATATCTATTGAGCGTTAGTTAATTAATGAAGACAAAGGAAGTGATAGAATTGCTCACTCTCTACGTTCCTCTGCCACATGGTCATTCTATCCAGTGCCTGTTGGTTGTCTTTAGCAGACTTTGGTTCATCTGAGTTGAGATAACAATGCAAGTCGGGTGAGACATTCCTCGTGAGCAGAGTAAGAAAAATTAATCACCTTCAGCTCGAACCTCCTCCCAGCTGAACCTCCCTTCGCCTTCTCCGTCCGGTACATCTAAAGTAGCGCCTGGTGTAGTGCGTCCCGTGAGCTGCCCCAGTGCAGAGGACTTATACATCCGAACGCCTTTATCTATTTGTCAAGGAACGTCGTAATGAGCAACGTGCAATATCATTATACTGAGATCCTTACCGAGAGATACTTTGATGTTCTGTTTGAGCCCCGTCAACCCGAATTCCCCGGCGCGTGGTGACGCCTCCGCAGGGATGTCAACCAAGCCTGTGTGAATAGCATCAGCCACAATACACAAACGAAAGCGCATATACCCAACTTACCACTTAATAACTCGGCACTCTTGGTAAAATTAATAGAGCCACATGGGGAAGGACTCACAACCTGCACCTGTGCAGACGCCCTCACGCCAATTCTAGCTCTAGTGACCTCAACCTTCTGCACTGCTTCACCTTCTGCTTCAACCTCGAAACTCGACTCTCCTTGCTCTGATTGATGTTCGTTCTCGTGATCCCCTTCTCTTTCCCTCTCCAGTTCCGTCATTCTCTCCATCTCCCTTAATCGCTCCCTCTCGCGTTCCCATTCCCGCATACGGTCACGCACGCTGTCTTTGCCACGACGCTCCGAACCTGATATGGACGTTGTGGTGGCAGACCAATCCGATAATAATGTTACGTTGCCTGCCGTCTTCGTATCCGCATGAGCTGGTGTAGTTTGTATATTCTCCTTGTCCTTAGCCCCGTCCTTGATAAATCCTTGATCTTTCCCTACTCGTGTATCCACATCTTGTGTGCCATTACTGCTAGCATTTCTCGAGGATGCGGTCAAATCAGCTAACGCGCCTCTACCCCTGGTTTTGCGTTCTTCGTTGGCGTGTTTGAGGTTCGCTGCTGCCCCGGTCTTAGGACCATTCACATTCTTTACAGCTGGTCCATTCTCTTTATTTTTCAGCGCACGGACACTTGGCTGACGCGGCCCCAGTGGCTTTCTTGTGAGCGAGTTGAGCGAAAATATGGTCGAGGTCTGGCTAACATCCGGGTTTGCTGTCCGAATCGATGATGAGGTCGTAATAGACGTATTCTCTTTAGCTGCAGGTGAACCTCGGATAGGTCCGAGCACGTTAGCATGCACGCGTTTCTTCGGAGGAACGGCTTTTACAAATCATTTTCAAAGTTAGTAAGCATGCACCGATCATTATTGAGGAGACAAAACATACGTTTCCCTGTAGCAAGCTTTGGTACAGATTTCGATCTCGAATGCGCACATATGTTGGCATTGACTTGAGAAGATAATAGTGCATTGTTCTCTTTGTCGTTCTTGATTTGCTTACGGTTCGTTGCCTTGTCATTCCCTTTCGTAGTTTGGGTATTGGTGGCTTTGCGAGAAATGTCGCAATTGTTATTATAAACTTTAACTTCAGCCTCATCCGGCTTGACTTGATTTGGGTTTTCTTCATCGCGGTGGTTGTCTCTGACAGACGAGGATGCAACGCTCTCCACTGCTTTACTTTTGGAAGACGATGTTCCAATGCGATCTTTATCCTTGGCCTTGGTCTTGTCCTTGTCCTTAGTGGATGATCCTCCACTTGCAGTCCTCCAGGGCATGCTAACGTCCAACAACCTAGACATATCCCGGTCAAGCACAACTCCAGGCGATACAGCGTGAGCCACGCTCGCCGATTTCTCTGCAGGATGGGAGGTATATCATTAACAAAACGAGACCAGCGTCGAAGCCTGAGGACTCACTGTGCCCCTGTTTCTCTATACTCATTGTCCAATACACATCCGCTAGTACCTCACTTGCTGTCCACCTCAAATCAGCATTTGGCGAGATCATGTGCTTCAAAAGTTTTTCAATAGATTTGGAGAACTTGACTTTGATCGTCCCAACCCATTTGCCGCGCATCTAAGGGTGAAAAACACGGCATACGTGAGCACTTATCACAAATGCAAAGGGACTAGACGCGTTTTGCGAACGCCAGGCACGTGACAAATGATAAAAAGTAAAAATAAAACGCGACAAGCTACCGTAAGAACACGTAGATGCCAGACAGCAGGTACTAATTCTTGTAATACGTGTTGCATTCGTTTCGTTGTAAAGAATCGTCTATTAATTGCAGGACTTACCGTCCTAGTCCAATATTTTTCCAAATCCTCCTTTGTAGAGAACTGTTCGCCCTCCTCGTACTCGAAGGGCGTGCGGCCCACAAGAATTTCAAAAAATGTGACGCCTAGTGACCAGATATCTGACTTGCGGGTGTCGTGCGGAAGACCTCGTGCACGTTCTGGTGAGAGGTACTGTGCATAATAGCAAATGAATTATGGGATATTTCAAGATGGAAAGTGACTAGTACCTCTGGTGTGCCATATGCGAGGTTGCTGTGAAAAGCCTTGGGTGAGCTGAGGTCATATTTCTCTGCAAAACCAAAGTCTACGAGGACAGGCACACTCTGAGGAGACAAGAGTATGTTTGCTGGTCTGCAAAAAGTGCGTTAGTTCATACAATAAAAAACGTGCTCACGGAACATACTTGATGTCATTGTGGACAACACCACGTTCGTGGAGAAAATGAACACCTGACAGAAGTGAATTGAACCAGTCCTTTGCTTTTGGTTCGGCTACTTCTACAGGAATGAGTGCTGGTAAGTATGCCCTGGAATTCGCGTGTCAGAGATATGTATGTCGCGCCTGAACAGACAACACTCACATGGTAATAAGAGCATACGACGGGGTGATGATGAAGGAATGGAAAGGAATAATTGAAGGATGAGGGTCATGCTTGAAGGAGCGCACGATCTTCATTTCGTTCCATAGTGAACGTACGCGGGCCGCTGTGGTGGAAGTTTTCGAACGGTGCACGAGTTTGACTGCGACGTGGTGATCTGATTCAGAGCTCGAATGCTTTGGACGGCATAGCCAAACGCTGCCCCAATTTCCAAAGCCAATCTATACCACCGTCAGCAAAGCTCGCCTTTGTGCGAAATGGCCATACCTCTTTGATAAAATGGAGCCTTTCTGCAAGTAAATGGTCGGATAGTGAGAATATGTCGGATTGTGGGTCTTCTTGGTCCATTGTCATGTTCGTATAAGTACAATAAAGAAATAAAAAAAAGAAAAACGACAGAAGAAATGAACACTGAAGGACCAAAAGACACGAGACCAGACACAAGCCAACCAGGTCAAAACTATGCATCGACCGTTTCGCCTGATATTTCGAACACTGCCATAACACACACAAATAACGCGTATTTTGTCGTGAGAAAGACGCGTCGTACCGTGACTCTAGTCGCGACAGCCACAGCCACAGCCATCCTTATTTCGTTTCATCTTCCCAGCCCGAACTTCACTTTGCAAGCTGCCACTTCTGTCATATCATCGTCGCTTTATTGTTATGCAAGGACATTGAGCACATGCAAAGCGGGAAGTATCCACTATTTTGCAATATATGTGCTTGAATTCGGCTCATGTTTGAAAATTTGGTTCACAATTGTACAAGGCGCAAATTTAGCCTGGAAACCGTTGTCTTTATTTCACTAAGTACACACACTTATTATTTTATCCAACACTGGACTTTCTACCGGCGCTGCTTTTCAGTGTCTCAACACTTCAGGAACTCATCGGCGGGGTGGTGAACCCAGACAAGCTATTAATCTCTGATACATTTAAACCTCAATTTCATCAGACCTCCCGGTCTACAAATAAGGTTGGATCAATATACATTGCATAATGACATCAACAGGGCACATACTGCTTTTTCCAACCCTCTCTTCAGCAACTTCTCGGCCTGAAAATATAAGAATGATTAGCGCCCCAGATAACTTAGTATCAATGGCGTACTGGTCGCTACAGGATACGTCCACACAGGGTTATAGGGCTCGCGCTTTTCAACCGAGTCTTCGGTAGCACCAGTAACATCCCGACCCGACAATCAAGTGGCTAATGGACTCGGAGGAAATATCTATCGACACGGAAAGCCTACTGGTTGCTACTGGGTAACTCCACTTAGGGTTATAAGGCTCGCGCTTCTTAAGGTCCAAGTTTTCAGGAGTGTCTTCTACATCTCGGCCTACAGGACCAGTCAACACGGATAGCCGCATAAACTCGTACAAACTTACTTGATGCAACGGGATAGGTCCAAACTGGGTTATAGGGCTCGCGCTTATCGAGCTCATCGTTGTCCGGGATCTCAGTAACATCGTGGCCTGTAGATGCTACTGGGTTAGGATACAGACTGACAGTGCTAAAAATCCAAGGGCATACTAGAGGCTACTGGGTACGTCCATACTGGATTATAGGGCTCGCGTTTAACGTCGGAAACACCGACATCTGCCAACAATCGTGGGTCAAACCCCCACGTAGTGGTAGGACAAGCAGCCAGTGCTCACCACTGGTCTCAGCAACGGGTGCTGCGATAGTCTGGTACAACGAAGCGATGGCAAGGAATACAAAAGAGTACAAGAGTTGCATTATGAACGAGATGTAGGTTGATTCAATCACTAACGGTGAATATTTATACGTCTACTCTCTGTCTATGTCCATTTCAGTTTACGCCCAGTCATATGTTGTAGAAGCCAGTGTCCTGGTAAGCCTCAGAATGATGTTCTTCGGCTCTCTCATCTTTTGGAGCTGACATTCGTTGTAGATTACAACTTCAAGGTAGCTAGAAGTTTGGTAGCTTCCACGTTAGCTAATACTGATTATTCGATTGAGTCTTAGTGCCATCAGACAAATGACGCCACTTCACCGCCAGAATGGCATAGCACAGTCAAAGGTTCTGAGTAATCGACATAGTGGATAGCCCAGCAGCGGGACAGGACAGTACTTTGCCTCTCAAACAAGTCAATCTGATAATGCATATCTCAGTGTACTGTCGTTGGCTGGGAATGGTAACTGAAGCTGAACGGAAAATCCCCGTTTGATACCTTTACAGTACTTTGCATAGGTTCAGCACAAATGGCTATAGAAGGCTGCCCCTATTCGCTTCGGCCTCCTGCTCCGACCCATCAGGGGCAATGATCATGATTAGGACCTACCGTCTTGTCGTCCTAACTTTGTGGACTCATCACCATACAAGCTGTGCCATTCGACAAGGACTTCAGTTGACTATCCAGCTTTCAACATCAATACCCTCATCAATAACTTGCTGCACTCGATGTTAAAAAAATTGAAGTCCTGGTTGTTCAAAAGTTCGAGCGCTTTGGCGTTTGGAGCTCTCATCATCAGCAGTTTGCTTAACATCATTGCCATCCGACATTTAGTATCGAATGGATCGGCTGACGATAGTCACTTCAGTACGTCCGCCAATAGTTTGTCATATGTTCATTCTACTAATCCTCTTCCGAAGGCTACATTGGGGATGATCATCCTACTAAACTGCCGCTTCGCCTTAACAATGTTGCCCTGACCTTTGAAAACTCGGATGACTTCACTGTATCCGATGTCAAATCTTGGTGGAATTGGAAATCTCTCGACCATACTCTGAAAGGCCAAGGATTTGTTTCCTTAGGTCCAGATGGTCTGTAACCTCTCCTTAGTGATTAACTCGTTTACTTACGCATCCTTGACCGTTAACGCAGGTCGCATCTTTGGCATATCAATGTTCCACCAGTTCCATTGCCTGGAGATGCTTCGCCAAGCTCTGATCCATGGAGCTGATGTACACAGTCACCATTGTATCAACTATCTTCGCCAGTCCGTCCTTTGTAGTGCTGATACTACTCTTGATCCTATCAATTTCATCGACCCAAATGGCACAAAGACGGGTACAGATGGTACGGGAACAACGCATGTCTGCAAGGACTGGACGCAGGTGTATGATTATGTCAAGGAGAATGAAAAATAAACCTGGCTCACCTTGGCTAGGTGGAGATACGATAGAGGATCACCATCACAGTGATGCAGCGCGATGATCTTACATTCTCAAGGTGTTCTCGCATCATTGTCTTTAGCTGGCAATTTTTACGAACTGCACGCACAACAATAATACATGATAACCATACATTGTGCGCGGGTTGGTGGACACGCTGATAGGCTGATCAAGGTGCCGTTGTCGGCTTATCTGGATGCCCAGTATGTATCGACTACAAATTCGGTCTTCATTAAGATTCAAATAGGTATAGCGGCACAATTGTAGAGATTATTCAAGGACTTGTATGATTGGGAAAAACAGAATGTTTTTACATTACTATCTTTAGCTGCTTGTCTAAATACCATACATGCTTTGAGAACAGTACAAATTTGCGTCTCAACGCCAGGTGTCATTTGTGGTGTATGTACCGCTGGCAGGAGTGGTAATCGAGTTGTTCGGGTCCGACTCCCATGTCACAGCCCCGTTTTGGATCCGTATGTACTTGTACTGGATATTGGAGCTAGCAGTAACATTGACGGTAACTAGCAGAAAGAAAGGAAGAAAAGTGTCAACAACCATGAACATATATGCCTAATACAATGATTGTACGAACCACTCCACGTTGGGTAGTTAGCAGCAGACATTGCGATAGCGCTGCTGGTATCCCAGTTACCAAGTGCCCCTACCGATCCAGACACGTATATATTTTCTAGAAAGCACAAATAACAGTTAGTAAAGATATAAAGCAATGAGGTAGTCCTCAAGTAACGCACTAACCTCCTTCAACCGTTGTAGCATCTACATTGAACGTCACTGCGACAGTGGGACCGCTGTTACCACTGCACGTCGCTGGAACAGCCAACCCTGCAGCTCCCCAGCTGGCTGATACGTTTCCAGCTCTGGCGGCGAATACGGTTAACGCAGAAGCATAGCTCCATGTCAGGTCGACGGCACTGACAGGCGTTCCATTGGATCTGCCGTACTGTTCAGCCAATGCTCCACCAGAAGGTGTATATGTGGCATCCACAGCAATGAAGCCATCAGCGAAGTTCTTGATGGCAGTGGTAAGGGTGCTATAAGTGGAAGTAGATGAAGCATAGGAGCCGGCAGTGACGCCAGAAGAGAACTGCTGGAAGAAGGCGAGGGAGGTGCTGGTAACGTTGAGGGAACCGGCTTTCGACCAGGCAGTAAGGGAGTCGTAGAGTTGTTCGGCAACCGCGAATGTAGTCAAGTACCAAGGCTACGCGAAATACACATATAAGCACATTATCATCTGAACACAAGGAGTTCTCACATTTCCACCTTGGTAAACATCCTCAGGATACCTTCCAGTTGCAACAGCCGCGTCAGAAGCAATTCCACTGTTGATGGAGTAGATAGATCTGAAAGAGTCGACATAGACTTTGAGATTGGACAAAGCCACATCTGAACAAGGTTGGAATGTGGCGGCATCACATCCTGCGTCAACATCGAAGGTGTGGATAGAAGCCAGCACTGTGTTAGCATCTATACCAGATCGACCTCCGCCAGTGTTGGCCGTTATGTAACCGCCGGTCGGGTTCCAGTACGACTGACAAGTAGTTGGTTATACATCGAACTAACGGATGCTACAAATACTGTCTTACCTGTAGGAAACAGAGAAGGTTGTCGGCCTGTGTGTTGTAGCCGCTAACAACAGACGTCTGGCCAATGGCGGTTGCGAGAGTAGAACCTTGGCGCAATGACATATGCTGGACGGCGGTGGTGAAGAATGAAGAAGAGTCGATTTCTTCCCAAAGGTCGAACCTGAAAGGATACTTGAGCAACAAAATGATGGTTAGGGAACGCTACATACGTTGACTGGTTCCAGTTGTTGGAAACATAGTCCAAGTCAAGTTTGATGATAGGCCAAAGCGTGTTTGATACGTAGGAAGCGTTGTTGTTCGCCAACAGCCAGTTCGCGTAGGTAATCAAGGCCGTCGAGCGCAATGCGGGCCCATCTGAACATGGACGTCAAGGAAAGCAGCAAGTACAAAAGGTATGGAAACGGACCACGCTGAGGGCGACCCCAAGCACCTGTAAAGGCTGTTTCGTTGATATTGAACTTTGGTTCTCCAAGACCACCGGTAGAAACTGAGCCACTGGGGTTCGTAATCTGCTGAATTGCAGCCTCTGCAGTGGTGAAATCATCGATGAGAGTCCTCAAGGACGCGTCGTTACCAGCGGTGAACTGGTCGATGAGAGTTTTAAAGACAAGGGACGAGTCGCGGACCCATGTATAGAGATAGTCAGGATTGGTCGTGCTTGGACTGGCTATTACAACTCCTGGCTACAAATTTTCAAGTTCAGCTTCCAGATCCCAGCTTCGTTTGTAACACACATATGCTCCAGATGACTTGGACCCATCAGGACCGATATTCGCGAGGAGACCAGCCTGAGCGATGGGCGACTCTGTGCTGATGTACGAGTCTACGGTGCTCGACTGGGCAACAACCGACACGCAGAGCGCAAGAGCAGAAAGCACAAAACGACGCATGTTGGTCTGGGTAAATACACGCTGGGCAAAGGAACACAAGCTATCTTTATAGTCTTCCATGTTGCACCTCAGTGTTACCGAACAACAAATCAGGCGGCCAGAATCCGCGTGCTACCACGTTCATAACATCTTCTGCTCATGATCAACCTGGTCGCCGGCCCCGACGGGTTGTACCTTCACGCTGGTCATGATACTCCACAACTACATGAGAATCGTCCGGGGCATCTCGGATTCAAATTGTGGTTCGAAAGCTGCCAGAAAGAAAGGAGCCTTATAATTTCTCAGGTGGGTTGGCTGCAGTTGGCATGTCCCAAGTCATCACTATTTTTCATCAGCCCAGTAGTGATGAGCTGGTCATGCGGTTTGTTTCCAGCGAATGACTGTTGATCAGACACCGAGCCTTCATAGTTGACCACATGGCGCCTGTCTGGTAAAAATACACCAGATCAGCCTCACGCTACTCTACGCTACTCCACTAAAACCAGATCCTGCAACGTAATATTTTTCACAAATATCACGGTTCAATACAGCTCAACACTAGTATGGAATGACTGGTGTAAGTCTGACATTTCGTTCACTGTTGTGTGTTGGGAGATCGTGATTGACTTGGCACTGTAGTCCGTACCCCGCACTAGCCCGCACTGACGGTTCCAGTTCCTGGCCTCGCTAAGCCCTATGATGTCTTAGAAGAAAATTTCGACTGGAGGATTCCCCACTCATTCCCCGCACTCCCGGAGAAGATATTTTCTACCTTTTCTACCTCATGCTTCCGCACTCTTCAGTGTGAGGCTCTACGTTGCGATCATTAGGACTTCAGTAAGGATCCGCGGAGTATACTCTATGCAATGTGATACCGCATGGGATAATCACATGAATCAGTACATCCTCCCGTGTCCCATTTATAGCCCCCTCCCCTAGGTGGGTTATTCAAGTTCGAGTCGGCTCCCACATAGTATCCTCGAAAATACACAAATCGCAGAAGATTACTCCGTATAGGACTTCCTCTCCGTCAGGCACAAGCTTTTGCAATCTAAGGTTATAATTTAGGTTATGGAACAAGTCCCATTTAGCTGCTTATATGCGGTGCCACGCACAGGTAAGACAAGCTAACAGTCTCTTCCCCGTCAACATGACAATCCAATCATGATTACTGTATCGTAAAGCAATCTACCATGTAGGCATCAAGACTATTGGAAAGTGGTTCATCACATTGTCTGGCTATAGATGACCGCTCCAGTTCTGGAAGTCTATATGTTATTCCGACCGAGGATCACTTTCGAGAATCGCAGGAACCTCAAGCTGTATCATCACAAGCCGATAATATCAAAGGCATTAAGACCAAATTCGTTTTTTCGAGGACAGGAATATTTCGAGTATAGTGAATGAGTGTCTGCTCCAAAAATATATATATCGAATACTTGATTTTGCCGTAAATTCAGCAAACTGACGGCAGAACATTAAACGACGGTAGATAAAATACAATTTTATACCGCTCAATCACTACAAGACAACTCATCAAAAGATTCATTCTTCCTATAACTTACAACCCAGAACCCCTCGTAGGCTCACATAAGTGCTGAGCAAATTATAAGCCAGATAGCCCGCTGCGTTGTGTGTTAACAACTCACATTCAATCGTGAAGCATGATGTATGCTATGTGTCTGTGTCCGACAATTGTATCCATACCTAATATCGAAGGATTAGAATCAACAGGAAACCTAACTCTCTCTACTTACCAGCAATCCGGATGGATAGGATGTCCCACTAAGAACAAGAACAACAACCGTTCAGCGCCAGAAAAGAAAAGCAGCACAGTCAAAACTGACGTTTACGTTTGCAGTCCAGCCACCAAAGGTGAAGGTGCTCTCGGATGAATACCATGACGCAGTCGTCACAAAGCCAATCTTGCTTGTCCCAATGGCCATAAGATGGTGTCTTTTGGTCCCAAATTTCGTCGAACAACGTCGCAAAAGAAATAAGTTTAACAGCGTCAGAAAAGGGACCCAGCTCAGATACATTTCTTATTAAGAGGCCTTTCAGATGTCCACTCAAGCTCGACGGGAGTATACGACCACGCAGGTAGGACCAATCTAAATATAACCACTTCGTATGAGCTTTTCACATGATAAAGAAATCCCAACTCACTGCTTGCGTTCCAGAGCCGAAGGCCTTTTGTCTCATTACATTGCTTGCCTGGCGTATTTTTAGATGGAATAAAAAATAGAGAGGGAAACATACATTGGTCTTCCTTTCCAGTGACGCTGTCGAGTAGGATAATTTTGTCCGAGTGATCATACGTTGCTCGTATGTCATGTTGAAGCAAGGAATGGGTAATTACATCACTCAAAAAACCGTTAACCCATGAATCTGTTCCATCCGGATCCAGCTCCTCAAGGACATTGAGTTCGTCTAACTTTCCATTGTAGGCTTGCAGTATCGTCTGAGGTCCACAAGATAGCGCGTGGCCAACCCAGGTTCCTATTGTGTAATAAATTAAAAATTATTCCTGAAAGCAATACAGAACACGAACTAGTGGCTATTATGAAGCATGTGTTCGCATCGCCTGACCATTTCGCAATTTCTGATAAGAAACACATCACTCTTTCAAGCTCCTGAAGTTCAGATGCTGAAAAGGAGGACATAAATCCTCGTTGCTTAATTATAGACTCCAACATATTGGCGCCAGCTTCATCTTCCTCATCGAAGAGAAAGCCGCCTTCTGGGACACTTGGCCGTCCATAAATGGAAGAGAACAGCCAGATTCTGTACATCGCACGCCGGAAACGCAGAGATTCCATGTCAGAAAGACGACTTGTTGAAGAGGTGCGGTCTTTCTGCCTAACAAAATCGGAAGTTTGATGTGAAAGTATTTACAAGAAGACCTTGGTGTACCTCCAACTGAACAAGTCTTCTAGTTCATTCACAACTTTCAAGTGATGGGACATCTTGACAGCTTCGTCACATGTTATCTCGGGTTTATTTGCGAGTTCGTCTTCGCGGCAAAGCTCAGAGACAGGGGATTGACGAAAATTGTCGGTGCCACATCTGACGAGCCGCAAAGCTGGAGGTAAGGCAGCACCCAGTTGATTGTACAAAATAGCACGACTAATGGAATTAGGACGAGCTTTGTAAACAGAGTAAACAAAACGCGAAGAAAGGATAGCAGAGAGAAGAGAAGAGAAATTTGGCAAGTAAGTGAGGATGCGGTCGGCGACATCCGCGTTGAAAGGAAAGGGGTCCATGGTGATGTTTCACAGAAAGCATGCGATAGTTATATGTTTTCTGCTGCACGTGTTATATGAGCCTCCTTGACTCGACTATCATCAATATATTGAATTAGGTCAGCAAGGGAGACTAGGCAAAGACCGCCACCGCCACTGGCTGTATCCAGGTTGGCCGGCATTTCCCGAGTGGGGTGTGGTGCTATTGGCAGAGGCGAGGCCTTGCGTTTTGAGTATGCCAGACCAGTTCGCATTTGCACTCACCCGTCGTTCCACCCGTCTCCCTTGCGGGCTTGCATCGACATGATGGCCCGTCTGTTGCTTATAACGTTTCTTTTTATCTGTGCCATACACACCAATGCTAATCCCGTCATAAATGTCTTCCGCAAGGTATCCGCAACTTCTGCAGAGGGAAGCTGGCTCTGGGGTTGGGTCTGGGGAGCAGAAAGTACTGTCTCTGTCGTGGATCGCTCCCCTTCTCTCTCTTATCCCGCAAGGCCCGCTGCTTTTGGTCCAGAACTCGATCTACCACTGCTGGGTTACGTTATTCCTATGTCATCATTCACGTCCCCATGTCCAGACAACGATTCAAAGGCAGTCTTTGATGAAGCTTCCAACTTTGGTTGTCCCACCTTGTGCGTTTCAGGCCCACATGAACCTGATCCCAAGGAATCTTGGATTGCTTTGGTCCAGAGAGGCCATTGTCCATTCGTTGACAAGGTCAGTGAAATTCAAGCGGTCACATATATCGTAGCTGACCATGCATCAGGTGAGGGAAGCACAACGGCTGGGTGCCAGAGCCGTTGTAGTCGGTGGTGAAGATCCGAAAGTCAGTGGATTCCCTGATACTCTCGTAAATATGTACAGCAAAGGTACTTTTCCGTCTATCTCCCGCTTCCGAACTTTCGTGATGTGTACTTACAACTTACTGTGATCATGCAAGGCGACGCATCAGATGTGACAATCCCTTCAAGTTACATCACCTATTCGGATTTCAAAGAACTCTCATATCTCATCGAGACTTCAAATACTTCGCACGCGGGCTTGCGAACGCTGTCACTATTGATCAGTACTCAATACTCCTCGTGGGAATGGTATTCGTACGTCCAATTTGGTCACCTCATACTCCAGAGTAGGAATATTGACGACTACTTATAGCCCGATAATTACATTTATCGTGATCCTGATTTTACCCTCCTGCTTGACATTCATCACCCTGCTGATTCACCGTGTTCGGATGGCTCGCGCAGCCGAGCGGGACCGTGCACCGCAGGACATGGTGAAAAGCCTTCCTTGGCGAGTTTGGACAGGCACTGGGTGGGAAAAGCATGAAGGAATAGTTCCTCTGCCTCAGCCGTCGTCATCAACGTCTCACACCGTAGATCTCGAGTCAGGCTTACCAGCAGAAGCCTTGAGTGAATCCACCAGCCAGGATGCAAACACACCTATTGCCATGCCCTGGTTCGAAACTCAAATGGAATGCGCCATCTGCTTGTCCGAGTTTGTCAAAGGTGACCGTGTTCGGGAATTACCTTGCCATCATATCTTCCATCTGGACGAGGTCGACGAGTGGCTGATAAATCGCAAGAAACTCGTGAGTATTAAATCCATTTGTTAGAATGCTTGAATTGTGCCTTAAACTATTATTTATAGTGCCCTGTCTGCAAAGCAGATGTGACGCAGCCATGGAATCCCAATAAACCCTTCCCTCGGGCCGAAGACGAGGGAAACGAAGAAGAAGACGAAGAAGAAGAGAACCTGCGACATTCTGATAGACCAGCTTCCATCGCAACCGAACGCACACCTCTCCTCTACAACCATGTCCAACCTCACGAAGATTCATGACAACCAGGAAAGTTAACGTTGTATTATTTGTAGTGTAAGAAGGTCCGCGGATTTCTTCAAGTTGTGTCGCTTGTTGCGTGAAGTTTTGGGTTTTGATACAGCTTGATCTTTTTATACCGAAATTTGTGGTTTCAATACTGTAATGCTCTTTGCGTGTAGGTTGTTGCTGACAGAAATTCAATCCCGCTGACATCCCCCTTCTATTCGACTTTCTCTGCACCGCGAAGTGGGAATGTACGTGTACGTAAGCAACCTAATCTTGACCGTATTGGGACTGGGTGTCACTTCACTCCGCAAAAACAATAAGGTACGTATGGAACTTTTAGGTTTTCCATGCAGTCTGCCTGAATAATTGGAACCGCAGATAACAAGGCTCCGCCCAAGGATCTTTCCCTGGGGACTTTGGTCCGCTTGTCCACTCCGCAGCCCCAGTGGCCCTCTCCCAAACACCGTCTTATTGTCTTTATATAGACATTGGCCGGTGACCTGGAACGTGTCAAGGTCTTGTGGAATGCCGAGTGTCTGGCCTTGCAATAGAAGTGGCCATGTCCATATGACAGTAAAGATAGCCTGACGCCGTGGCCGTTTTTTATTGATAATGTCACGCTAGGCCGGTTTCGGATGGATCCATTGTCTATACAACGTCTTGCCAATCCCTCAGAGATATGGGCCACCTTCACATCTCTCAGGTTTTATGTGTCTCACTTTAGTCGGTCGAGCTTTCGTTGTCTTGTATTGTAACAAGGACCTGAGTATTCTCGTCCTCTCTTAATCTCGTGCTCGTCTGTCACTTTTAATTTTCGAGTGCCTTCTCTGTCTTGAGCGCGTTGTTCGAATTTTTCCTGTTCAAGCAAGTTTTTTTGGGTTGACTCTAGTTGCCATGGCTCAAACGGAGACCGAAGGAAATAAACGTAAACGTAAGTCGATACTCACGCGATGGGCAGAGCTCGAATCGTTTGACAACCCTCTCTTTCAGATAAAGTCTCCATGCATAACGAGCAAGCTGAAACTTCTGTAGCAGGACAGAGCGGAAATATTCCATCAGCTGCTCCTGATTCCATAACATCGCCGAAACAATCCTTCCATCACTCTACTATATGTCGCTATCATCAGGCTGGATATTGTAGACATGGTGATTTCTGTCATTTCAGACATGCCCCGAATAACTTCTCCGAGAGTACGTCTCCCACTATTTGACACTTTTCCCTTGCAGTATAAATTGAACGATGAATAGATCACCACGAATATCGTAAAGATCCATATACTTCAGGTCAGTAACTCGATCTGTTTCCCCCCGAGGTACTGACAACATGTGAAACCACTCTAATAGTCGGACTATCGCCCCTTTCCCTTTACGCTCCTTCTCGCTCGTCCTTCACCCCATACCACATCTCCCCCAGTTGGATTTCTTTCCCTCCTCCCTACTCCGGTTTCGCGAACCAGAATCTTACACGGGCTATATGTTCTCCCGCGTTAAATTCACCTATCCCCGATGTGTACACCTTTTCGGACGCGTCGAGCTCAGGTACCGATGAAGTTACTAGTATTTCGCCCAAGACATCTCGTAGAAGCTACCATCCTAGGGATCACGATCGCTCATATTCCCAGGCTCCGACGGCCTTGTCACCTAACATCTATTTTCCCCTCCACTTTGCCGTCCCAGAACCCACCCCTTCTTACCGTAACACCTCGTTCATCGAACGGCGGCAAATTCCCGCCTTCAGGAAAAAGCCAGTACCCTATAAAAGTGAGTATGAAGCGATGTTAATTTTTTTGGCCACTATTCTGGGTGAATTCATGTTTAAAAAACTTGCATTTTCAGCCAAAATATGTAAGTTCTACAAGAAAAATGGTAGTTGTCCTAATGGCGATAAGTGCACGTTGTAAGTTCTTCCATATATTTATCCGTAGTTACTGCTATAGGGAACGACATAGTATACATAACGTGACCAGCCATCCCAAGGGAGCAAAGAATGATAAGAACAGCACACCCGCCACCACGCCAAAGGCTCGACAAGATGGCACGGACCCAGATGCCACTCTGGTTGATCGCGATGTGCCAGTTGACCTACCGACAAAACCGATGTCCCTTTACGAACAGTACAGAAAGCAAGGATACTACCCAGTTACATGGCGTGTCATTGGAGGCGGAGTGATGATGGGCGGAAAGAGTAAGCATGCCAGATGATTTATGGCGCAAGAAATGAACGTTGGCTTCGCTTTTCATTGTTAGGAGAACCGTGTAAGGCATATACTGCAGGACACTGTAAGGACGGTGATGATTGCAGGTTTGCACACGAAATTGATGGCTTGAAGAACTCTGGACCGCGTACGCCTATTTCTTACTTGAGGCTTTACAGCTCATGGACTTGATGCAACTATTGCTCCTATCAGCCAGTCTCCCGGACCCACCCGAGCTTGATCGCTCTTCCCGTCGCAAAATGGTGATAGGACGGACGAGGGAACCTCACCTCTTGAACGGTACACTCGATATTTATATTCCGCCACAACCCCTTCCAGCGCGCGGACCTACTGTCCCTCCTGTATCTACAGGAAGCCTCGGGAGAAGTAATGATGGCACAAATCGTCTGGCGAGCGGGAAACACGAGGATGAAAGTCATAGTGATACGGCGCTAAGCCGGCGTCGACGTTCGCGGTCGATGTCAACGCCTTCATCGCCTTTACTGCCGCGTGTATCGACGCATAATGTGAGTTGAATGTGATACTCGTTTTTATCATTGAAGAGTGACTTTGACTCGTGACCTCCGCAGCTTTTCCCGGCCGAACTTTAAATACCTTGATATCATTATGTACTGCCTAGGCATACTAGCAACTGCAAACTTTCTTGCAATAAGGCGTCATAATTTATGGCGCTCATTTTTCTGTATTTGCAAGCACATTTTTCTTACCTTCTATGAGGGTCCATCCGTTTGCAATATTTACATGGTGACAATCTTTAGACAGTAACTTCATCCTCGTTATATGAACGATAATATCTTTGGGATAACTTAAGCCATCGGATATCTTTAGCATCATGGCATTGTCCCCTCGAGTTCAGAGCGTCACGCCTGATAGCAATAATACGCAGTCCCCTAGGGGTAAAATTTAAGGGGCTCGTTTTCCGAAAAAGGTAAAGAAAATGTGAAAAGGAAGAAAGTTAGATATCTTTGTCAAATATTTCCTTTTTCAGACGACGTTTTAGGCGTATTGGGAGGAAAATGTGATCTGATAACTTTGCTTGTCTATATCTATGTTAGCTATCTCAGCGGTAACATCCGTTTTTATACCAGACATACCCGTTACTATACAATTATATAAATAATTCAAGTCAAACCTGCTGTATTGCTCGCCTTTCCTTCTCATCTCTCCCATCATCTCCTGCACCAAGCGATAGCTTGACTCTGAATCTCAGCGATTTCTATATAATATATATATACCATGGTCACAAACATTAGTACCGACTTCTCTCTCCCGGTATCTACTTTGTTGCGTACTGGTACTGCTGTTGCACACCAGGCTGCAGAGAACAGCCAGGGTGGTGTATGGTTGACCAGAGGTGAGCTTGACAGGGAGGAATATATTCGCTTTCTAGTTATGTTATGGCACATATATGAGTATGTCCCCTACCCCCTTATTCATACCACAAATAATAATCTAAGTGGCATACGTATCTAGCACACTCGAGCGTGGTCTCGAGCAACACGCTTCACACCCTGTGCTCCAGCCAACGTATAATCCGACGTTATTGGCCCGTGCACCAAGTTTGGCTTTGGATATTTCATTCCTCCTGCAAGTCCCCGAGTCCTCATGGCAATCACATCCTATAAACGCCACACTCCTTTCTTCTCCCCCGCAAGCCTTTGCTGATTACACCTCTCGTCTCCGTGAACTGTCAGAATCATCCGATCCATCCGGTTTACTTGCGCATGCCTATGTGCGGTACCTTGGAGACTTGAGCGGCGGTCAAGTCATTCGCCGTCACATAGCGAAGGCCTATGGTCTGGATGCTGATGAAGGCTCCGGTGTCATGTTCTACAACTTTCAAGTGTTGGGAGGTAATAAATCAGGGACAATCGGAGACTTGAGGAAGATCAAAGAATGGTATAGGGATGGCATGAACGCTGGCGTTGGTGACAACAAGGAACTGAAAGGTATGCAGACCAGTTTCTCAAATACCAACACTCAGCGCCTGACTGGATTATTTTGCAGGTTTTATAGTAGAGGAGGCCAACGCAGCTTTCGTTCTTAATTCTGGTCTGTTCGCGAGCCTCCGTGGGCCAAATCGTGGTCCTGCTGCAGAGAAAATGGAAACGACTGTCCAAGACCAGGTATCGCTAGAGCAACCAGTGATGCAACAACCACCGCAAGAACGCTTGGTTTCCGTAGGTGGCGTTGTATCATTGGTTGCAGCTGTTGGTCTCGCCCATTTCCTTCTCGTTATTGGGGGCTTCACGGGAGACAGCGGCTATAACAAGCTTCTGGGGCTCCAGAATTGGCTTCATGATTTATTTCAAGCTGCATGAGCGGAGCGTCTAATATGATAGACGCGAAGACTAACTTCATTGGTACCCACACACATCGTTGTTCAGGTTGTTCAGCAATTATATAATGGAGTATCTAGCACACATGTATTTTTACATCCGGGCCTATGCCTATTAACGGGGTTATATCAATCTTATCTTTGATCGTAAATGTACCGTATAGCTACCTATAGATTTATCGGTAATAACACGAGAGTTCATCCATTTTCAAGTACGACCATAACGAATCAACAATATCATTGTGGTATAACTCGGACTGCGCAAAGATAGCAAGATGAAGTACATTGTATAGATCGCTTATTAAGATTTGGCGACGTAGCCGGCTACATCGTCCTTGTGGTATATCAATATTAATCCTAATGCCTGGTGACTAGCTCCATCAGGGGTGTTGGCCCATATGAGCACTCTTCGTATCGTCACTCTTATAGTCGTATGCAGATCCACCCATGGGTTGCATCACCAGTGAGGCCGTACTCTGCGAGTCCTGCAATGGTGCGTATGCACTATTTGGTCCGCCAGGCAACAGGCCAGCGGCTTTCTGCTGAGCCGCTGCCTTGGCCTTCCTGCGTCGGCAGCAACGCCAGACGCAGCATCCGACCAAGAGAATGACGAAAATGAGACAGCCGACGAATATGTACGGCCAGCGGCTCAGTATCATCTCTTCGTAGTGCTGCTTCTTCTCTGCAGCACTTTCTGGTGAGTGCTGTTCTTGTGATGCCGGCAAAAGTGCATATTGAGATGAGTTGATTAGGTTTTGCCCGTTCAGCCGTACTTGAATGAAATCATTCACGGCAGCTTCGGTGTTGGTGAGTGAGAGAAGTTGCATATAAGGGTTGCTCGAGTCTTGGCCACCCTGAATGAGGTTACCAAAACTTATCAGCGTGTAAGTATTACGTACTGGATGTATGCATATTAGGTGTGAGGTGTGAATGCAAGATTGGGGAATACTCACGGAAGGCCATGCCTAGGATCATATCATATTCACCGATGAGACTGAAGGCAGAAGTGATTGGTTGAAACTATACTCATGTGAGCTCAAGAGTCTGTGTAGATACCCAACTCAACCTACCGTGCCAAGGCAAGCAGGGCTTCCATTAGCGAAGGAGACGTCAAAGTCGCTAGATGATACGTCCAAGGGATGTATAGGGTAGGATTGTCCACCAAAGTTGAAGGTCAAGTTAATCAACTGACCGCAAGGTACCAACCATGCCTCATTAGAAGCTGACCACTCAGCACCCTGCACGCGACCATAAATAGCATCTGACATGGCACGGGGAACCTGAGGTAAAGTGTAACCCGAGTCAAAGACGGCTACCAGTTGGCCACTGGGAGCCTTTGGTACTATCGAATCAACCTGGATCGGTTGTCCGTCAGGTCCAATGACATTCTTGTCTTTGTCGCCCAAAATCTGCCAATGCTGGTCCTGATTCGTTAGTTTGTATACTGTCTCGACAGGTATTTTTGGCATGCTAGTGATGTTGCTGAACTGCGGAATCACTTCTGAAATGGTAAATTGGCCAGTAACTTGCTCGCCAGGATCATTCTTGCGGTCCAGGATTAAAGATATATAGTTTTGCGCAGACGAATTTTGCTGAAATATGCGGTTAAGCATATTATCGCCTGTAGAGCTCCCAATGGCTTTGCTGATAGCTGAACCTGAGTTAGGGCCAAGTCCTATGAGGCCATTGTAGCCTTCGGCGTTAATATTGGTTGAGAACGAGGATGTGTTGGTGACCAGCACTGTTCTGATGTTCAGACAGACCCATACAGTTCACAGAAGGCTCAAAATACCAACAAAACGCCTGATTGTCAACTGTGTATCCATCGAACTCCAATGTAGCAGTGTTGATATTGCCTTGCAGAAGCCTTGAGCGAAGACTGGTAATGAAATGCAAAACTCGTTACCTGCGGCTTGTCCGACGGCATACGAGAGTGTAACCGATTTCCCAGTGTCTTGTGCCCCAGGAACTGAACCTGTCACCCACAAGTCGGAGCTACACAGCAAGGCAAATCCAGCTAAAAGCAAAGCTTCCTTGAAACGACATCGTACCTGCCCGTATCCAACATTACAGATATCGTACGACCACCGAGAGTAATGTTACTGTAGTAAAATGAATTCTGGGTGTTGCCAATGGGTACTGAGACATTGCCAGATGATTGTCGAGCGACATGAGTGTGAGTATCGCTGTCGACGGTGTGGACACCAAATGGAAGCTTGAGAGCCAGAGTCAAGGTTGGACATAGCGAAACAAGAAAAGACAGTGCAGTTAATGAGCGCATCACGGAATGATTCAAAGACCAGAGTACAGCGTAAGACCACGCGTAACCCTGTAAACAAAAAATTCTTCGAAAGAGATGACGAAGGAAAAGGAGAACGTGAGTGGGAAAAATGGCATCGGTTCACATTCTCTTACGCTTCTCAGCTATACTTGGATTGGGCGTACTACACTTTTGTTGGCCTGGCGATGGCTCTTTGCTCTGGTTAACCATTATCGTTATTTTCGTAGACGAACTGAGCATCATGATGCACGGGAGCACAGACCGCAGCAGGTTCATGATGAGTAGTCGAATGAGTGCTGAGCTGAGCTACGGTATGTTCTTGTTTCCCGCATAGTACGGCATAGTTTTACGATGCTTAAAGCGTACAGAAAACTAATGGGTAACGAAAATAGGATTCATATCGTGTTATCCTATAGCCTGGTGACTTTCTATGGAGATATTGGTGAGTGCTGTTGTATTTCAGTTTCAGTCTGCGTTACGTTTTTGATTCATTGATAGAGTAATAGATTGCATGATGATATCACCACTGTCCAGGCAATGCGTACTGCTTGCCCTTTCTAACGAGATATGATTTGACGTGGTCGCCGGAGATTGTGCTCAGCCCCAGGATTCCCGCCCCCACCATCCAATTTTACTTCAGGTCACCATCTATACAACGCATTTATATGATATCCAAATCTCATTTTAAACAGCCGAAACGTCTTCGACTCATCAATAATACTTGATGCAGCTCCACATCAATAATGTTGCGGCTAAGCATGAAAATAGGTATGTAACATAGACGCTTAGTATGAAGGCAAACCATGGATGTATTTCAGCCTGCGTAAGTTTCATACTCTCTTACTCTCAATCTTCACTTCTTTCGCATATTCTACTATGTTTTCTCAACTAATCCTTCCTTCTAGTTTTATTTTACTATGCAATAGTATTATGACAACTCAATGAAACCTGCAGGGCAGGTAATCCCCGCAAAACTCAATGTTTCTTGATAATCAAACGTCTTTGAAGTTACGGTCGATATTGACAGGTAGGCGGATTTTATAGCACAAGCACTGTATCTGCGACTAATTTCACTTTTTTCTTCCCTAGTGCCGACCTAGTTATAGCATCCCCCGTATCAGGTGGTGTTGATCAGGCTTCAATTTTACCGATACATACGCCATAGGTAGCGCAGACGAGTTCTTTGTCCATTTTGGTGATTTCGTCGATGATTCGAGTAGCACTGCTCCTCCGTACATCCAGTTACTACCCCGAATTATCAGACCAACGCCACTTCTGCAAACAAGCAATTCTCCCAGAAGAGGAATAGCACTACCTCCAGTGCGACGCCTAAGGGTACGGACCTGGACGACACGGGGACCAGCCTGCTCAGTGTTTATAAGAGGGTGCTTATTATATTGGAAAGAAAGCTGGAGCATTGATTATCATAGTGAGTGTGCCCCTTTCGAGGCATGCACGTTGTTGGGTCTTGGTATATGGTGCGTTTGCACCGGTCGTACACGCAAAAGCCAGTCATCTGCTCCATATCCCACTTTTCAGCGAGTCGATGATTTATTCCAGAACCCAGGCATGCTGTTCCTGCACAGATGCCTAAGCAACAGTTCAAGGGTATATGAGAGCCGATTGGACATCTCACAAGACATCCTTTCACGTTGTTTCAATATTATCATCTAAGCCTGTGCTTCACGTTATCTAGATTAGATAACTTGAAGTGGACAATGAACTATTGTCAACGGTACATACATTATTTATAGTACACGGGTCTCTAGCATCATGTGCGTTCTTTTTCGTCTTCAAAACTTGAACACTGCATTCAGGCTAATAAGTCTGACAACTTGAAGACCAATACTGCATCCTCATTATACTTGGTAGATCTTGGTCCATTCAAAGACACGAAGATTTTTCCTAAAACTACTAGTACTCACGTGCTCAAATTTTCGTTACTTACTACCACCACTAGCAGTGCCATTGACAATCCCTGTCAGGCCCAATCATTGATATGACAGTCGATATCTGCTCGTCCACACTACCACTGCAGCCTTTGACTGGTTGCCAACTCGCCATCGATGAATTGACGTGAGGCAAATATTTTACCTTGACAATAATGGCACAGCACGAGCTCGATAATTATGTCTTGATTTTCTCCCGCCTTTTAGCGGTTCGAGTTGGGCCTTGGAATTATTATCATCGTAGACCTATCAGGATGGAATACTTGACCACATCACTTGTGACGGAGAACAGTAAGCATAGACCACAAACATCCAGTCTTCCGTCGACGGGGTATACCCGACCAGCGCTTGTGGCTACTAAACGCGAGCGTCACGCTTGGACTATAACGCTCGATTCAGTTATATCTGGACACATTGCATTGTACGTCGCCCATGCTATATCCATTCATTGATAAGAAAGAGGCTCGGGTCCACCATTCCGTAATGTTGGCATATTGAGCGCTATGATTGAAATTCACTTGGCGATAACACAACTGTCGTTCCCCTATATTCGACTTTCATATCAATGATTTGGTCGGCTAAATGAGACTTTCATTCCCCCATCTGCCATCACTCCTGGTGAAATTCTATAGGGGACTAGTGAAATTCTACGCGTCAATGATACTCGTGTCTTGTTCAATAACAGGTTTCCGGAAACAGGTGTGACTATGATATGATAGTCACGTTACTCACGCGGTTCATCATCATGGACCCTGTATAGATGATGGGCGCCCACCAGCGCTCACGCGTACACTCACGGGCGGTGCGATTGATGGTATTTTGGCTGGAGATCTGAAGGCTGTCACGAGAACTTTGGCAATCGCTTTGGTAACGGAATTATAAGGTAACAAATGTTGAAATGGCCGGACCTGGGACAGCAGGTAACATTTTCAATGAATTCCTCAAGCTTAAATGCCAGGGCGTAGAGGTTGTCTTCATCATATTGTATTCATAGCTTGGATGTGACTTGGCAAGTTTATCTTGTATGCTCTTCCATTCGCTCATCTTATCTCGCTTAGTTTATCCAAGTTCAAGTTGAATCGAGATATTCCTGCCGCCCAGTGTCAGTCAGTGGCTATTCTCATGATCTCGTTGTGTAAAGTACATAGCCCCTCTCAAACTTCAAACTCCCGGCTGTGTCAAAAGGAGCATGTTGACAAATGGCCGACCCCATGGCATGGTACGTATTATGCTTCAGAAAGAGATAAAAGCAGATCATGGCCTATTCGAATACCTACGACTTCCCTACACTACATTTACATTCTTACCTTTTTAATTACTTCATACATTCAGCATGTTTTCCAAATTCATTCTTCCTTTTACCTTCTTTGTGTTATGCGATGGCATTAATGCAGAACGACTTAGCCTGCAGGCCAGGCGGTCTTCTCCAAAATCAACTCTTTCCCGACGAGCAAACACATCGACCGGCATATCCGCTCTAGTTGATAATCAAGATTTGACGTACTCCACCAATATAACTTTGAATGGCGAGACATTTTCTGTTTCAATTGACACCGGAAGGTGAGTTAGTACACGTTCATAATCCATTCCTCGAAACTGATTACCATACCAGTTCCGATCTTTTTGTGACTTTACCTGTGAAGGGTGCTATCAATCAAGGCTTTGATTCGAATGTAACATATGGTATTGGCAGCGTGCAAGGTATGAATTTCTTCTTGAAGGGCTTCCCTAGATATATAACAAAGTATTATCACTACTAGGATCAGTAGAAGCTGCAACGCTGCAGCTGGCCGGGTATGAAGTACCGAACCAATTCTTCAGTAAGTATCAACTATCTCCCGTATCATTCTTGTTAACGTTCCGTCCCTTCAATAACAGTCAACGCCGCTGTTACTCAGAACCAGTCAGGGCAAGGTCTAATTGGCCTTGGCTCGAGCTCTGGATCAGTTATTCGAGCACAGGCTAACAGTTCAGCCGGGGACCCAGCGCTAGATCGCATCTTCCGGCAGAATACGACAACACCGAACTACATCTCAGTCCTTCTTGGACGTTCGGATGATCCTTACGAACCTTTTCCCGGAGACTTGACTATTGGGGAGGTGCTCTCGAACTATACGCAAATCCTCGATCAGCCCAAGCAAAATGTCACCGATGCCTTCCTTCCAGCAGCTCAGCACTGGCAGGTTTTACTTGATGAAGATGGTATCATTGGCCCCGATGGGAAAGCCATTCCAATCAAATCCCAAGTCAACAATAGCGTCGATCCTAACCGAGCAACTGTGGTCTTCGATACTGGCTTCACATTTCCCCAAGTACCTTCGTAAGAATACTTCCCTTATCGTGATAGTCACTATATCTCATATTTTTTCAGCGATGTCGCCGAGGCAATCTATGGCAATATAAGTGGTGCTTCTCTTCAGAACTTCACGGGACTGGGTACATACTGGGTACTTCCTTGTGACCAAGAGCTCAACGTCACATTCATGTTCGGTGGTGTTCCGTTCCCCATCAACCCACTGGACCTCACCTATGACCCTGTCGAAGCCGGTATAACTCTGCTCGCCCCTGGTACATGTGTGGGAGCGGTAAGTCTTGCGCACTTTGAGTCGATGTCCAACATTCTGATATCGCAATAGTTTCAACCCGTCTCTTTTGATAGTACCACTGATGGTGTCTTCACGTTCGACATGATATTGGGCATGTCATTTTGTAAGTTCATTAGATACTTATGGGTTCATTCGCTGACTATGTCATAAAGTACGGAACGCTTACCTCCTTATCAACTTTGGTGACTTCGTGGATGGATCCAACACCACCACAGCCGCTCCCTACATCCAGATGCTGCCCGTCACCAATGCCACACTTGCAAGTGAACAGTTTGCTCTCTTGAGGCAAAACCAGACAACCTCCTCCGGAGCGCCTTCGAACGTAACGAACACGAGCGGAATGTTCAGGAGATCATTCGACACTGACGACGTCGCAGAATTTTCAGCGGAGCAAAAGAAAACTGCTGTGTGTCTTGTGGGAGCTATCGTGGCCGGTGTGATTTCCGTGTCCCTGCTGGCGAGCATGTGGTATGTCTACTGCAGACAACACCACTCGTCAATTTTGGGACAACAGCAGATTCAGCTTGATGGAGACGAATATCCCTTACTCGAAGAAGATACCGAAAAGGTATATCTCCTTCCCTTTGATGGTGGCAACGCCTCAGTACCAAGTTCCACGAATATTTGAAAAACTGCGTTTTTCACTTATTTGTGCCTGGAGCGACTTGATTTCTCTGTTTTTGCATAGCACTCACTCGAATGGATTTGTTTTTTGTTTTCTTTCGAGTTATACACATAGTCATTACGTACAGTTACAGGCGTAATATACACAATCTTTTGCAAAGAACGATTCCTAGGAAGTCATGACCAAACCAACAAATATTGTGCCTAGTCAACGTCACTGGAAGCAAGGACAGATGTTTGAAACAAGGATTTTCAAACTTCTTCAATTAACGAGAGTGCCTTCTCCGAGCGAACTGTGATGGCGCATTTAAATGGCTTGGGGTGGCTGTACAACGACAAACCAATCCATAAAACATCGCTTTTTAGTAAACAAAGTAAACGAGTACCTTATAGTTCCTGACGTCTGTCCAATTTCAGGGGTTATCGACACGCCATTTTCGACGCACTTTGATATCTCAAACACGGCCGAAACCATTGCGCACGAGATGAATATCGACAATTCTGCTAAAACGATGCCTGTGGGAAGAGTCAGTACTACTATAGGTACAATAATCTAAGATGGCAGTACCTGGGCAGATCCTGATGTTATTTTTAGTTCAATCACAGTGATGTCTTGATTATATAGCGCTCACCGTCTACCGAAACCAAAGCACGTTCCACGGGGGTCAGTCTCTGCTGGTTTTCCCTCAGAAGCGATAAATCGATCTGGATTGAACTCCTCCGGATTTTTGTATACCTCGGGATCATGAAGCATTTTCCTGGAGTTGATGTCAGTAAATTTCAGGGGCTCGAACTAAAAAGGAAGTCCTTACCATATATTTGGTACAATTATAGAACCTTTTGGTATGAAAAAGCCATTGTAGACGTCATCCTCCGAAGAAGCATGGGCCACACCTAATCCATATAAGCACTTGGATCATCAAAATACCTACGAACATACCAAGCGGCCCTAGAACATGCCATCGCAACACCTCCAGCACCATGGCGTTGATATAAGGGAGATCCTGGCGGTCAGCAATAGTGGGAAGCCTATTAGTGCCGATCACACTGTCTATCTCTGCCTGCGCTTTCTTCTGTACGTCGGGGAACAGGGTCATTGCGAGGAAGAAAGAGTGGATAGCTGCAACAGTCTAATATGTGATTCAACATTTGTACGAGATGTGGAGCCATGAAAAATGATTTACCGTATCTGAGCCACCTAAGTTTAACAATCAATTATTATTATTACTATTTTCTTCACCTTTTTTGGAGCCGAAATAAAAACTCACCAGCGTATAGTGTGAGAGCTGACCATTTAATGAGATGCTCTTCCTTGGCGGAAACTTCCCGATCTTCGAGTAGCTCAGAGGTAAAAGAGTGCAGGGCAGTACCCGCTTTCTGCAAATAAAGTAAGGGTTAAATGAGTTTGATACAGTATATCGTTCAAGTGCTCTCACCATCTGCTCCTTAACATATTCATGAGTCTTGGTAGTCATTTCTGCCAAGCTCTCATGTCCGTTCTTTCCTATTGTCTTGAACTGGGTGCCCGGGAACCAGTCAGGTAGGTACCGCACTGTTTGTTTTGATTAAATAGGTGGTCGGACCATTCAAACAGTAAGATTTATGCTCACAAATTGGCATAATATCCACAAAGAATGCGCCAGCAGCCGTGGTGACAGAATAGTAATGCATCGCTTTATCGGCCACTTTGAGAAAAGGATCATCAACATTCTGGGCTTCGTATCCATGAGAGATTCGTAGAATGTTTGACCCAGCAGTTCTGCGAAAGCGTCATCAGAGCTCTATCGAAATAATTACTTTATGAGAGTAAACTCACGTCCGTACATGATGGCCCACACGAGACGGGTCTCTCAACACGTTTCGCAGAAAACGTTGGGAGTTGCCCTCCATGAGGTTTTCGTATTTTTGCATGCTAGAACGGCTGCCAATAGTGCGATACAGATGCTTGCGTTGTTCCCGAAAATCGTCGCCATACTGCAGAAGCACCATGCACTGGTTCCAGCCCACAATATCACCTGCCACCGTCAACTGAGGTCTATCAGAGTACACCAGCCCTTTATTGTCCATCATGTCAAATGCTGCAGAGGCAGAGTTTACGATGATCATGTGCTGCCCAAAGATTTTGACGGAGGATATATCCCCTGTATATGTAAACATGGTTGGATGATGTTGCACACCTAAAATACATTCTTACCGTATTTTTCGCCCCATTTTGCGAGGGTCAGCCAAGGTGATTCTTTGGGCATATCGAGGGCGTTGCCCAACAGTGGAAGCCCTTTGGGGCCAGGCGGGAGTGGAAAGGCAGGTTTCTTCTTCAGGAGCTGGTTCACAAAGTAGAGCGCAAGACCAGCCAGAGAAACGTCAAGCCAGTTAACTGAAAGTGTCATGATTAGAGGGCGCGATGAGGTGGCCTGGATCGCAAGATGCACTGGGGGTAATGAACAACTGGGTTTCCGAGACCACCGTATATAAGCCGTTCAAAGGTCTCCACTCTCCCTACAAGAGATATGTACCTGATGCCACATCAAAAGTGTTGTATAGTTCGGGTCTGCGAGAGAAGCGGAAATGAACTTGAAGGTTCCCGGACAAAAGACAAATATTGCTTTCAAGGCGTGTGGAGCTTCGTGAGTACCAGCGTTTTCTAAACCTGTATGGATATGAACTCGCCAAAAGGAAAAATCGACATATGACTGAAGACACTCACGGACACATCGATCCTCGCTATCAGTAAACGTGTCGGCGGAGGTACCGAGCGCTCATATTTGTATTATTATATATCTGTGGGGTCGTGGAAATGACTAGCACAATGGAAGTTTCTGCATAAAACTACATGCGGAGCCAAGTGGCAGCGATCAGAAGCGGTTGTCGTTGATATACTTATTACTAAGTAGTGTAGACTTTTGTTAGCCAACGAATCATAGAAGACGATCTAAATGGACTGGGACACGTCTCAAACCCATAAGTATTCCAAGTCCGTCGAGTGTGGGCTGATAGGCCCATCTGCAAAGTACAAAATTCTCGCTTATGCATTTGCAATTGTGAGCTTCCTGGCGGTATGCCATCCGATTGGCTGGTTCAGACGACATGTCCATTTTAGGTAGTCACCCAACTTGGGACAGTCGGATTGAAATCGTGAAGTATGATTAGATTGCTTGCGGCATGATAAGATACTGATAGCTCAAAAGTCCAACGATAAGATTGCGCAATGAATTGATAGTCGAATCAAAACTATCTAGAATTCAGACATGAATGTATTGTATGTTTCCTTATCCGAGAAGTTGTTTAGGTAGAATGTTGTAGGGAGCTCATGGCAATTAGTAGCATTCAATCTACGGTCCATTACCTTTCTGAATACTGGGATGATATCAACAGGAATGAAAACTGCATCCAGTTGATAGATACCCCCCGCTTTGACGGTCTTGCCTGACGGATTTGTGGGCCTGTACCCCCTCTGGAGAAGGAACATCTGCACGTCCGGCTCCTGTAGGATGGTGCCGTTTGTGTCTCTATGCAAGCCCGCAAATTCAAAGCTCTCTGCATAAACAAACACCAGGAATACCTCAGCATCCCACACTGCGGAGGATCCAACTGGTTGGAAAATGAGACAAACTTGGGCGACTTGCAGGTCTGTATGTGCGACAGTCGTCAGCCTCATCCAAACAGAAATACATATCAGCACTTACTGGAGATCCCCCCACCCATGCCTGTATGAATCAACACAGTATCGCAATTCCCAAACAGTATTTTTGTGGAAGGTGGATAAGCTTGTATAGTTTGCGGGGGCATTATGGAGTGGGCGCGAAAGGTCGAGAGGAGCCTTATGCCATACATTCACATGTGTGAATTGCTTATCCAATGCCTGGAAGAAACTGGCTGTAGCATGAGGCAAGTTGGTAAGTGAATATTTGATTGCTATGTCAGTAAGACAGGCCCTTTGCAAATTGGGCTTCTCTGTAAGATGAAATGCTGTTCGAGCGTCGACGGACTTGATGCCTTTGAGGAATAAATTGTGCATTGGGTGCACACTCATTATCCACTTTTCATCAGGCAAGGCACACAATAACCAGCTTGATTCTGGGTCTGCTTCAGCCAACAATGTAGATTCTTTGGTAACGAGATGGTTCAAGAAGTGTTACAATAACACATTTCAGACCTTTAATTTTCATTCTCCTCTTTAACCTTTTACTGTAGTTTTCACACTCTGTGCCATGCAGCACTTTCCCTTTTGTTCAAACTCCACTTTCTCACGCTGCACTGCCTTTATTCTTATTTTAGCTACAAGTCTCTCACACAGTGGAGCTGGTCACACGGGCTGCGCCCTACGACATCATCAGCCACTGCTTTATCAACTGTATAGTACAATATGTACAAACAACCTGTAGTAGTATATATACCCCAATAGATCAAGGAGACTCCTCAGCGAGTCCTCCTGTTGTATCCTCACAACTAACTTGTTGAAGCCTAAAGGGTAACCACTCCCTCATCATTTATCTCTATAGTTGGTTCTAGTTGTGTGCCAGAGTAACAAACTCTTGGTTGTTACAAGAAGTTGATGTTTCAATCCCGCAGAGTAGCATATATATTGAATAAGTGTGCTTTCTCCAATCAGTCGAGAACTTGGACACATTGCAGCTCAAAGTTGAGTCGACCGTTGGTAGCACTAAAAGGGTGTTTGCAGTGGGTATGTTAAAGTGATTAATTGGAGTGCTTGCACCCCGACGTGTTTCTGCATCCAATATAGACTGTTTATTGTCGTGGAATTCCCCAAGCAATGCGACCATAGCTGCTATCGATGCTGCTGTGTGTACTGGTGTCATGTACCAAAGTTGATTGGTAGCATGGACAGGTGTCAATAACGAAGCGAATATTCAAAAAGACTCGCCTTTGCACCACACAGGCACAGTGCCACATGGAATAGTAATTAATATTGCCTTTTTCGAACTTGTGGCTGATCAGCACCACCTCTATCAGGCAATCCAGTCACGCTCACCTTTGCTTTTCCATTCAAGACTTTCCGCGTTTCGGCATTTCGGCAAATTTTCACATCGCCACTGGCTACACATTGCATTGCACCCTCACTTTTGTTGTTTCCTTCACTTCCCTTCCTTTGCCTAGCCCCACCATGGGTCCCTTACTCTCGTTTTTATTCTCACCCGACGGTCGTTTCTGGATCCCCATTTTAGTTCACCTCCTTGTCACCTCCAGCCTCCTCCTCCTCGTCTTCTTTGCTCCCCCACCATTTCTGATGTCACCACTTCCTATCCGCTTCCGTTGTCATGCACCAAAGTTGATTGGTAGCATGGACAGGTGTCAATAACGAAGCGAATATTCAAAAAGACTCGCCTTTGCGCCACACAGGCACAGTGCCACGTGGAATAGTAATTAATATTTCCCTTTTTGAACTTGTGGCTGATCAGCACCACCTCTATTAGGCAATCCAGTCACGCTCACCTTTGCTTTTCCATTCAGTACTTTCCGCGTTTCAGCATTTCGGCAAATTTTTGCGTCGCCACTGGCTACACATTGCATTGCGCCCTCGCTTTTGTCGTTTCCCTTACTCCCCTTCCTTTGCCTAGCCCCACCATGGGCCCCTTCCTCTCCTTTTTATTCTCACCTGACGGTCGTTTCTGGATCCCCATTCTAATCCACTTTTCCGTCACCTCCACCCTCCTCCTCCTCATTTTATTTGCACCCCCACCATTTCTGATGTCACCACTTTCTATCCGCTTCCGTCGCAGATCCGTTGACTACCACGTGCCACTGCTGATATCAGCAAAGCCCCGGCGGCCGGTTCAAATAGGGCAACAGGTCCATCTTCATGACGTCGATCTACCATCATATACTATCAAAACATCGGTCGCTCGTCTTGCCTGGTTGGAGCGTGGGTGGGTAGTTTTTGAGCTGGAGAAGGTTCATCCCCTTGCGTCGCCCATGTTCATTGCTGTCCCATTCACTTGGGTACACTTATCTTTTGTCCATCATCTTCGCTACAGCTACACCTACCACACGCTGCCTGGGACTCACTTGTTCCAAATTGGAACTACTCCTCTCCCTCCCTCGTTTGATCAGGTGGTCCAACACAACCAGTCCATTGGTAAGGCCATGGAACTGTCGGATTTGGACTAGGTGGTGGACCGGTGGCTCCAGTTTCTTTTTTTTCAGCAGAACATTCATTTACAGTGCGATTATTTTTTGATTTTTGAATCATTTTTATGGACACATATTTTTTAGAATGCCTGACTGACAATAAAGGAACTGTGTTGATACTGATAGTGTTTTGCCTTGCCCTTTTTTTACTGTATCTTCCCATGTCATCATGATTTTCCTGCTCTCTTTTTGCTATTGGACTTTACTTTATGGCTGTACAAACCTGTGACATTACTCACAGCATTCATTGTTCTATCCCTTTCTTTTCCTTTTTTGACAATCTTATCCTGTACTACCTACGCAGGATTCGTCGGCATACATTCCTTCCTTCATGTTCTTTCTCATTCTTTTTGCACAGCTATACTGTGCATAGCCTACTTTTCTTTTACTATATAAACCCCTGTATTTTACCTTGTAAAAAAAACAAGAACTCCAATCCAGACTTCTTCTCTAATCTCAAGTTCACTACTCTCTGCTACTTGTGATCCAGTGTGGTCACAACACTTCCCACTGCTACCACTGTTAACTGCTGTCATCGTCACTTGTCACTTTTTGAAAGTGATTGTTATCCCTTTCGATTAGAGTCCTTCTGAGCACTACAGTTTGTGCGTCAGGAGCCTGCTATCACTGGGAACCTCGTCACCTCGTCATCCTCATCATTCTCAAACCTACCTTGTGCTACAATTAGCAAGGTAGTGCTTGTCTATACTCGCCACAAAGCCCCTATCTTTCTATATTCCAACTATCCCTCCTCCTCAAAACCCACACCCATACATCTCTGGGTTTTACTTTGAAGGATTGTTATATGTACCACCCCATGAACAACCAGACCACTCCACTATTCTAGGAGGCAAAGCCCATAAACAAGTTCCGTGGAATCTGGGAGGATTGTGTGTTAGTTTGTTTTGTGTGTGTTTTTTTCTAACACCAGTTCTCATCATCGACACCGGGGATTGAGCTTGATGTATAAAGTTCACAAGGGCGCAAACTGCACGTAAAAAAGCAGGTTCAACAGCCCCTGCAGCCACTGCTACAATTGTCTGCTGAATCTCACGGTGTTTGCGGCCAGTCATTTGTCTGACATGTGAAATGCCTGATCCAAAATGTCGGAAACCGACTCTTGCATGCAAACACTGATAATGAGCATCCAGCTCATCCCTTCCAATTGCCTCTTTACACCACAGGAGAATATGATCAAAGAAGAATTTGTGGCAAGTATGGAGGACTTCGGGCACCAAGAACTTGCAAAGGTCAGTGAGTGGCCAGTCACGCCAGAATGGATGATGGACACCATTAAGATAGAGGGACTTTGCTTCGGGTAGATAGTTTGCAAAGTCCCAGATGTTGTGCTTGATTCCAGCTATTGTGACCAGCGTCTGAGCACCTAGACGAGGAGGGGAAGGGGTACTATTGCCAAATTGATGTAGTGTGGCTTGGGATGAAGGGGATGCATTTTTTGAGGTACATGAGATCATTTGCTGTTCAGGAAGATCCGCTACCCATGAAATGAAAGGAGTATAAACTCGATGTGCTCTCCCATTGGGGTCTCCCATCCAAACACCCGTTGAAGCTGCAGCTTTGAGGTTTTTTGCAACAAGGTCCATACACATGTGCCATACACGGTCGGAAAGGACAGATTGGTACTCAGTATGACAATCCAGGAAATCGGGCACAGGTAAAAATGCGATGCATAACCAAGCATGAGACATGGCTTTCATTTGTACATCTGATGCAATGTTAGCAAGTGTCAAGAATGTTGGATGCATATCTATCCCCCCAGTCCCTCAAGTGACTGTGGTCTTGTCTGAAGCACCAATAACTCCTATGATAGTGGACCCTTTGGGCAGCTGATCCTGGAGTTTTGTTAGTAACTGAAAAGAATTAGAAATGAGAAATCACCTGTATGGCCCATGCATAATCTCCTGGCATCCATTCACCATATTCACGCAATCCTTGAGTGTTCCACTCACACCTTGGATTATACATCATATGCTTTGTGAAGATAGGGTTTCCAAAAAGTGCCTTCACTACCTCCAACCCATCACAATACAACAAGATCATGGGTTTTGCTGTTTTGTAATTCCCTGCATATATCTCTTGCATTTTCCACTCCGGTCCACTTGGAAGCACTTCCATGAAGGAAGTCAAAGTATAGGCCGACGTGAAAGTTGGCTTTGTAGGTTTTTTTGTCTAATCCTCAAGCCATCAGTGTCTATCCATAATTGACTTGAAAGAGTGACTCACCCAGGAAAGCTTCAAGAATTGATTGATTTGTGACTGATTAAGTGTTTCAGTAAGAAGCTTTGCAAGTTCCCACTCCTCTTGATGGGCAAATGGCCAAAAGACATTATGGGTACGCTTATCTGCATATTCATTAGAATCCATTTCATGTAGGATATTGGGGAGACTGCCATATTCGAATCCAGAGTTTAGGTGGTATAAAACCTTGGATCCTGGCATAGAATTTGAAGTGCTGGGGTCAGCCCAAGAAGGTTTGTCGCTACTAAAATCATAGCAAGATGGTATTGGATCAAAGACCTTGCCTTGCAGACTTCTATGAAAGGGAACCGGTACGCAAGAAAGAAACAGATTGTTAAGATGTTGAAGTACATCGTTCCAACTTGCGAATTGTTCGCTGCAACCAGGTGTTGTAACAACCAAGAGTTAGTCACTCTGGCACACACTATAAAGGTAGTGATGAGGGAGTGGTTACCCCTTGAGCTGCAGAGAGTTTGTTGGTATACAACAGGAGGACTTGCTGAGGAGTCTCCTTGATCTATTGGGGTTTATATACTGTTACAGGTTTGTTTGTATGTATGTACTAAACAGTTGCTAAAGGCAGTGGCTGATGCTGTCATAGGGTGCAGCCCGTGTGACCAGCTCCACTGCATGAGAGACTTGTAGCTAAAATAAGAAGAAAGCAGTGCAACGCAAGAAAGAGGAGTTTGAACAAAAAGGGAAAGTGCCGCATGGCACGGAGTGTGAAAACTATAAAGAAGTTGAAGAGGAGAATGAAAATTAAAGGGAAGGTCCGAAAATTGTGTTATCGTAACAGGCGCGACTATCACCCCAACTCAATAGCACTGCGGATCGCCCTTACCTCCCTCCCCACATGCAATTTGGGGCTGGTGGGGATTTTATATCTGACAAAGAGATTCAAGCACTCCTCGCAATTTGCGTAGTGCCACTGGCACTCACTCAGCCCTCCTCTTCCTTCTTCTCAGATCTGGACACCGATCAATTGCAACTACAAGGCTCTCCAACCTCAATTGGTGGGCCCTTGCAATTGCAAGACATCATGTCTTGGAGTGGCTCAATCAGTGGGCCCTCGCAATTGCAAGGCATCATGTCTCCGAGCAGCGGTTCCTCTGGCGCTCCTCCCCCTTCCAGTACGTCCCAGCCTTTGCAGATCTCATTTGCGCCTACCCAGCCTATTGTGCAACGTTTGGAAGGAAGTCCCAGGAGGCCGCCCACCTTTAAGGACCAGCAACCCAACCGAGTTAACGCATGATCAGACAATTGATCAGCGTATTATCCATGTAAGTTCCTTTTTATATTCCATAATGTCCTATCTTATTAACATCTATTTTATACTCTATAGCCAGGTAGTTCCACATCAGCCAATGACTATTTCCGTTCTCAAAACCCCCTTGCTCGTCTTCCACTCACCCCTTCTCCCCCACCTGCCTCCACCAATGCACGTAACGAATCCAGGACCATATCCTTGTGGCGCATCAAGCATGAAGTCAAATTTTTGCCGGAGCACATCAGTGTCGCACAAACAAGGATGCGTAAGTATGTCCTTCTCAAGGACACCATGCTGACGAAGCAACAAAAAAGCCAAGAAGCCAAGGACATCCTTGGCTCCCTGGCCGTGGAATACGGTGCTTGTAAGTACTCATTGCCATGCTGTTCCAACTTACTCATCATGCATTTTAGCTGGGATCCTTGCAATAAATAAAAACAATGTCAGCCAAGTGGTGGGTGTAACAACCAAGAGTTAGTTACTCTGGCGCACACAGGAACACACTATAAAGGTAGTGGAAGATGGGGAGTGGGTACCCCTTGGGCTGCAGTGAGTTAGTTGGTATACAACAGGAGGACTCGCTGAGGAGTCTCCTGGATCTATTGGGGTATATATACTACTACAGGTTGTTTGTACATGTGTACTATACAGTTGATGAAGGCAGTGGCTGATGATGTCATAGGGCCTAGCCCGTATGGCCAGCTCCACTGCGTGAGAGAGTTAAGTCTAAAAGTAAAAGAAAGGCAACGCGGCGCGAGAAAGGGAAATGTCGCGTGGCACTTAAAGTATAAAGTTAAAGCGGAGAATAAAAAGGACAGGAGATGTCCGGAAATTGTGTTATCGTAACAGTGGGTGTCGTATCAGATGTACGCCGGCCATTCATGGCCAACTCATCAAGCGCTGTCGAGTCGGCTTTCCAGTTGCGCCTGCCATTAACGGACCATACAACGGACCCAAAGGAATTCAAGGCCAACCGTATTGCGCAGGTCCTAGCCGATGAGTTGCCGGCCTTCCTCCACACAATTGACAATGACGGAAATGTCCTACATTCCGGACACCACATCATTCCCGACACCATCCTCGACTCCCTCTTCAAACACAAACACCTTTTTGGCCATATCCTTGCTGACAATCTGAAGGATCCCAGAAACACGCTGGACATCATCATCAGCCTGGCTGCAACCACGGCATTTGCGTCCCTCAAAGAACGTGGAACTGGCGTTTTCAACAAGGTTTATTTCAGAGCAGACGTTTAACACACATTTTATCAGAAGTGTATGGACGTGATAAGGGGGATTCGCAAGGCTGGCAATGAGGCCGCCGCTGCAAGGTTTGATGCGTACGAAGCTGATATTCTTGCTCGTGGTCTTGCGCTGTAAGTTTTATTCTCATTATCTAACTCATGTCTCACTGTCACTACATCTCAGGGCTTAGTTTTTGTTTGATTCACCGTTTTCCATTTGGTTTTGGGAGCGTCGCACATAGTGTACATGTATTGTATATCAGTGTTTTTTTATCTCAATAGATTGTGGTTGATCGCTATCATATCTATGTTTGATAAGATTTCTTTGTTTATCTCCTCAATCTATTTACACCGCGAAGCCTTAATTCTAGGGATTACTATATCAAGGTATATTCGATCTAAATCTGAGGTTTTGCCGTCGCGTTTCATGCTAGTCCCATACAGATTCTGAAAACTTTCTGTCAGAAAGTTTTCTGGCCTTTTTTGGCTCAGATGTAGCGTTCTAGATGTCAAGGTACATGCCCTTTTGAGCGGCACCCACAGGAGCTGCATCATCATGTGATGCGATAGCGGTACCATGATGTCAAAAAGGCCCATCGACGCCAATCAGGTTCGCGGCGGGAGTACTTACAAGCAAGCCCCAACGCTGGAGAAATTCCTATGACCATACAATAGGTTGGCGATGGTTCTACTGAAAAACGTAACTAATCCCCTCCCGCGCATCACATCGTGACACGCGGTAATCTAACCGATACATACCTGTACCAGCAAGCAAAAAAGAGGCCGTCATACTGTAAGCGCGGATTTCGTACGGCGAGTTCGGGAAGATAACAGTGGGTTATAAATTTCTGCGCTCCGCTTGCACAGGTGGTAACTATTAAAAGACGATGCATCAATGAAGATCTGTGGTCACACCACAAGCTACGTCGTGCAATTCTTTAACAGCCTTTTGTCGCACAACATCCCATATACTGTCACGCTGAGCCCTAGCATTACCCAAACCATCTTGTATCTCTTCCAAGCGCTCGATGTATTCTCTTTCGTCGTCTTGAAGTTCAAGTAGTGTCGCCAAGGACTTCTCCAGGCTGATTTGTTGCATTTCTAGGGATGCAAAATGTGATGGTTCCAGAACAGGTGGGCCAGAGTCTGGATACGATACGAGAAATAGTTTACGGATGATCGGCGTTAGATCTGGTGCACGAGCGAGCCTGCTTTCAGAATCCTCTTCTTCCTCGCCCACTTCTTCCTCACGTTTAGGTAGCAAGGGTGGTTCTTTCGACTTAGCATCAGGATCCTCGCTGAGTACCTGCCACAGCCGATTAAGAGCTTGTCTCACGGAAACTTCCCCTTCGATGAAACTGGTAGTCGCCTGGTCTAGCTCGTCAAAAAGGGTGGAGCGGAAAGAGCGTGTCACAGACTTGTCCATTACGAACGATGAGAAACTTGTGTGACGAGTATTTGGTAGTTCATAGGGAGCATCGCACGAGGGTGAAGGTGAACGCAAATGAGGAAGAGTGAGTGGCGAAGGGGGACGAGGCGCTGGCAGAAGCGACATCAGACGTTTGCGGGCTCGTTCATCTGCCTATATAATTTATTTATGAGGGATTCACATGTCATTTGCTGAATGCGCACCTCCCATTCAACCTTACTTGATCCCCAATTTGCTGCTTTGCCCTTCCGAGCCCATCTTGAATCATGTGCCATCTTCTGATCCCAATTTCCACCGCTAATGCTAATCGGTGTCTCTTCAGAATCAAACCCTCGAGAAGGATAATACCAAGCATTATGGTCGCTCAAAGACAAAAAGCTGCAGTGCGTGGCAAATCAGTTCAAAGCCCCAATAAAAGAACAATATAACGTACATATCATCGTGGTCGGACTGTTTTTGTGTAGTCAACGGTACATTGGAGAACTGCTGCCTTGGAGGGAATGTCGTTGGCCGTGCGTGTAAAGGAGGTTCAGCCATTTTCGTGGTCTTTGCATACCCTCATTATATGTTTATGTGCAGTGGCTACCAGGTGGGTGGCCACCAGAGTGCAGTTCAAGCGGCGCTCGCCGTGAACAGCGTTTCCAAGTTTGGCAGTGCAGCACTCGCTCGTATCATACTTGGACCAGCAAAGTTTGGGGGTGTCAGATTGGCGTGTATTAGATAGTAAGTCCTCTGTCCGTCATATCGGAACGTGAATTCACCTAATGATATTTAGGATCATACCAGTATATATGGCTAGCGTTGTGCTGTCCGAGAAGAAAAAATCAGAATGGTGTGAATTCGCAGTAAATTACTAGCTTTTGGCGTCTGGCCTCAAATTCTGGGTGATAGAAAATGTTTCTATCTCTGCATCATCCATCCTTCAAGTTGCAAAGTTACTATTCATTTAAAATTTCCCCTCAAGTGTGCGCAACCGTTGGTGCAATGCAAGATTGTTGTTGTACTTAAGCCTTCTTTGAGGTTCGCTTGCACGGCCATCATTTTCTCGACCAGTGTTTAAATTGATCAAAATGACACTACTCAATAGGCTTTCCTTCACTGTAAACACCCGAGGACACCTGATTGGCCCCGCCCGTAGCTTTGCTGCGGTGTGAGTCGTAAACATGGTTTGGTACAGCCATTGTAACAAAACACAGCATCCTCATGACCCTGACCGCCCTACACGTGCAGGATATATGTTATAAAAGGAGCCCTTGAACGTTCCGCACCTCATACTTGTGCCTCTTGTTTCTCTGTAATGCGTTCCAGTTTTCTCGTTCCGTTTAGTCTCCTTGTGCTCCTTGATGGCATCAGTGCAACGCGGCTGGCTCTGCAGGGCAGGGCGTCCCCCGAGCTACCAGCGCTTCTTCGCCGTGGAATGCTTTCTGGCCAGGTCACTAGTCTTAACGATTCCGGAAATATCAACCATTATGCCAATATTTCATTGAACGGAAAGACGTATGAAACGGCGATTGATACTGGAAGGTGAGTCGCTATTTATTGGCCATTTGTATTACAGACCTTCAACGTTTCTGCAGCTCTGATTTATTCGTGACATCTGCTGTCCCGAATGCAACCGATGAACACTACAATGCAACCATCAGTTATGCATCTGGGGGCGCAACGGGTATGTGTATCAACAGAAACTTTATCAGCTGCTTTACTCAACTCTAGTACCGATCAGGAGAAGTGAAGGCTGCAACATTAGAATTTGCAGGTTTCGAAATACCCGACCAATTCTACAGTAAGCAATTATTATTTCTATCTTTAACAATCGTTTGACCTGCTTACTCGCGAACAGTCGAAGCACAAAACATATCGTCGGGCTTCGCGGGCACAGGGGGACTCATTGGTCTTGGTCCTAGTCAGGGCTCTGTTGTGCGCCTCGAGGGCAACAGCTCTGCTGCAGACACTCCCTTGGACAGGATATTCCGTCAAAATACTTCGACACCCAACTATCTGTCTGTTCTTCTTGGGCGATCAGATGATCCCGACGATCCATACCCTGGAGATTTGACTATCGGGGAGCCACTTCAAAATTACACCGATATTCTCAAACAGCCAAGACTGAACGTCACCGTCTCCTCTGTTAACGAATTCCAACACTGGCAGACATTGCTTGACAAGAACGGTATCATAGGCCCTGACGGAAAGGCTATTCCTATCACTTCTCAGGTTAACCACAGTATCGATCCTAGCAGGGCAACGGTCATATTTGACACTGGTTTCACTTTACCACAAGTGCCTGGGTAACGTCTGCTCTTACTGTACTTTCGTTGCGTGTTTGCTGACGTAGTTGACAGATATGTTGCCAAAGCAATCTATGGCGGTGTCAATGGATCTTACCTCTACAATATATCAGGAATCGGCGAAATTTGGATTCTTCCATGCAATGAAGAAGTCAATGCTACTTTCCTCTTCGCTGGTGTCCAATACCCTATCCACCCACTTGACCTGAACTTTGGGAAAGGCGAGTTAACGGGTGTTGTCCCCAATGGTGCTGAGATGTGTGTAGGAGCGGTATGTCTATGTTTTCCCCTAAAAATAGACCGTGTTAACCCAAATAATTTATCAGTTCCAGCCATTCTCTTTTGACCCTCGCATTAACGACGAGGTTATCTACGACATGATCTTAGGCATGGCATTCTGTAAGTTTTTCTCGGCATTTTCTATTTACTTACTGATCGTAAAACACAGTGAGAAACGCGTACCTGCTTGTCGATCTCGGTGATTTCATCGACGGATCAAACTCTACGACTGCCGCGCCTTACATCCAGCTACTGTCCGTGACCAACGCCACCGAAGCAAGCCAAGAATTCGCTCAGCAGCGGCAGAATGGGACAAGCGCAGGCGACCTCAACGCCTCCGACGCTCTCGAGACTGATTCTAGCAGCTTGATCACCACACACACAGTGACGAAGAGCACGATCAAGATGGCGGCTTGGGTGATTGCTGTGATCGTTGCAGCTGTCGTGGTCGCCTTCTTGCTGCTTGGGATTTGCTGCTTCTGCATTTGTAGGAAGCGTGGTAAGCGGTCGAAGGGTGCTGCTACTTCCGCATGGCCCGCTGCTGTTCCTGTTTGGTCTGCTGCCCCTCCAAGCTACCGTTCGCTACAGGACCCACTGGCAGCTCCCCAAGCACATGATGAGATGCACAAGAACCCTAATTCAGCTCCAGCCGTCTACGCTCCAGAGCAGCAGTATAATACCGTATGGGACCGGCATGTTTAGGACACTTTCTAGGGCACTTTCTTACTTCTACTTGTGCTTTCGTTGTTTTTATTTATGACTGTCACGTATAGTGTAGAACACGCTCGGGATGGACGTAATTTAAGTATCATTACACGCTCTTTTTTAAATAAAAATCACCCCAGTTTGTTGGATATATTCTGGAAATCGGACTTAAGAGTACGATTACTATTTATCTATCTACTAAAGACACTTCGAATACATAGGTTTCATTGGCCCGAAGGTCTTCTGAGTCTTCAACAGCTCTTTCATAATTAAGGGAATGTAGATAGCAATAGCATGGCCTACGGCCCGAGTATATGTTTTTGATAAACATTGTCGTAGAACTAATTGCAACTCTGTGCAACTCTGCCAGCTTGCATTGTTGTCCCACTGGATCTAGTGGGCTGTTTGGAATGTAGCCAGTTTGTAACAACACATAGCGTGAAGCTCGAGGTATCGACGGTCTGGCAGTGCGATATTACGATTTGAGGGCAGCGTAATCGGTTGACCCTGCCGCCATGCAGACCTGTTAGGCGTGGTGCAAACCTGGTACTGGTGTGGTATTGCCTGATCATGAAGGGACCGTGAGCCGTCGTATAAGTATACTCAGTCGTGCTTATTCACAGTGCATCCAACCAAAGGTCGAGATTATCGAACAAACTATGGGCGGTAGGATCAAGAGTCAAGACATTCTCGACACGATGGATTTCGTTGCCTATAAGCTCTTCCCAGCCGAATGTTAGGCCAAGGCAGCTCAAAACAGCCCACACAGTGCTAGTGTGGTGATGCTGAAAAATGTACGTTGTTGGAAGTGAATTCGAAGAAAAATAAAACAATCCACTTTGGAGCCACCTGCAATCGGTCCACTGATATCGCGGTTCACGTAATCGGGAATGATATGAGCACATTCAGTGCTACTTGTTCGGTTGGGTAACGCAGCAAGATAACCAGCGTGCGCCTCGTGAGCAGGATCCTCTGTATTCACGTCGTAGGAACCAGAGACGATACACCGGTGATTATCGCGTATCAATACTATGGTGAGATTTGGATAAAAATGGACGCACTAATCGTTTAACTGTTTGATGGTCTTTGGGTGACTGTTGTGAGATGTGCATCATAAAATCTCGAGTGTCATCAAACGACGGCCGAGAGGGATGTTCTGATGGCGCTGGCGTACGACCGTTTGCTCTCTTGACTGTCAAAGAAACAACGTCAAGGACTTTCTGACCATTCTGTACCCAAACGAATCTTGCACTCACAGCACCGGATGAACACGTTGATGTAATGCAACCCCAGATCGGCCAACGCCTCCAGACCCATGGCATAAGCATCCGCTATTTCGTTGCTTAGGTTTGTCAAGGTAGTATCATTAGGGGCGTGTATCAATATGTAACCAAGAACTCGAGCAAGGACTAATGTGTCGATGCCACCAACTTGAATAGGAGGTGTGCCAGTAGTCGCCGCAGCTTCGAACGCCAGACAGGCGGCATATACATTGTGATATTGAGTCTGAGTAACGATATCAAAAGGGTTATGTTGAAGAGGTTGTGGCATTGGAAAGGGCGATTAGCAAGATTAGAGACGAACGCGGGTAGACCTGTCAGTGTGATAAGATATGATTAGATAACGATAAGGTAATAATTTAAAGTCAGCATAACCTTGGTCCCATAGCGGTTGGAATATAACAGCTGTAAACAAGCTCCAGCCACAGCGATGGTCCTCTACTTAGTCTACTAGGACCATTATCATAATTATTATCATTTTAGCTACTAGTATACACTTTTCTTGGACGGCAATGGCACCCACCCTACAATATCATTGTCCTTGCTTGACAAACGTGACATCCCCTCTGGTAGTCCCTCCACCACCTCACTTGGCCTCCTCCTCCTCAAGCTTTCACCCATTGCACACTTTGTTCTTTTGCGAAGAATGCGATGCTGTTCGATGTGACCGCTGTGTGTCTGTCGAAGTGAGCGGCTACTACTGCCCCAACTGTCTATTCGAGGTACCCAGTGCGAGCGTGCGCGCAGAGAAAAATAGGTGAGCAGACACAAATGTTCATTGTCATCCCATACCTCATCAAAAGATATCAGATGTGCGCGCAACTGTTTCTTGTGTCCCAACTGTCGAAACACTCTGTCTGTCGTTCCTTCAGACCCACCAGATTCGGGAGATGGTCGACTATCGTCCATTCCTCTCAGTACAGTTGGTGAACCGCCATTCTTTCTTTACTGTAACTACTGCAGATGGGACTCGGCCGAAATTGGCGTCACTTTTGAGAAGCCTACCGGATTAGCTGGTATGAGCCACCTCACTGTTTGTCTTTTATCGATTGACGTTATTCAACTTCAACACTCGCAGCCCAACTACAAAAATTCGAAGACTCGGCGCCGGAGTCGTTGGAATTTGAGAGGTTGAAAGAGCATTTTGAACCTTTTCTCCGTACATCATCCCTCTCCTCTCCATCCCACCAACGCACTCCCTCCTCACACCATGTTCATACCTCTTCCATCACAGCCGCTGCTTCCGCTGCCCTTGCGCGCGATATACCCGGGGTCAGCAAGTTTAATCCCATCACACGTAGTCGATCTGGAAAAGATAGAACCGCAAACAAGGATGAGATGCACGAGTACAAGAGTAGGGTTGAGGTGGCAGCTGCAAGTCGATCAGGCGCTGGTGAACAGGTTGATGTTGAGTTTATGAGACATATTGAGACTGTTGGAGAGGTGGCTACATTGGAGCAAAGATGGGTCAACAGCTGGACATCTCCTTTACAAACTAGGTGCGTGGTGGTGGCATTATCAAAGTATACTGAAAACCTATCATCCCTTTTATGATGTCAGCGATCTGAAGCCTCTTCGCGTACCTTTACATTCAAAGACATCGAAACGATGCCCTACCTGTAGGCACATCTTAATCAAGCCAGAGCAGAAAGCACAATCAGTGCGATACAAGATCAAGTTGGTCGCTGCTAATTATCTTCCAGCTATCGTGGTCGCTCTTCCTCTCCCTCAGTCTCGCGCTGATGGGTCGAGACGTGGTGCATCTGACGATAGAGGCTCCAGCACGGGCGGCGTTCTTCGAGCCGGGGAAGCATATCCTTTCCACCTTGCTCTAACTAATCCTCTATATGATCCTATTCAAGTCAAACTTAATGTTCAACGGATGCACGTGGCTACTTCAGGTGATGGTGCTGCTGCAAAAGCTCGTAGGCCTCCGTTTGTTGTCTCCCTCCCGACATCACCTTTTCCGGTTGCTGCGTTTGCCGAAGCATGGGAATATGAAGATGATGAGGATATGTTTAGCACTGGGGATGATAATTTGGACCATGACACTGATGGGAGAGGTTTAGGAAGTAAAGATGGGCGATCTAAAACTAAAACTGTAGGCGTTCTGGAGAAGAGAGCCAATGTGACTATGGTTGGTGGAGAGGTCACGATAGGAAAAGAAGCGCGAGGAAATGTCAAGGTTAGTTTGACAACACAGCTCTCATGATCGTTGCGAATAACTTGCCATCATAGTTTAACATGCTTGTGGCGTATACGTACCGGTCAGATGACCCAGTGCCTTCAGAAGATGGAGGTACACCTTCCCGTACGATGGCCAGAGCACCTGAAGTGAAAACGTTCTCGTTTTACACTGTTGTTGATCTTGGACCCATAATACCCAAAGAGGAATCCAGAGCTGAGGATGGCTGAGGATGAAGCTAGATTGGAAGGTCTGATTAGAGGAGACTAAAGCTAGAGTTACTGGCACTGTTATTCTACCATCATTTACAAGACTTGCCATATTTGTGAAATTTCATCAAATTTTAGAAACAGATAATCGACCTGTGGGAAAGCATAGCCTTTTTGGTGGCACTGGATACTATGCGGTACCTTTCCCGCATCTAATACCGCTACGCTTTCTTGACCTGGTCGTCCATGCTATCGTTCTCTTCAGTTCATTGAATTCTTTAAAGGCAGGCGTTTGGTGTATATTGTTTCTTCAGCGCTGGTTTTCGCTTTTTATTACTTGCCGGGCAAGGTTTTTTTATTGACCTCTACCATCATTTCCAATGGCGTTGAACGCTCCAATTTCTCAGGCGCTCAGCACATCAGACGCTGATAGAGAATCGTCACCACCTCAGGCAGGTCCTTTGCCGTTGAAACGTGGAGAAATCGGGTACAGGGAGGAAACTACAGTACCCGCTGAGCAGCAAACTGCTGAGTCTTCAACTTCTTCACCTGCTCCTGATTCCCAAGCCTCGGAAACAGCGGGCTCTACATCTCCACCATCTTCCTCTGCTGCCCCACAGACAACCTCATCTACAGCCTCCAGTAACACACCCTCAGATCATCCGTGTGCGAAGAAACTTATTGCGTCACTATTCAAATCAGAAAAAGTCCCTTCGTATGGAGGCATATGTCTATCGACCTTGCTGATATTTACCCTCCAATTCTTGATCATCGCTGTAACTGTGGTAGGATGGGTTTTGTCTGTGCAGCATATCAGCACGACGAATGCGACAATGTCAGTCGAAGGCAGTTCGGGACAACAGAGCGTTCTACCGTCCAGTACCACTGTCGTCTACGTCCACATCATCTTTGCCATCATGGTCCTTGTCCAGCTGATATTCCTCGAACGCCGGATATTCCGCATGCGCGCCGAGCGGTTCGTTCACTTACATCCTGGAGCTATCTTGCCCACGTCCCGCAACTTTTCGTCGTCGTCTCGCAATATGGGAATCGTTCCGTGGAATCGAGCACCTTTACCGACATATGCTGCTGCAATTGCTCAAAGTGGACATGGGACTGGAGATGTGGAGGATAATATTATTGCTGTTCCACCTCCGCCGGCCTATGGCAACACGAGGGGTAGCAGGCTGTTGCTCGCTGGATATTTGAGGAATAGTCTCAGGGCGCAGCGCCCTGTCTCCATTCGTAGCAATGCGAGCGAACTAGAGGAAAGGCCTCACAGTTACGTAAGCAGTGATGAAGAGTGGGAAGTTATACGCAATGCAGAAGCTGCTAGGAAACTTGAGGAGACCTTGTCGAAGGAAGGGGACGATGATGACAGTAGAGTTACGAGTGACATTGATGCTACGGCAGTAGGCACAGCGGTTTGAAGTATGTCTATGCATTAGTGGATTTGTGCTGTGTCCTCCCGACGCTGGTCTGTATAGCTATTTATGGATGTTTCTATTGTTCATAGGGCGTCATTTTCTTTTTGCTCTTTTGCTTTAGTTTTTTTTCGTTTTTCGTTTTCACAATTTATCTGTATCCTTACATCCCAGGATCAAGGTGAACCAAAATGGGTGCAAGAACGATAAGGTGGCGTTTGCCACAGGTCGATGACTAAATTACTGCGGTACCTGGTTGGAAACATCTAGCCACTGCGAGTCCCGAGATTTCAAGTCAAGGAGGCCTCAAGAGACGAAACTGAGACGAAACGTTTATAATTGCGGCGTCTGGTAAACGAACTCCGCGAATATTGACACGCGGTTCAGGGTATGATCTGACTCTTCAATATGTCGCAGCGATCACTTTTTACTGTGGGTTAAGTATAGCAGAGGTATAGCATCCGTATGACTCACGACCATCATCCACACTGAAATTTGAGTTTTTGCTATAACTGCGGCACCGCAGTATTGCTTGTTAATCGTGTTTCGACTGTAACATACACTTTTGTTTAGATATGACTCAAGCTGACGTTTGCCTAACCATGTATATAATTTGTATAAGCTATTTCGGACGTAGACATTCACTATTTCGCCTCATATTTCCATCACTGACATGGACTCGGACCACACTCTACCTACCTATACTCCTTCAACGCCATCTCCGTCTTACTCGACTATTCTGCTCCCAGGCGAGCGGACCGTTGAGCAAACACAGAGACAGGCTTTATCCTCTTATACAGGTTCTTTTCGAAGAATAACGGATGACATTACACTGGTTCTGAAGGATCAGCGTCCAGGTAGCATCGTTCCTGCGTACGGTCGAAACGCCCTGGTACGAGGTCATATCTCTCTCCACAACGTGGACACTCTTAGCGCCGTGCACTTGAAGGTAAAACAATCATACTTTATCCCATATGCCAAGTGTTGACATGATTATCTTAGCTCGAAGGCGCGCTCACAATAGAGATGTCTTTCTACTCAAGTAAAACAACGCTTATCGCCAGCTCGTTCACCATGTGGCAGTCCGACGGCAGCTCTTCTGCGCGTCCTCCGCTCAACATACCTTTTGTTTTGGTATTTCCGACAACTTACCAGGACGGAGGCCAGGAATATCCTCTCCCTCCAACTTTCGACAGTGAAGGTAGTCCCGCATCATGTTCATATACTCTCACTGTCGCTCTCTCAAAACCTCGACAACTTCTCCCATTCTTGACTCAAAGTGAAACGTAAGCAAATTTATCCTCTTGGTATATTAGACGTTTTACTTATTCTTTTTCTTGTTTTTCATCAGATTATCTATTCCTCTACATTATTACCCACGCTCTCGTCCCCATGCACCTATATTACCCAGTGGATTGTCTTTCATGTCCACCGTAAAATCGTCGCCAGAAGAGTGGCACCAAGTTATGTCCACAATGAACTCGGTACCAAGTTCTGGTATTGTACCGATACAGTGTTCGGTGAATACCTCTCAATTCTCGTTATTCTTTCACCTTGCCAACTGAACTTTACATTTTAACTTTTACCAGCTCTTCATCCCATCCGTGCAAGTCTTCGCACTGACCGATGTCATACCATTCCACCTACAACTCCGCGGGCCGAAGTCCTCATTATCTGCATTTATTTACCATGTATCTTCTCCAACGGGGTCCAACTCGAGCTTAGGAATCATCGGTACTGCTATTCGAGTTTACATTTCTCGCCAGGTAATAGTAAAAGTTGGCGAAGAAAAAATCCATCGCAAACGAGTCCTCGGTGAAGGAACATTGCGGGCCTTGTCATCTTCTAGTGACATCAAGCCTATCTTCCGTCATTCTTCTTCGACGGACGGCTTGGATACGCTAGATTGGGAAGGTGAATTGCAATGTAACAAGGAAATTACTACGCCTGGGTTTAGTATTCCCCAGCTTGCTGTAAAGGTGTGTTCCCACTTTTTTTTTGCCAGAAATTACGAGTCTTGATATCAATCTTCTCATTGCAGGATTCTATTGTATTGTCGATCACACCTCCTCAACCTCTCACATCACCTCTCCTCCGATTACACCACGAACATGTCATTCGCCTTGCTACAGACCCTTGGTCTGACCAGGGCTGAAAATCCATGTTACGCAGATACCAGTGATGATTATAGACTGCCAGCAGTCATTTCTCTTGTTTTGCATTCTCGTGGCAAATCCAGTTTTTCCCTGTCCTGAAGTTTGTAGCCTGACAATCATGCCCAGATATTGTATCTCATCTCGTGAGCATCACCGTACATATCTTGCGCAGACTAATTTACTGATTATTATATTCAGAGAAGATTACTGTTTCTGGTCCACTTCCCATAACATTGTATCAAGCCAAGTGCGGAAGGGGTAGGAGTGGAAGGAAATGAAGGAAACGAGCCAGGGGAACGGGGATGGGAGCGCAATGTGGGAGGTATTATTCGGTGATGGGCTTTTGAGATGGGAGGTATGTAAGGGGTGTTTATAGCGATTAAAAATGTACTCTCTCTGGCTAGGTTGCTAGCCCCAGCGTCCCACCAAGAAATGAGAAGAGTTGGCGCTGTTCGCCGTTGAAGCCCAGTTCATGATGCATGATTTTGGTGACCAGGTTTATATAAAGCCATGAAGTGCGAGGTTTGTCTTTGGACCTTAGGGGATGACTTGTATACTCGTCCAGGGTTTGCAAAGTCGAGAGACAATGTGAGAGTAGTCATGCGGAGCCTTACCATGAAGAAATGGGATTTACGTGGTGTGCATCGGGTCTTTTTATCTGGGCAGAAACCGCTATACGCTCCTTAGAAAAGGGTGATACACTAACGCGACCGCAGATAATACTCTTTAAAGGATCTTAAGACATAGAGCATAGCGTCAATCATCTTTATCAGCAGATAGCTACCAATGCGTGGGACAGCATCGGAGATCTTGGTAACATGGTGCAGCCATTGTTTGGAGCTATAGAGCCCGTCTAGCTGCATTGGCAGAAAATTGGGGTGCCGAGTTTTCTCGTTGTAGAATACGCAAGTCCTGGAGTAAGGTGTGATGTCCAAGATAAGGCTGATCCATATCTCACCTTGAGGCGTCCATACATACACCCTGAGGCACCATGGTCCGACATTCACTCGACTCATCGCCCTCTCTCGAACTCGCACTCAAAGGAAGAAGATGTCGACTAGTAAAACAGGGTAAGGAAAGAAGGCGGCAGCTGTAGGAGAAAAAAGAGAAAAAAGAGCTTGGCCAGTTGAAGACACCGCCGAGTTTCTGAATCTCATAAAGGCTCACCAGAAGTTAGGTGGCCCAAAGATGTCCTTCAAGAACGATTTCTGGACTATGATAGCCCAAGAAATGGAGACGCATACAATGAAGGGCTCTCGAAAGAGTGCCCGGGCGCGCAAGGATAAATGGAACAAGGTCAGTAAATGAACAAAATCCTAGGAGACATGACTCACATACTCACATTTACAATAGCTCAAGGCCGATTTCAAGAACATTAGTTACCTCAAGTTGGCATCTGGGTTCACTTACAGTGAAAAGAAGGATGTGGATGTAAACAAGGCATCTCAGGTTGTTTGGGACAATGCCGTCCAGGTATCTACCTTCATTTAAACATTCACACACGCTAACCCTCACATATTTGTCTCAGGGAAACCTGAAGAAGGATATTAGCTAGTATAAAAACAGCCAATGGGTGTACCTCAAATTGATGCAGGATGTGATGCCTGAGCATGCAACAGGTGCGCATGCCTTCTGGGCTTCTCAGAGTGTTGTAGGAGGCACAGTCAGCAATGAGGAAAATGACGGCGAGATTGAGGGCGATAGTGACGAGGAAGCTGCCATGAATGTCAATACGACGGGGAAGGACTCACCAGCAACTGTTTGTACTAATGAAGTTACCATAGTTCCTATCCATACTTCCAATCAATCCATTAAATCCATTACAGCCCGCCCTCCTATTAGTTCAGCTTCAAACATATCTGGTGGGAAGAGAAGGTTTATGTTGGTAGAGGGTTTTGCAATGGCAGAGTCAGTAGTAACTGGCACATCCCGTTCAGAATCTGCTCGTCTATCTGGTGCAGCCACTCTCAATGGTCTCAAGGAGTAGATACAACGGAGCAACGACATCCAAGAGTTCCAGGGGATGGAATTCATATCAATCATCAAGCAAATGGCTTCGAATAATATGCCAGCCACTCCTGACAAAACCGGATAAACCCGGTCTCTGCCAAAGCAGCCATTGTTCTGCATGGAGCATAGCCACCACTCCATGGAGTCACCATTGTTCTCCTAGGAGTCATTATACTGTAGCGAGTAGCACCTCCGACTATAAGTAGTAGGGGGTTTAGTATAGGAATACCTCAGTTGTTTCTATAGCTTCTCGGGCAGCAGCTGAGGTATGTTACATTACATTTATTAGAGATCACCTTAAACTAACATCTAATGTAGTTTCACTTAGGTTGACAAATTATGACATTTGTTTATAGTATGAGAAAACATGCATTGGCCAGGGCTTGAACCTGGGACTCCAGCTTTCATGGTCTGGTGCTTTACCAACTAAGCTACCAAGGCGTACTTGGAACGCATACTGATTGGTTGCATGCCCAGAAGGTCCAGAATCACTGTACACGGATGTGGATCCCATTGTGTTGTGATAGCCTCCCTCACCCGTGATAGAGTGATGTCGGATTACATAATAGTAATGGCACTAACATGGATTACATCTCATAACTATACTTAGGTTGACAATAAAGTCGTTTCTATAGCCTCTCGGGCAACGGCTGATTTTCACTTAGTTTTATTAGGTTATGAGCCCTGGTGCGCAAAAGCTACACAGGAAATAATCCTTATTTGAAACGGCAACCTTGGAACCATGACCACAGCACACAATACATCCGCATGTCCAGTTCTCACTGGACCCAACAATTTTCAGATATGGAAACTCTGGATCATCTCAAAGCTACGTCGGGAAAAAGTTCTCTGGGTTGTTACTAGAGAGGAGCTTAAGCCCTCACCAGGAAAACCTACCTCCTCGGAGGATCCTGAGATCACCTGGATACTTAAGGATGAGAAGGCACATGGAATCATCCAGGACCACATTTCTGATGGCCTCTGTTATGATCTCTATTGAACATTTAAGGACTACTCATTTCTTTTTACTCATTGGTCATACCATTGGACCAATGACTCATTTCCTTCACATATACTTCTGTTCCTCTCGTATTCACAGTACCTATTATAGTACTTAGTCCTCAACGGACGGACCTGCCCTAGATAGGACCTAACTCCTATCACCGATTCCTTTCCATTATAAATACCATGTAACAGCAGTAGTATTCTCTAATACAATTCTACGCAGTTTACACTTACAAAGTTAGACTCCTAAGATCAGACTTCTACTCAGAAGAAGACCAACTCCCGTTGGAAGACCTCCACTCAGAACTACGTTCTCGAACTTGTCTTCGGATAAGTCTCTTTATAAACCTCGACGAACCCTCAGACTTTGTTAAGCACTTCATGCGTAACACCCTCCTAATGAGGACTGGAGACCTCACCAGCTTCAAGGAGTTATTTGATAAACTTGTCTCACTCCATCAGATGTCCAATATTGCCTCGGCCTTCTATTTATTCCAGCAACTCACCAAATTGTCCTGGGATGGGATATCACCTATCCAGGACCACATTGCGAAAATCCAGACAATTGATTCACACCTCTCCGGAATGAAACTAGGAGTTGATACCAAACTCATGGCCTTCGCTCTTCTCCAATCTCTCCCATGCACTCCTGAATGGCAAATGTTTCAGTCATTGGTAATCAACACGATTGAAGAAAATAAACTTACCTTTGATGCAGTTGAGATCCGGATCACTGCAGAAGTTGCACAACAGTCAGGGAAGGCCCCTGGAGGTTCCGAAACAGCACTCAAATCTGAGGAGAAGTGGTGTGACTTCCACAAAGCCAAATCACACAACACCTCGGAGTGTGTCGAACACTTCAGTCAGCCGGAAAAGGTCAAAGGAAGAAGGGAAAGGAAAGACACAAGGATAAAGGAAAAGAGAAGGAAAAAGCAAATACAGCGGAGCAATCATCTGGATCTGACTCCAAGGAGGAACAGAGTCACATTGCATTGGAACATGTACATATTTCCAAGCCCCTTGCTAAACACAATCAAGCTTACCTTGTGTTGGAACCCAATAAGACCAAAACAACAATTATTGTTGACTCCGGAGCAACATCCCACATGGTCCCTCACCGCTCCTGGTTTGAGCCAGGAATATACCATGTTCTGCATCCTCCGAGGACAATCAGTTTTGGGGATGAATCCTCTGTAAATGCCATTGGCATTGGAACAGTAATCCTACAAGCAATGGTTGGCAAAAAGAACTACAATATTGCACTGTCAAATGTCTTACTTGTGCCAAACTTCACTTTAGCACTCGTCTCTGTCCACAAATTGTCCAAAACGGGGTTATCAACACTTTTTCCAGCAGGGTCAAATGCTTGTGAAGTTCGGAAAAAGGAGAAACTTATCCTCACTGCCTTACACAAGCGAGGACTTTATCACATCCAAGCAAAACCTGAAATCAACCCGGAGTCAGCTTTTGCAGCAGTAGATGTAAATTTATTGCACAGGAGAATGGGACACATTGGAATGGACCGCTTGCAACGAATGGTTACAAAAGGACAGCTCCAGGACATAGACACCCTTACCGGAACCCCGGAGTTTTGTGAACCTTGTGCTTTAGGAAAGATGAAGAAATTACCTTTCAAGTCCACTGGAGGAAACCAAGCCAAGCGCCCCACACAAATTGTGCACACAGATGTTGGAGGACCAATCAAACCAACTTCCAGGGAGGGTTTTCGGTACTGGATTATTATTGTAGATGATTTCTCCAAATTTTCATGGATATATTTCCTAAAACATAAAAGTGAAGCACTGGAACGATACAAGCAATGGAAAGAAGATGTCCAAACATTCTTCTGGACTCATTTGGGAGAAGAAAACTTCACTCCACTGTACACAGAATTCCTCTGGAGTGATGGGGGAGGAGAATATACTGGCAATGCATTCAAAAATCAACTCCGAGGAGATGGTGTCATCCAAAAAACTACAGCTGCAGATACTCTGGAACAAAAGGGCATTGCAGAACGCATAAATCAGACATTGGCTACATTAGCAACCACTATGCTCCATGATTCTAAGCTCCCAAAGTCATTTTGGGTAGATGCCATGCAAACAGCTGCATATATCACAGCATGCAGCCCAGCATGAGGACTCCATGGAAAGACCCCATATGAAATACTGTTTAAAAGGAGAGTTGATCCAACTTTATTTTGCCCTTTTGGATGCCAAGCATATGCCTTGATTCCGAAAGACAAAAGGCAAGGGAAGTTTTACTCCAAGGGGCGCAAAGCCATAATGATTGGCTACACACATGGAAAGCAAGCCTACAAACTCCTAGACACTGAAAAACGAACTGTGTTTTAATAAAACTAAGTGAAACTCAGCCGCTGCCTGAGAGGCTATAGAAACGACTTTATTATTTACCTAAGTGAAACTACAATGGATGTTAGTTTAAGGTGATCTCTAATAAATGTAATGTAACATACCTCAGCCGCTGCCCGAGAGGCTATAGAAACGACTGAGGTATTCCTATACTAAACCCCCTACTACTTATAGTCGGAGGTGCTACTCGCTACAGTATAATGACTCCTAGGAGTACAATTTGTTAGTTTTGGTGATTCTGCACCTTTGTGCTACCTATATATTTTCATTCCTTTCTCTATCTATTCTTCTATCATTCACTATTGATTGTGTTCTCTATTATTTCGCCTTTGTGGCTGCTTTGTTTACCTTTGTTTACAAAACTTCGGACAGTATTGCAGAGTCCAATGCTTCCTATTCTCTAGTTACTCACATTGGACTCTAGTTCCAGTCCCTGATTGCTCTCAGCAAGTGGCTAGACACTTCCTTCAAGCTTTGTTCTTAATAGGTTATGAGCCCTGTGCTCTAGCCATCTTCCTGACCTCATATCTCACCATCCAAGCGTCCTACTGCTTATCCATCATAACCATTGTCTTCTGGGACTCTTATTATCTCATCCATCACCTCAGATTACTCTGATCTCATCTTGATCTCCAACAACAACTCCTTGTTGCAAGTTACCCCCATTTTGGACACTTTTTTGGTCTTATCTGCACCATATCTCGCCCAATCCTTATCTGATCGTCCTGTAACTTCTACCATCGTCTTCTACGGCCTAAATAACCCTAGGAGACCTGTCAGAGTGGTTGAATTTGAGCTGGATCTTTCTGTGAGCCTTCATCATCATTTGATCACCTTTTGGCACCCTATTCCATATCTCCACATCCTGTGCTCGGATCTTGGCCCTATTTGAGCCATCTACTACCCTACACTATTGCACTTTACACCGTCAATTTGGGGGCAATCCATCCACTCCATCATCCTCTGTGAAGTTTGCATTTTTGGCACTTTCACCCCTATTGGACTCCTATTGCATATCTCCACATCCTGTGCTTCACTTCTTGTGATATTTGGGCCATCTATTACTCTATAAAAATGTTCCCTATACCTCTGATTTGGTGGCAATCCATCCATCTTATCTGTCTCTGCATCAATTTCGACTTTTTGCCCTATTTTTCGCTTTTTGGCATATCTGGTGTGTGCATAAAGCTCCAATCTTCTCTACTCTGTCCATTATCAGATAGAACAAGCCTATAGACTGTGAAGCTCGCCTGCATTGCCTCAGTTTGCTGTTGCCTAGAGCCTCTCTCAGTCTGCGGTGTTTGGGGAGCTTAAGTCACTTTATTGACTCATATACAAGCCCTATTAACCAACACTGTCTCGAGGCAATTTCTCTGTTAATATCAGTGTGGAATTGAAAGGGGAACACAGGCGTAACCCTGTAGCAGCACTAGGAAGCCTTAGCACCCTCCTGGATCGCTTTTGGACGCTTTTTGGACGCTATTTGGACCTATCCTTGCGCTTTCTGACCCTCTCCATATCCTCTCTCTACCGCCTCACCATCTTATCTGCTCGCCTCCTACTGTTGCCCATTGTCTTTGCCACTATTCCATCGCCTATAGCCATCTCCTACATCATTTATCATTGCTCTATTGTCTTATACAACACCCATCATGTCTGACTCTGATCCCAAGTTCCATCCCTTGTCTGGCACTAACTACCCCCAGTGGAGTGGTGAAATGCAAGCTTGGTTGATGACCAAGGGACTGTGGAGGCTCGTCTCTGGCGCTGAAAAGTGTCCTGGGACTGACGCTGAAGCAATAGAGAAATGGGAGTTGAGAGCTGAAAAGGCTGCTGGTGCATTATATCTCAATGTCACCAAAGAGCAGCGCATCCATCTTGATGGCATCATTGATGATCCTGTCAAGATCTGGGAGAAACTGGCAATTGTGCACGTCTCTAAGAAGCCTGGGACGAGATTTAATGCCTATGACGACGCCTTCTTCTCTATCAGAAAGAAGGAGGACGAGTCCCTGCAGTCTCTCATGACCAGAATTGACGAAGGCATGCATCAGATTCAAAATCTTCATCCTACTGGCTTCTCATTGTCTGAATTGGACAATGAATTGACATGCATGGCCATGATTAGGGCGCTTCCTGATCAATATGCCCACTTCACTTCATCTCTACTACTTCTGGGCACCTTGGACAAGACCCAGCTCAGGGATGCTTTCCTTGCTGAAGAGGTCAATCGCCGTCGTTGTGCTGAAGTCGATTCTGCCTTGCATTCTTCGTCTACCACTGCCAATAGCACCTGCACCCATCCTAACTGCCATCATTGCAACCAATCCACCACCTCTACTCGCGTTCAGTGTGATTTCTGTGGTTTACTTGGTCATACCCAAGACAAATGCCACAGATACATTGCTAGTCGCCAACAGGCAGTGGAGGGTGCTAAGAATCGCTACAAGCGTGGCAATAAGGCTCAGGCAGGCTCCAGCAACTCTCAGAATACCTCTCAGCAGCCCAAATCTTCGCCCAACAATGCCAATTCATCTACTGTGGTCACTGAATCAGCTGGGAATGCAAGTCTTCGTTCCATTCATCCCTCTGATCCTCATTGCCCTCTCCAACTTGATGCTGACATTGATTGGAATGCAGACACAGGCGCCACTTCTCATATGACACCTCATCGTCATTGGATGCACCACTATACCCCATATCGTGTGCCAATCAAGCTGGCTGATCACACTGTTGTCTATTCAGCTGGTGTTGGTACTGTGGTGTTTAATCCTGTGATGAATGGCAAAGTGGCTAGGGCTGTGGAATTCTCTAGAGTGCTCCATGTACCAGATCTTCGAAATAATCTCCTCTCAGTCTTGTATTTAACTCGTCAAAGTGGTTTCAATGTCACTATTTCGTCTCATTCCATATCCTTTATGCGTGACAACACTCTCTTGTTCACTGCAACTATCAATGACAACAATGCAGCATTCCTTGATGGATCTACTGCTGCTTGTGTTGAATTGGGACATTTTACTGCGACTATACCACTTGATTTGATGCTCTGGCATCGCAGATTGGCTCACCACCATCATGCTAATGTCAAGAGACTGATACAGAGAGATCTGGTCAATGGGCTTACACTGGAATCCAAGGCTGCTCCTGATCCTGTCTGTGAACCGTGCTTGTCTGGCAAGATGCATGCCAATCCATTCCCCTCATCTGATACTCGCTCTGCTCATCCTTTGGACCTCATCCATTCTGATGTACACCAAGTCTCTTCCCCCACATTCTCTGGTTATCGCTACTGGGTCACCTTCATTGACGATCACAGTCGATTCCGTGTTGTTGTGCCTCTCAAGGCCAAGTCAGATGTCTTTGATGCTTTCAAGAGATTCAAGGCTTATGCTGAGACTCAATTGGAGCGTAAAATCAAGGCTCTGCACGATGACAAAGGGGGAGAGTACATGTCCAAGGAATTTGAGCAATTCACAGATGACCATGGGATTGTCAGACAGCATACCACCAGGAATCGTCCTCAGCAGAATGGTGTGGCAGAGCGAGCAAACAGACTTCTGACTGAGCGTATCACTGCCATGTTATCAGAGTCTGCATTGCCTAACAGCTTCTGGGGTGAATGTCTGTCCGCTTTGGTGCATGTCTGGAACAGGTGTCCCACTGATGCAATGGCCCATGCCACTTCATTTGAGTTGTGGTATGGACGCAAGCCTGACATGTCTCACCTTCGCGTTTGAGGCTGCACTGCCTATGTGCATGTGCAAAAGGACAAAAGAGGCGTCTTTGGCTCTCATATGGAGAAATGTGTGTTCATTGGTTACCCTGAGGGATACAAGGGATGGAAATTCTACAATCCTACCACCAAGCACACTGTTATCTCTGAGAGAGCTGATTTTGATGAGCGCTACTTCCCTGGCTTGAAGAGGTCTTCTGACAATGTCCCACCTCCACCTCCCACTCCACCTTCGCTATCCATGCCATTGGGCCTGATTGAGGATGTCCCTGCACCAGGTCCAGGGGGAGATATGGGCCCACCAGCTGCGCTTCAGCAGCCTCAACCATTGCCTGACAATGGGCCTCATTTGGACCTTGATGCAAAACCACCTGTGAATCAACCTCCTGAGCTTCCAAATCACCCTCCTCATCGCTCACCTTCTCCTGACTTGCCTATTGTACTGAGACGCCCTGTAAGGGCTAGGAGACCACCTAGACCATGGTGGCTTCAACACAGACAACCTACTCCTGCCATTGAGAGTGATGACAGTGATTCTGAGGCAGTTGATGATGAAGTGGCACACTTTGGAGACTCTGCTGAGCCTAGGTCGTTTGCAGATGCAATGAAGCGTCCTGATGCAGATAAATGGAGAGAGGCAGCCATGGAAGAGCTTCAAGCTCATGAGCGCAATGGTACTTGGTCACTAGTGGAACTACCTCCTGGAGTCAAGGCTATTGGTGGCAAGTGGGTCTTCAAGATCAAGCGCAACTCAGATGGCACTGTTGAGCGCTACAAGGCCAGATATGTGGCCAAAGGTTATAACCAGCGCCCTGGCTTTGATTTCCTCGAAATATTTGCACCTACTGTCCGCATATCATCCATCAGAGTTGTCCTTGCCATTGCAGCCATCCACAACCTCCATTTGCGCTCCATTGACATTTCCCATGCATTCCTGAATGGAGTCATGGATGTCAAGGTCTACATGCATCAGCCAGAGGGATTCCATCAGGGTCCTCGCAATCTTGTTTGCCAGTTGGACAAGGCCATCTATGGGACAAAGCAGGGAGGCAGAATGTGGAACCAGAAGATGCACACTGTGCTTGAAAAACTCGGATTTAAGCGTACTTATTCAGACTCTGCCATCTATGTCTTTAACAGAGCTGATGTGCGCATTGTCCTGCCTGTCTTTGTTGATGACATGACACTGGCATCCACTTCTACTTCTGCACTTGACCAAGCTGTCAAGGACCTCTCCCTGCACTTTAAGCTTTGTGATCTTGGCCCTACTTCTTACCTACTTGGCATTTCCATCACTAGAGACCTAAGTAATCGCACCATCTCCCTCTCCCAACATCAGTACACTCTGGACATTCTGGAGTGCTTTGGCATGAAGGACTGTAAGCCTGTGTCCACTCCCATGGATCCTGGTTTGCGCCTCACCAAGGACATGTCTCCCAAAACATCCAGTGATGCTGCTTTGATGAAGGACATTCCCTACCTTGCTGCTGTTGGTGCTCTGATGTATCTGGCCACTACCACTCGTCCTGACATTGCCTACACTGTTGGAGTCCTTGCCAGATATAACTCTAATCCTGGTCTTACTCACTGGAGCGTTGTCAAGCACTTGTTCCGCTACTTGCAAGGCACCCTTGATCATTCCCTTGTCCTTGGTCCTGATCCCAATTCCACTGAACTCTTCACCACTTTCTCTGATGCTGATCATGGTGGTGACAAGGACTCTGGTCGTTCTACTGGTGCCTATATTGTCAAGATGGGATCTGGGTGCTATCTCCTGGAGCTCCAAGCTTCAGAACATTGTTGCTCTGTCCACCACTGAAGCAGAATACATTGCTGCTGTTGAGGCTGGCAAAGAGATTTGCTGGATGCGAAATTTGTTGAAGGAAATGGGCTATCCTATCACCTCTCCTTCCACCCTTCATATTGACAACCAATCTGCCATCTCTGTATCCAAGAACCCTGAGCACCATGGTCGGATGAAACACCTTGATCTGCGATGGCATTGGTTGAGAGATGTTGTTGACTCTGGGCAGATTGCTCCTACCTTTGTTCCCACTGCTGAAATGCCTGCAGACTTGTTGACCAAGGCTCTTGCCAAGCCTAAAGTGGAAGGGTTCAGGAAGATGATGGGACTTATTAGATCAGGGGGGAGCTGATGCTTGGGAGGTGCAGCATCAGGGGGGAGTGTTAGTTTTGGTGATTCTGCACCTTTGTGCTACCTATATATTTTCATTCCTTTCTCTATCTATTCTTCTATCATTCACTATTGATTGTGTTCTCTATTATTTCGCCTTTGTGGCTGCTTTGTTTACCTTTGTTTACAAAACTTCGGACAGTACTGCAGAGTCCAATGCTTCCTATTCTCTAGTTACTCACATTGGACTCTAGGTACTGTATACCTGTCATACTCTCTAATAATATAGTTACTCACATTGGACTCTAGTTCCAGTCCCTGATTGCTCTCAGCAAGTGGCTAGACACTTCCTTCAAGCTTTGTTCTTAATAGGTAGTACCCACGGTCAATATTAGCCGTGTGAAACCCTACAAAGGGCCGCTGCCAGGACATCAGAAAATGGATGGACTGATGACTTTCTGTGCACCAAATGGTTTTGAAAAACCTTTATTCCTCAGACTCGCGCTCTAAACAAGACAGGCAAACCTATCCTCCTTATCTACAATGGCCACGGTTCTCATTTGACCATGGATATGATTATGCTTGCTGTAGAGAATAATATCCAACTTCTTTGTATCCCCCCACATACTACTCACCGCCTACAGCCTCTCGATGTTGGCGTTTTCGGCCCCCTGCAAAAGGCCTGGTACCGATGATGCAAAAAATATGTAGCAAAATTTAACTCATCTATTCTTCGGTGGCATGTTGTCAGGGAATATTGGGAGGCACGTAAAAGTGCATTCACCACTAACACTGTTCTTCAGGCATGGCACAAGAGTGGCCTCTGCCCATTCAACCCCAACATCTTCTCAGCCGTCAACTATGCACCAAGTGTCTCAACCTCAACCATCAAACATGCCCCTGCATTTTACCCGGACACATTTTCAGAGGGTTGGGTAGACGGCCCATCATCAGATGACCCAGATTTTATCCCCGATGATGAAGAGCAATTGTGTGAGCCAACAATTGTTGGCCACACCGACTGTCATGAGCACGACTCAGACAGCAGCTCTGAGGGGATGGGGAATGTTGATGATGGGTCAGAAACCAGCTCAGGCGAACCAGATGACGACGGCAATGGCAGCAGCAACAACAGCAACAGCAACAACAGCAACAGCACGGAGCTGTCTTCTAGTGGCATAAGGGCCTGGCTTCAAGTAAGCCAGGATGCTTTACCCCTAGAAGACATATCACATTGCACCCGCTTGTCCCAATCCCAATCCAGCAGGAACACGGCCCAGTCTCCCTCTCCTGCGAACTCGCGGTCTGCCACCCCTGCCGCCATGTCAATACCGCTGCAGCCAACATTGCTGCTGATGCTGATGTCAAAGAAGTTGCTTATTGAAAAGATTCATAAGCTGTCCATGCAGCTCAGAGAGGCATGGTGGGAATGGGATATGATGCAAAGGCCACGGTGCCTTTATGATGCGCAATGTCATGCACCAAAGTTGATTGGTAGCATGGATAGGTGTCAATAACGAAGTGAATATTCAAAAAGACTCGCCTTTGCGCCACACAGGCACAGTGCCACGTGGAATAGTAATTAATATTGCCTTTTTCGAACTTGTGGCTGATCAGCACCACCTCTGTTAGGCAATCCAGTCATGCTCACCTTTGCTTTTCCATTCGGTACTTTCCGCATTTCGGCATTTCGGCAAATTTTTGCGTCGCCACTGGCTACACATTGCATTGCGCCCTCGCTTTTGTCGTTTCCTTCACTTCCCTTCCTTTGCCTAGCCCCACCATGGGTCCCTTACTCTCGTTTTTATTCTCACCCGACGGTCGTTTCTGGATCCCCATTTTAGTTCACTTCCTCGTCACCTCCAGCCTCCTCCTCCTCATCTTATTTGCTCCCCCACCATTTCTGATGTCACCACTTCCTATCCGCTTCTGTTGCCAATCCGTCGACTACCACGTGCCACTGCTGATATCAGCAAAGCCCCGGTGGCCGGTTCAAATAGAGCAACAGGTCCACCTTTATGACATCAATCTACCATCATATACTATCAAAACATTGGTCGCTCGTCTTGCCTGGTTGGAGCGTGGGTGGGTAGTTTTTGAGCTGGAGAAGGTTCATCCCCTTGCGTCGCCCATGTTCATTGCTGTCCCATTCACTTGGGTACACTTATCTTTTGTCCATTGTCTTTGCTACAGCTACACCTACCACACGCTGCCTGGGACTCACTTGTTCCAGATTGGAACTACTCCTCTCCCTCCCTCGTTTGACCAGGTGGTCCAATACAAACAGTTCATTGGTAAGGCCGTGGAACCATCAGATTTGGACTAGGTGGTGGACCGGTGGCTCCAGTTTCTTTTTTTTCAGCAGAACATTCATTTACAGTGCGAATATTTTTGATTTTTGAATCATTTTTATGGACACATATTTTTTAGAATGCCTGACTGATAATAAAGGAACTGTGTTGATACTGATAGTGTTTTGCCTTGCCCTTTTTACTGCATCTTCCCATGACATCATGATTTTCCTGCTCTCTTTCTGCTATTGGACTTTACTTTATGGCTGTACAAACCTGTGACATTACTCACAGCATTCATTGTTCTATCTCTTTCTTTTCCTTTTTTTGACAATCTTATCCTGTACTACCTACGCAGGATTTGTCAGCGTACATTCCTTCCTTTATGTTCTTTCTCATTCTTTTTGCACAGCTATACTGTGCATAGCCTACTTTTCTTTCACTATATAAACCCCTGTATTTTACCTTGTAAGAAAAAACAAGAACTCGAATCCAGACTTCTTCTCTAATCTCAAGTTCACTACTCACTACTACTTGTGATCCAGTGTGGTCACAACACTTCCCACTGCTACCACTGTTAACTGCTGTCATCGTCACTCGTCACTTTTCGGAAGTGATTGTTATCCCTTTCAATTAGAGTCCTTCTGAGCACTACAGTTTGTGCGTCAGGAGCCTGCTATCACTGGGAACTTTGTCACCTTGTCACATTGTCATTCTCAAACCTACCTTGTGCTACAATTAGCAAGGTAGTGCTTGTCTATACTCGCCACAAAGCCCCTATCTTTCTATATTCCAACTATCCCTCCTCCTCAAAACCCACACCCATACATCTCTGGGTTTTACTTTGAAGGATTGTTATATGTACCACCTCACGAACAACCAGACCACTCCACTGTTCTAGGAGGCAAAGCCCATAAACAAGTTCCGTGGAATCTGGGAGGATTGTGTGTTAGTTTGTTTTGTGTGTGTTTTTTTCTAACAACAGTTCTCATCATCGACAGCAAACTGGCCCACTTGAAGGATAAGCTAAGTAGGATGAAGGGAAAGGGGAAAAAGAGAAAGGGGTTACACGTTCATGCCAAGCTTCTGACTAGTGCTGAGTTGCATGAGAGGCATATGGCAGAAGAAGAAGAACGGCGAGAAAAGGCGAGGAAAGAAGAAGAGGCCAAGGCCCTAAAAGCAGCAAAGACGGCTGAGCACCAGGCCCAGATGGCCAGGCTGAATGGTACCAAGGTCTTTACAGGAGCACTGGGCAGCAAGGCAAAGCCGGACCTCCAGCTCATTGCAGCAGCACTCAGCCTGAGTGTCAATGGCAAAAAGCAGGAGGTCCTTGATCAGATCAAGGACCACTTTGAAGCCCACCCAGACCTGAAAAGGAATGCCCGCTTTGCAGGTTTATTTGGAACTCATGCTCAAAGACAGGTACTTTTATTGACTTATTTACCAGCTCTTTCTAATATATTCTAGGCTGCTGCCCCTCCTTCAGCCCCCACAACATCATTTTCACTCCCATCTGGAAGCGGCATATCCATGCTTGTTGGTTCGTCACTTGAGGTTCCCCCCAGGTCCTTACCAATGCCATATCTACCCCAGTTGTATCTATCACAGCCCCACATGGGTTATCCCCCTCCGTTCTTGCCTGGTACTCATAATACTTTGACATTTTCTCCATCATCAAGTTCGGGTATTTCTCAACATTCCCAAAATATGCCTTATTTTGTAGTTAGACTTTGAATAATTAGCATGAGAATTAAACCAAGATAAAGAAAAGACTTATGATATTAGGGGGTGAACTTTGTAAGACTCTGCGTCAATAATTGTGCCTGCAAAAATAAAACCCAGTAGTATGTTGCCATCAATGGCAGAGACACACTCTATAACCGTAACTAATTCTAAGTTACCCCCGTGAATCCGATAACTTTGGCGGTTGTAGCAAGAGAAGAAAAAAAGGTGGCCATTGGATTTTCAACCACCTCCAAGCTGTATCCCTTTCTCGTCCATGTTGTATACATTCTCCCAAGGTATATTGTGCTCCTCAATCACCGCCTCAAGCTGCCTGAAAAAATCCTAAACAACAGGAAAGTTCAATGCTTGAGCCCGCATAGGATCAAGCGTTGATGACCATCTTGCTGCGATTTGGGCCTCATTCCTCTTGAGGAAGCATCGGATCCATTTTTCAGATGGATACTTGCTGCACAAGTTGTAGATGTAGGGGGCAACAGTTTGTTTGCAGAGAGGGTGCCCTGTATTACCTAGAAATTCAATATACTCCAATAATACCCCTTCCTGCGCCTGACTCAAATGTTGCTGCTGAATATGAGCCTCACGACTAGGCAAAGCTTTCCCATTATACCTCCTGAGTGCCGTATAGTAGTGTCTCAAGATCTCTAAGTCACGACATGCTGCCTTGAGGTTTTTCACTGCACCGGTACTGGTAGCTTTGCATGTGGCTTGTATTTGTTCCTCGAGGTCCACTACATCACTGGCGGGGGGCTGTTGAGATGTCAAAGCATGATGGCGATGTCTTCTAGTCCATATGGGAGGCATGGGATATGAGGATCAGTTGAAGATCAGGGAAAGCAGTCTGTTGATCAGTTGATAGTAAGTCCAAAATGCTTCATCACGAGTCAGTGATTGATGTTTGCAGGACGTACCGTATTGAAGCTGGCGGGCTTTGACTCACTATCTCAGTGCGTGATTTCCTGTTCTGGTCGTCTAATCATGCCTCCATCACTGTTCTCATTTCTCCAGACGCCTCGAGGCCATTGACATTTTCTAAGACAAAGCCACAATATTCGCAACACAGGATCTGGCCAGATCTATTCATCTTTCCCTCAAAATTCGCACTTTTGGAGGTGGAAGCCTTAGTGTCAGGTCTGCCATTGTCGCCACAGGTGAGCTATCTGTAAAATTCTTTCACCATCATATTCATTACACTCTATTCTACCTTTGACAAATTTCTAGATACCTGTACATCAATAGTTGAACCTGTGGAGGCCCAAGAGCATATCTACTACCGGTTGCATCCGGTGTCCAGCCATAGTATCAATCTGAATTCAGCTGTCAGTGTTTGGCCTGCTGACACGACTGGCTTGCAGGCTTCAAACGGAGCTTCAATTATGGTCATCTGAAATCTGATTGGATGCCGATTGTGACCCTTCGTGGCCACTGTTCTCAGCTCCATCACGATTCCAAGGCCTACCTGGCTTCCATCACACCTGCATTCTACAGCATAATTTTGCTATCAAGAGGTACTAAAGACCCTTACTAATCCACCTGTGAAAATTCGACAGTTTCATTTTTATCCCCTGGTAAGCTATTTCATCTTTGCTCAAAAATCATCAACAACTGTTCAAGCATAGTATCACCTTTTTCCGGGTCTACAGCGGCTGAACTGCATAGCTATTTCTAGATCCTTGTTCATCGGTTCTTCACTTTTAGAGCTATTTCGCTCACTGGCACTACCTATATGTATCCTTACATCACAGTACCAAGATGGGTGTATCAATCATAGATTGGAGGTGAGCTTGCTGCTGATTGATTTCCTAATAATAATTATGGTACGATCCAGTGGTAAAGGCCCAAGGAACTGCGAGCCAAGGAGACGGAAAGTTTGTTCTCGCGATATTCGTCAACCAACTCCGCGAATATCAGCGATATACTCAATGCAGGAGATGATACTAATGTCACAACGATCACTGTTGGGCTGCGTATTCGCAGCGGACTACTTACGTATAAAGTCCGTGTGACTCGAATCATCATCGACACTGAATTTGTGCTATGAGTCAAAAGGCTGCGCTACCGCAGAGTTGCGTGGCGTAGCAAGACTGTGCTTCGAGTATACGCGTCTATTCGAGTTGATATGACTCGAGATGACTAATACGTGGATATAACTTAAAGGTGTAACTATTTCAGACATGGAACTAAATATTTAGGACACTGCCTCATATCCCTATCGTCTACATGGACCATACTCCACCCACATATACTCCTTCAACGCCATCTCCGTCTTACTCCACTATTTTGCTCCCTGGCGAGCGAACCGTTGAGCAGACACAGAGACATACATCAACCTGTCATATAGGATCTTTTCGAAGAATAACGGATAATATTACCTTGGTTCTGAAGGATCAACGTCCAGGGAGCATTGTTCCCGCGTACGGTCGAAACGGCCTCATACGAGGACATATCTCTCTCCAACATGCGGACAATGTTACTGCCGTACAGTTGAAGGTAGAAATCCCTGCGTCATACTTTGTCCCCCACATGCCAAGTACTGACTTGATTATCTTAGCTCGAAGGCGTGCTCACAATAGATGTGTCTGGATACTCAAGTAAAACAACGCTTATCGCCAACTCATTCACCATGTGGCAGTCCGATGCTAGCTCTTCTGCATGTCCACTCACAATTCCTTTCGCTCTAATATTTCCGACAACTTACCAGGACGGTGGCCAGGAATATTCTCTCCCTCCAACTTTCGAAAGTGTAGACAGCCCCGCATCATGTTCATATACTCTCACTGTTTCTCTCTCAAAACCTCGGCAACTTCTCTCATTCTTGACGCAAAATGAAACGTAAGCATATTTCTCCTCTAGGTATCTTAGACGTTTACTTATTCCTTTTTTTCATCAGATTATCTATTCCTCTACAATATTACCCGCGCTCCCGTCCTCATTCACCCATGTTACCAAATGGGTTATCCTTCATGTCCACCGTAAAATCGTCGCCGGAAGAGTGGCATCAAGTTATGTGCACAATGAACTCGGTACCAAGTTCTGGTATTGTACCGATACAGTGTTTGGTGACTACCTATCAATTTTCGTTATTCTTCCACCTCGCCAACTGAGCTTTACGTTCCATTTCTTTAGCTTTTCATCCCATCTGTGCAAGTCTTCGCGCTAACAGATACGATACCTTTCCACCTACAACTCCGTGCGCCAATGTCCTCATTATCTGCATTTATTTCCCATGTGTCTTCTCCGACGGGGTCCAACTCGAGTTCAGGAATAAGTGGTGCTACCGTTCGAGTTTACCTTTCTCGCCAGATGACAGTTAAAGTCGGCGATCAGAAAAATATTCGCAAACGAGTCCTAGGTGAAGGAACGTTACGGGCCTTGTCGTCTTCTAGTGAAGTCAAACCTCTATTTCGACATTCTTCTTCGAAGGACGGCTTGGACACGCTAGACTGGGAAGGTGAAGTGCAATGTAGCAGGGAAATTACCACTCCTGCATTCTGTACTCCCCAGTTTGCTGTAAAGGTGTGTTTCCACTTTTATTTCTGCGAGGATGCCGAACCTTGACGCAGCTTAAAAGTCAATTTTCTCATCTCAGGACTCTATCGTATTGTTAATTACACCCCCACAACCTCTCACGTCACCTCTACTCCGATTACACCACGAACATTCCATTCGCCTTGTCACAGATCCTTGGTCTGACCGGGGCTGAAAATCCATGTTACGCAGATACAAGTGATGGCGATAGACTGCGAGCAGGCATCTGTCTTGTTTCTCTCATTTTTTTTTTGCATCCTTATAAAATCGCGAGGCCCAAATCCAGTTCCTCCCTGTCTTGAAGTTTGTAGCCCAACACTCATGCCTAGATATTATATCTCATATCGTGAGTTCCCCTGCAAATGACTTGCACAGGCTTGCTTACTGAAAACTACTTTCGAATATCGCTATTTCTAGTCCAGCTTCCCATATCAGTTTTCAAGCATCATATAATACTGTATCAAATAATCAATTTTTGTCAACGCTTTGCCCTTCATTGTAATGGTTAACATTATACGGATGACTTGATTGGAATACACCATCATCACAGTGTGTCAAAACGGGACTTTCTCCAGGTTGCAACTTTCCAAGATGCAAAACTTCAAGCTGCAAAACTTCAAAATAGGGTTGCCGTCTGGAAAATGTGAGGTGCTGGAACAACAGTTGTCATCATGGTCATGGAACGTTTTGCTGTATGACCGAGCAGTATCTTGATACAGGCCCATCCGAAAGCAAAGAGAGATGAATGAACTGAGGTACGATGTCGTACACGTTGTACTAGGTGACATTCTCAACTTGTGCTTTATTCCATAAAAGGATGTGCGCAGGGGATTCCATACCATTAGGGCGAAGAAACCGGGGATGAGACAGGAGAGGATCCTGTCGCCGGCAAGCTAGGGCCTTGACGGTTTTCAAGCTATATTTAATGGCGCAGGTGAATGGTTTTTGCTCTCTCTTCGGTCTAAAGCTGTCCATCTCGCCTTACAAATCACTTTCCCAGGTTAATACTGCTCAGATATAAGCAGGGCACAAGCGTCTTCTCAATTGTCAAATCTATTCTATCCTCGGAAATAACAAGTCACATGCGTCAGCCTGTGAATTATACCGCAAGGCGCCGTTGTCAACATGATCTAGAAATTTGTCTATGTGTGCTCAACGTCGGCCTGTTATCCAATTTTCTAGCTCACAGCAGAAGCGCTTCAGCACTGCAAGCAGTGCACTGTGTAATACAGTTCACCTCGGCCGATCACTTAGGAAACCTATGCACAGTACCTCAGCCTCGTGTTCTTGATGAAATCTACTCTTTGATAGATTTAATCACACCGTTAACAGGCTCCAAGTACACGCTCCTCGGGCGCGTTATGGAGTCCCGTCTGATCGCAACGTCCAGGACGTCGATGCATCAGTCTGCCTTGGAGATTAACGGACACTGCTGGAAAACAGCCGCCCAGTTGTCGGGACCTGTAAAGTGTCCCACAGCATTGGTTTCGGTCTTCCGCTTTCTTGGGGCTCTTCTCTGTCACATCCATAGAAGCCCCATGATGATCGCGAGCTTTCCGTTGGTCATCCTATACTCCTATTGGTTAGATGATTGGTGCATTCTAATGCTTCTATGATCACGCCCCAGAGTTGCTTACCGGAATCAAAACTCTTACTTTCAAATTCAAATTAAGAAGCGATGCAAAACCTGATCAACCCCGCCTTTCGATCATAAACGACTGGAGAAATCACGACGTCATGGCGAGTTGTACGGGCGTGCCAAATGCAACAGGCACTGATCGAGGCAGTTTGGTGGACATTGCGAGTCACATATGCAGCACCACAGGAACACATCGGTATGGAACCACCCATCTTCTTCGCTATCATAATCTACAGAAGGCTGTCGTTCGGAACATGGCCGTACTGCCACACACAAGTCCATCTGTAACACGAGGCTAGTGTGATCACCAACATCGCAATTCTACGTCATGTACGTATAGCACTTATCCGAACTGGATCAAGTTGAACGCTGTAATGCTCATGGATCAAGATATACATCAGAAACACCAAAAGACAGGCTTACCCAATGTAGAACTGGATGGTACCTGTTTGAATTTAATCCTACATGCACCACAAGCTAGTTCGATCGTGTATGTTGCGTTTTCACCACACGAAAACCTCGGTTCCGAGGAAAATAGCTGCCTGCCGTCTTCTACCTCCTGCTGATCAATCGTTGTATGTCCTAGAGGAAATTCCACTGTGCCCATGAATGAAATCCGCCTTGGGCGCGTGTTCCAGCTGAGGCTCGGCATAGGTTCGAAAGAGGTGACATTCCATATCTCGATCTCACTGGCATGGAGAGGACCAGATGAAATATACATCTGGTTAGCAACGCGCCTTTCTTCTGGGCTAGGAACAGTAATCCCAATATGACATGACGTTGCCTCGGAGCTCGGCATCTGCCATTGGAAGAACATCGAATCCTAGGGCAACTCGCGCAGTTAGGACACGGGCTGATCAAGGGACCGCAGAGCATTGAACCCACACTTTCGCTTAAGACTACTTCCGGGCTGGAGGCGTAGACTTTGTCAGGTAAGGCCCTGTTTACTCGGATAATGGACGAAGGAAACCAAGATATTGGTACTACTTTGTACGGTAAGTATTGAATGTGAGCTTTCGAAGTTATCAGCTTCACGTACCATCTTTATGTCTGGAACCTTGAGTCTGATATGGGTTTGGATCGCTCGGGCCAACGATGCCATAGGGTATGATATACAGAAATACCAACATCATGGCCAAAAGGCAATATATAAGACAGTTGGCCCATGTAAACCCCAAGGAAACAGTATCAACACTAGGGCCTATATTTCTGTTACGAAGTAAAGGACTGCGGGTATGAGTGATGTCCCCCTCAAATTCGCGGTAATCCCAGTCGTACACCGGGGGAATGTTATCACTTGGGGGGCACTCAGTGCAGAACGAAGGGCAACACAAAATGACTCACCTAGCGAAGTAAACCGCCATTATGGCTGAGGCGATTAAATGCGAGCAACTTGCTCAGACACTGGGACTCACTTGGTAGCCAAGGAAATCCGTCAACTTGAAACTGTTCTATTTAACACATTTGGACCGAGCGTCAATGCAATCATATGTCGCGATAAGACTGAAATGGGTCACTTACGTAGAATCTTCAGTCTCTGTGTTCCTTAAATAATTCTGACTTCTCCACGTTCCAGAAACCACGACAGTTAGTGGCTCTACAGCAGGAAGCGACTTCGTTCGGCAGATCTGAGATGAGTGCAAACCTAACTTAGTTCATTCGTACTCTATCAGGTCATATACATCATGGACCGTGGTATTAAGACAAACAGGTGTCGTCAAACGATTTCACATTCATCCTTCACTACAACTTTGTCAAGCCTCCTGATGCCACTAGATTGGCGACACCAACCCCTGGACCCCTGATTATGCCTTCGCCGTAAGATTATGTTCCGCCCAGCTGGGGCCATTATGGTTTTCTCTGACGAAGTCGTATATCTGTGTCCAGTCCCTGCAGACATGGGTCACGCCCGTTCCGTCCGTGCCTACTATTTTGCCATCAATCTCTATATTGATCGGATCCAGAGTGATATCCGAATTGCAAAGAATGGCCTGGCGCAGAAAGTTGAGACAATGTCCACTGTGTGAGTTGACTCCTTTGATGAAGGACTCCCGAATCATATCCAGGCAATGGATCTGGTGGAACATAGACACGCCAAAGATTCGTCCTGCATTGAAGGAGAGGACGAAAGATGAGCGGTATCCATGCGTGTTGGGGAGTAGAGATAAGGTAAGGGAGATAACTTGACATACCATCTGGTCCCAGTCGCACAAACCCATGGCCCTTGGGGAAATGGTCCAGCGAGTGCCAGTCATACCACGACATCGTTCCTGCAGTGCCGTAGCGGTCGGTATTCTCGAATGTCATGGCCACACTATCTAGGCGAATGGGTAGTTCGGTGGGATGGTCATCACCAACGTAACCTGCAGGTGATAGAACTTGAGTTGTAAAACAAAAAAGTGGATGAATGGGCGCACTGTATTGGCTATCGTCGACTGTATGTTTGGAGCTCAAGCGTCTGACAGCAAGGACGTTAAACAAGACACTGGCGATAAGAGCAACTACCATGAATGCTCGTTGGTCATCATAGAAATAACGTCGAATTGTCTTGAGCATGGTACAAAAGCAAATATAGGATGATCGGTATAAAGATGCTATACACAGGTGTGAATGGATACGTTAACTAGCGGGTCCTGTTACTTTGAAATATTAACACTTGAATAACTCACCAGCGTCTATCCAGAGCTCGAGGTTCGTAACAAAGATAGAAGCGACAGCGACATCTTAACAAAATGCCTAAAGATGTGCATACTTTGACCCGAACAACCACTGGTACTGATGAACCTGTCCAAGACGTCCAACTTGGTGCTGGCATTTTCCGCATCCTCCCATTCTCCGAGAAGTCTGATTGCCATATGCTCAATGACACGGCATCGCCCAATAACTGAGAATAGCTATTTCGTTTCTCTCATTGAACTCGCCGATATTCTCTGGCGACAATGGGACTTCCATCTAGGACATATGCAGTCTGAAAACGAGAAGGGAGATAGAGAGAAACATGCGGACACTATATTTATAGCTCCGCTTCAAAGTAACGGTTTATGTGCTGTCTGCCGTAGTCATGGCATGTCTGGGCTTCAATAATGATTCTCCGCCGCCTTTTCTCGAGGTAGCCTGCTATCACGGGAGTTGCCGTACCTCCATCGATCTTATGATAACGACGTTGGCCCCGCTTCCGAGAGCAAAAGCTGTGATTTTCGCGTGTTTTCCAGAATTGCCGCTATCCTTTTTCAGATGAGTCTCGTATGCACCGATTTCGTATGCAGGTCGAATCTATGGCAGAACCATTCATCACCCACAAGGTGACTTTTAAAAGGGGAATTCACGAGACAACAACGTCGCAATGACACCTGAGGAATGGACCGCACCATCGCCGGTTTAAACTACGTCGGGGAATTGCACTGGCACAGACTGGATCGTCACATGCTATTACTGGTTCAAGCTCATGCGCGCGGAAAGGAGTGGGAAGCCGAATATAAGTATAGCCTTGGTCCATATGGAATGAAATATCTTGGTTAGCGCTCTTTGCTCGCGATGCCTCACACGCCTCTTCAAGTTGACTGACTCAGTTTTTTTACATATGCGGATCTTGAAGCTCTCTGGAGTGCACTCTCATGTACATTGCCGACCTCCCCAGTTATGCGGCCTTGTCCAATGACTCGCCGCATACTCCCTCCTATACTCCCGCACCCCAAGCGCATGAACGTCGCTTAGCCCTGAATGATCGTGTGCGGGCGGGACCCTCAGGGGAGTTTGTGAAACAGACAAAGAAAGGGGATGTGAGCCTGCGGCTTGCGCGCCAGGATGACAATGCCGCTTTCCCCGTTTATGGGTGTGGACCTCCTGTAGAAGGAACCGTCGATATCGTCAAAACCGATGGCATCGCTAGCGTAGAAGTTAAGGCAAGTCATATGCTTCTACGCCATAGGGGCCTCGCACCCTTACGGATCGTGTGAATAGATTGAAGGTGTTCTTAAACTTCAAGAGATCGCGGAAGGCGGGATGACCACACACAATCTGTGTCTCAGCAGAGCCGTTCTTTGGGTGAAGGACAGGGACGGCGATGTGCTATGCCCTAATACGCTGCCCTTCACCCTCTCTCTCCCTACTACTTTCTCCGATGGTGGCAAGACCTACGTGAGTGTTAACCTGATAGGCCCTGTCAAATCGCGGTAACCTTGGCAAACAGCCCCTTCCTCCTACTTACGAGTCACACTTATCTGGCCTCCCCGGGTTCACAGCTACGATCGATTACAGTGTTAGTGCATTTGTCATGAAACCTAACCTGGTACCCAATTTAGTGAAATCGGCCTTATTTGGAAGGGACGGAAACTGGTAGGTTCACGAAATGCCCAGGTCATTGAATGATGAATTGACGTTTGAACAGGTCTGTATCCACTCCCCTAATGTATCGTCCCCGGTCTCGTCCTTCCGTGCCTTTGCCACGGCCCCTGATAACGAACAACATTGATCGCGGTTTTGCTGTACATCCCGGGTGGAAAATGTTTCCATCCTCTCTCAAAGCTAGGACTGATGGGGGGAAAGACATCATCTCGAAGGTATGTTTCAAATATTGACCTGTCTCAATGCCATATTTATCATGGCAAACTGCGTTCCCACGGTTTCAGCTGTATCTTCCTGCTTCTCGAATATTTGCCATCGGCCAGCCTGTCCCATTTCATCTCACGTTCAACTCCTCAGCCAATTCATTAGCCGCCTTTTTACCTTATGGCCCTATAGCCAGTTTGTCACGGAAGAAGCAATTTACTCGAATACAACTGTTCAGGCAAACGACAGTAGATGTTCGGTAAGTGGCAGGATGTATATGTTGTGCTCATGGAGCATTGATACAGTATTTTTCTGTGTTAGAAATGCAATCATTTCAGGTACGAAGACCGATATCTGGCGGGTGGACTGCGTTGGCGACGGTATATTCAGGCATGCTGTAGGTTCCAGGAGATTTATGGCCCCAGAATGAAACTAATTCTGGACAGGGTGATGGTCCTGATTGGATTTCTTACAGTGGTGAGATATGTATTGACGAACAAGTGAAGATCGGTGGTTTCAAAGCGGGAGGATTTTCGATCAAGGTTAGTTTGGACGACGTTTACTCTTACGTAACTAGCCTCTAATATATCTTTCTGGTTTCGATCTAGGATTGTGTGGTGCTCTCTATGACCCCTCCCGATGTTCTAAAGTCGCCTTTCAGGGATTTTCGACAAGTAGTTCCTATACGCATTGCTACCGATCCCTGGACGGAGGATGGGGCTGGCGTAGGCACATACACCGCTGTGTACCGAACGCCTTCATCCTCCGATGATCACGATGATGCCCTCCACATGGATGACGATCGTTTTACGCAGCATCGTGTTTCCCGGTAGTGCACCGAGCACAAGGACTTTAGGCCGTAGGACAGTGATGATATTTTTTTTTGGTAATTGGCCTGGACGATCTTATTTTGCGGGCCTCAGCAGATGCTATGTCGTAGTTCCTCATTGTGTCTGTATCAACTAAATCATTTCGTTGTAGCCTAGGTCGAAATATAATAACTGGTTATCGACCAGCGATTCACAAATGCTCTTGTATCACGTGAAAATCACGAGACGATAGTCGCCATATGAACGATGATGTCATGAGCACCACCTCGACTGTGACTGGGTCTGAAACTCAAAAATTGGCATACTTAAGGATAGATGTTGTTCAAGCTTGGACTCCACAACTTACCCACTGATTAATATCTGCAATAATGCCCATCACAAGAGAAAGCCATACTCGCGCGGATGCACCATCTGAAGTTGACCGCGCTGCAAATACACCCCAGCCATACCCGTCAGAGGTCGCCCCACCCACAGTGGTTGATACTCTGCCTCAGCAAGGTGAGTTTATTATACGTCTTTATTTGTCAGAGCCATGACAGTCATTTTGCAGCCTCAACCTCTCCTGGAGATGGTTCAGAAGTCCAGGCCAAACCAGATATACGAAAACCTTCAGAGGTCGATATGGATGACCCAAACATTAATGTTGTCGTACTTCCTGCTGAAAAGCCTTCTTTCAAGCAACAAGTATTTGGTGCGTTCTCTCGTATAAATCATTTGTTATGCATGAGAATGCTCATTGCATACTCGATAGGATATGCACAAGTGCGGATATCTATGCCCCATACAGTGTAGAATTTACTGACATATGCTCTTTTTTGGTTCTTTAAGGTTGCTCGAGGAACGGTACGTTTCCCGTTCTTGTAAAAGTGAATATAATGGATGTATACTCATATATATATATCACAGGCAATGAGGAAGGCATGTTCATAACAATGTGCCAGCTTTTTCCCTGTTTATTAACACGCTATACAGCCCTCGCTTAAGGAACGTGGAGAAAATATTTTACGAGGAGAGGAATCCATGCCTAGCAAGGATACATAGTAAACTCGTTGACATATTCGTCTTTGTCTGGTGAGTCAACTGGGTAGCTCATATGCATGAATTTCGGACTGATACCTCTTTCAAGTGATGTACTTCTACTCTATGATCATGCCCGAGCGGAGCGTGATGTTGTATATCTTACTGTATCGTTTGAGTACTAGTTATATTGTATCCAGTATATTTTGACTATCGCAAGGAATATTGTTTCCTTTTTCGCACCGTGGTTCACCTTCATCATTTTGGGAAGATAATGACAGTTTTGGTCTATGTCCCGTGAAAAGAAGCTACTGCTTTTGTCTTACTACGTTGATGCTACGGTTGCCATACTCCGACTCATTTGCTCTCCTTTGCATTGTCGATGCAAAGCCTGGTTTATGTGGACATGACATACTCCCGGCACATTCGATGTTACTCGGGGCAATGCCGGGAATCTATGAAAAGACCGACACGGTGACTCGAAAGGCCATCTCAGATCCAAAGCGTCCAAAAAGTCTAAAACCGAAAAAAATTCACAAACCAAGCTAAACCTTTTGAAAGAGACTCTTCGGGAAAGGTAATGACATTTCGATACCTTTGCGGAGGATATGCTTCATCCTAACATTCGAGACAGGACACATTATCTCACAGGAGGCTCACATTGACACTAGGCTACTTTATTCTCGGATAATACGTTTTTGGATCAATTTTGAAGTCACAAGTTCAGAGCAAACATGGCAGCAATCCGTGTGCAGTCCTCGCTGTTAGATGTTCTATACTTTTTCAGTGAGAAAGCAATTGGCTGGACCCGACCTGCACCGGTTATCCCCACGCGTACGGTGAACCCTGTGGTGAGCAGTGCCAAATTCGCTTTAGAGGTCTGTTGCTATTACCCCGCTGACAGCGATGATGGAACTTGAACTCTATTTAACCTTACTCAATTGAACTTTATAGGAGACCGACCTTGTGCAATTGAATGACGAGGGCGTGAAAGTAGCTGCGAGATACGTGAGTCACGTTGGGTTGATTCTTTGAATCTGATGTGCTAACCCACTTTCGATCCGCCAGATCTTGCAAAAGCTAGCCTCCGAGTCGTACACTCCAAGGACGTGGCGTACCCATCCGCTTCATGTCTGTCCACCAGAGGTGTACTCCTCATCTGATCCGCTCTCAAAAGCATCCCTGGACTGGATATTTCTTATTTCATCTTTGAATTTCAGCTTTTGGTCTGAAAGGGAGGGAAAGCCTGACCGCTACGGTGTTGAGTGGCGCGAAGGCTGGGGAAAAGAAAAACGAGCTGCGCATACAGGCTATTGGAGTCTCGTCGCCGCACTCAATCGAGGTAATTGATCTTGTCATGAAACAGAAGAAATGATCAGTAGCTGATGTAGTATGAATTATAGCTCTGGAGGAAGATATCCCGATCACAGATCCTACGTTCTATTCTTCCCCTGTGCGCTGCCCGGATTCTGTGATAGAATATGTCTTTCGTCCTGCATCTCAGTGCAGTGAAACCCTACCGCTTTTGAAAGAGCGAATTCAAATCATGCGGGAAGTGGGGTCCATTCTGTGCAAGGTGAGTGGTGGCAGAGTTATGAGCTATCATGATTGGAGCTAATATTCACTTTTTTTTGGGATAGAGGTTTTCTGGCTCTTACCAAGGGTTCATAGAAGAATTTCAGAGGACCCACGGGAACCAGGGAACAGCTTTGGAACTTGTGCAAATGGTGACTGATGTGTTTCCATCGTTTCGGGATGAACGATGGTACAAGGATCGCAAAGGTAGCATTGCTCTGCAATTGTAGTTCTAGCACCTCACCAACTTTGAATTTTAATAGTTTACTTTTGGAAACGACCACAGATCCTAGTTGCAGAGACATGGGCTGCATTCTATCCCGCTGATCCGGCTCTCCCTCACCCAATATTCCCTGGCACATCTGGTCCTGCTATCCATCACCTAACCATGTTCGCCGACTATCGGGTCCCTCAAATATTGCACCACCTGCGCATCTTGGTCTATCCTTCTTCTCTAGTCGATACCCTCCAGGCGGGGACCATGCTTCAGCCGGGTTGTAGGGAAGAGGTCAGCTTGCGTGCTGCAAGTATCGTTGCTGTAGAAAGGGTGTGGGAGGAAATTATAACGCTCCGGGAAGCTTCGATGGTAAAGTACGAAGGAGAAGTGAGTAGCGTGTTGATCGACTTTTATCTTTGGGATCTGGCCAAGAAATTAGAGAGCGGTGAAGAGCACGTAGAGGGGGTGGAGACGGCTGAGATCACTCCTGCGCATCGAACGAGGAGCATCTGGTACTAGCTTGGATGATGAGGAACGGGATGGGCATGAAAAAGTATACTAATAATTATTCCATTATATTACACTAGGAAATAATGTCGAAGTAGCATGGATGATGTCTACAAACACACTACGGGAAGAGTTCATACTACCGTCCGCCTTGGTCTGCCTCTACCCCTAGATGGCTTTTCTAATAGATAGGAAAAGTTCCTTTTCTCTGGCTCCACATACTCCATACCTAGTTCTCGCATTATCGCTTCCTCGCTCTCGCCTTCCACAAACATCCAGTAGCCTTTAAGAATTCCACTTTCGCTCTCCCCTCCGTCATGTTCATTTGGTGTACTAGCGGTATCATCGGGTTGCCATCGCCACAGCCCAAACTCATTCAGGAGCATACCAAGGCTGGCGGCCTTGGCGGACATGGTTTTTGTGAACTCCACGTCACCTGTGAGAGCGAGGAGCGCTGCTCCTCTTGATTTCATTGGAACCAGACTGTCATGAAATCCGATCAGCTACGTGTTCACCAACATGACGGGAATGAAGCTCATACTTCAGACTCAACCGGCGATAATGGCCTTCGTTGTTCTTGCAGAGACGCACCCGCAGCTCCTTTTCTTCCCAAAGTCCCTTGGGCGTTCTCTCAGGGACTCTGATGATGCCATGCCACCGTCGAGCACCAGAGGCCATCGCGACGTTTATCAAGCCTCTCTTCTTCAGCGGGTTGACGACGTGGTTGCAGAGCATGGAAGATTCCGTGTCTTTCACTTTGGCATAGCCCTCGCGGAAGGCGATATTTTTTCTGCCGCGGCGTCCTTTCGCTGATTCTGCTTCCGTCAGTGGTGGTGGGGTGGGCACATGGACGTGGGAGGGATGAAATAAGAGAATGTCGATATCTGAAAACGCCGCCACTCCACGGCGACTTTTTTTTTTTTTTTTTTTTTTTTTTTTTTTTTTTTTTTTTTTTTCTTCATGTCAATAAAAATAGCGCCACCCATCAACGGTGAACTTACTAGCTTCCAGCCAGATGAACCTCGAACCTAGATGGGATATTCTCACGGACAAAGTTCTTTTGGTGGGTGCGGGGAGAGGTTTAGAAGGGGGAAGGCGCCGATGATGGAAAAAGAGATGACGCTCACCGCGACTGTCTCGGCTTCGTCGCATGTGACGGGTTGGGACAGGTGAGCGGCGAACCGCAGGCCAATCTGCTGGGCAGAGGAAAGGATGCTGAAGTACGACGGCTTACTCATGTCCGCGACGGTCGTGCAACCGGCATCGAAGAGCTGTCTGGCAGTTCTTTCGCTGATGTGAATGAGGGTGGGTTAGAACCGTCGGGATATGTAAGAAGCGGAGGGAAGGACTACCCGACACCGGGTACTGTTTGCAGCACCTTTAGCTCCTGTTTGAGGGCTTCCTCTCGTGCTTTTTCTGGAGAGATGTCGCATTGTGGAGACTCGCACTGTTATTAATGTAACATGAAGCCCATAAGAGGTATGCAAAACGGGGGGGCACCTACGGACATAGTGTGTCCCGTGTAAGAAAACTCCAATGCGTTTGGATATACCAGGCCCCACACCTTTCAGCTATTCGCGATACACGTGTAAGAGCTGAGAAACTGCAAAAGTACATGCGGACTCGCCTGTTTAACTTCCGCGACCGTACGGACTGGTGTGTCTAGGGATGCAATGGCTCTGATGGCTGCATCAAATGCACGAACTTTGTAGGCATTTCGTACGGCCTTTTTGTCCTCCTCTTCCCTATCTGCGTGACGTCCATCTTTGAGTGCACATTTCTGTCTGACGTCTGGTGGTTTTACTTACTGGACTTGAGCATTTCGATGATATCATGATTGGGACTCGCATTTTGAGAATAATGACAGCGCGAAAGGAACAACGTCGACGCTGATCTGCACCTGATGTTGGGTAAAAGGCAACGCGAAAGCATGAAAGCAAAAGCAAGGAAAAAAAAAGCAAGTGAAGGTAGCAAAAACTTGGCTGAACGCGCCGACTGCAAAATATTCAGCGCGGTACGACGGCTTACCTAACACGCGTCGTTTTCTTCGCCGATCGACCCTTGAAGCCGGAGAGGGCTCAAGCGCTCAATCCCACTGGCATCCCCCACCCGCACCTGACACCAACACCACATCGGTCTCAGCTCCTCTTTTTATTTTATTGCGCTTTTGCTCTTTATCGCTCCTTGAATCTCCTGCAGGTATCCTACGTCCGCTTTCGCCAAACTGTGAGCTCGACATGGCGGATAATACTCCAACCCCTACCCCTACAGCCTCGGGCTCCTATCAGTCCACGTTCGGAAGTATGACAGACATGCAGCTGCGACAGACCATCAACCAGCTCTCGACCGCAGCGAGCAGGCCAGACCAGTTCCAGCACTACATCGCCCCCACCCCACAGACAGCTCCCGCCAAAGGTAAGCCATCTGCCGCCCTTCTTGCGTTTGTTCTCCCTCTCGCATAGTTGACGTCTCATTTCTCATAGCAGCGTATCTAAAAAATGTGCATACGTGGTCTACGTCGGCTACGCCCCCGCCAAAGGCAGGCTCCAGCACGCGAACGCGCAACCGTGCAAAAGCTGCTGCGGCTCTCGCCACACCCACCCAGGCGACGTACACACCACCAACCTACCAGCCTCCCCCTCCGCCCGTCCCCGCCATCCCCATCGCCCCGCCCCTCCCACCCAATCCCCCCCGCCCTCCGATCGCGACGACCCCTCAGGCGCTGCACTCGACCTATGCCTCTCGCCTGCGGACGGGCACGACGCTCCTGATGCAGCCCATCATCTCGACCTCGACGACGGCAACGCGCACGGCGACCCGACGCGGCGGCGCCATCAACTACGCCGATCCGGGATCAGGCGACGATATACCGGACGCGGGCGCCCTCGAGTCTGACGACTCTGATTTTGTCGCCAGCGGGGGCACCAGGACGGCGATTCGGTCAGCGAGAAGCCGCATGGGCGCTGGGATGTCTGTGTTTCATGCGGGCAGCGGTGTTTCCACGCCCCAGCCGCAGGCTCAGCCGCGGGCATCTGATAAAGCAGAGCTGGACCAGAGCTATCTCGGAATGATCCCTCCTTCGAGGTTCATTCGAGCAAAGCCGACGCCCCCCACCAATCATGAGTATCCGTGAGTGCTTGGTGCATTTGAGCTTTTCACAGTCTTATGTTCGTGATGATCTTGGTACGCAGCCTGCAGGATGCGATGGACCGGCAAGCTCGCAAGCCTACGGCACTGGTCCCGATACGCGTCGAGTTCGAGACTGACACACATCGGATACGAGATTGTTTTGTCTGGAATATGAATGAAACGCTCATCAAGCCAGAGGCCTTTGCACGGACGTTTTGCAGCGACTTGGATTTGCCTGCGATACCGTGGGTGGACACGGTCACGAACCAGATACGCGCACAGCTGGAGGAACACGAAGGGGTGGCGTCCATGGATTTGAGGGGCGCCATGGATATCGACATGGATGACGAAAATGGCGAAGAAATTCCGGAATGCCGCGTCGTTCTCAGTGTAAGCCGTTCTCGACTTTTGTTTTCTTTTTCCCCCCCTCGCTGACATTTCTGCCTTTTCAAGATTGATGTACAAATAGCGACGCATCACTTGCTTGATCATATCGAGTGGGATCTTCTTTCGGCTCTGACCCCGGAAGCATTTTCTCAGCAGCTCTGCAGTGAGCTTGGATTAACGGGGGAGGCTATTCCTCTGATTGCTCATGCCATACATGAAGAACTAGTGAAACACAAAAGAGATGCTATCGAATGGGGCGTCATTGGTGGAGATAAGGACCCCGCAGAAGAACCAGCGCCGGATAAACCACGCGATAAGAGTGGGCTGAGCTTGTTGAAGGATAAGACGGGACTGGGTCTGGGCTGGGGTCGCACACCCAAAGAGGGACGAGGTCCAAAATTGTTGAAAAGTATCTGGCGAGATTGGCCGGAGGCAGAAGAGTTCAGGACGAAGTTTGAGATTCTGAGCGCTGAGGAGGTGGAAAGGAGGGAGGTGGAAAGAGAGAGGGCGAGTCGGTTAGTGCACTCCTTTTCGTCTTCACACCCGTCATCAACTTGACGCTATCTAACTAACTATGGTCTCTCCTTATCAGACGATTGCGGCGGGAAACATCGAAATTCCAAAGTAGCACCCGAAGCAGGAGACGATAGAAGTGTGAGTTTTAGTTTTGATGGTGTTCTGTGATGGTTACTTATCTGTAGGGCAGGTTCAGGTTCCGTTGCAGTGATGTAGTTCTTTGTCGTCGTGCCGTCTATTCTTCCGGTACGAGTGAATTGGGGGGAGGAGGAATAGTGAAAGTTGTGTATATCAGGAATGCACGGTGGAAATGAGGAGGACGTACTGCGATCGATGTCAGGGAAAAGTGAGGAAAGGCAAGAGACGTTGGAAGTCATTCATTTTAGGAGCGGGGGGTTGAGATGTGGTATTCATCTCGAAGACAGTTAACGTTTGGAAAATAGAATGTATACGGTGAGAAGTGACTGCACCGATCATGATGCAGGGAGGGGCGGTTTCCCCACAGGAGCCCTGTACCAGTGAGCTTCTGGACAGGCGCAGGGCGATGTCAAAGACTAGCATAATTGAGAAGAGGGTGATACATGAACTGTACACGCAGGACACATGGAAGGTGATTATCGCTCGTAAGAAGCGATGAGATAAGGTGGTCTATCACACAAGATGCGGGGTACCCTTCATATAAGCACGAAAAGAAAGAAAAAAACATGAGAGCACCCATATGTCACCAGCGCAGCCGGCACAGCATTCACCGCAGGACACAGCTTGCCTCGAGATTGCATTGCTTCCCCACGTTCAGCTCATCACACCACGCTTTCCACGTTTCGTAAAGTCGCCGTGGTCCTCTTCATTTGTCGCCTGCTCTTCTTTATGATACTCCTCTTCTTCATACAAATCACCATCACCACACGCTCTTACCCCGGACTTTTCATCACAACATCCACTTCCAGGCCTCACCCATACAAAGGTGTTTTAATACATTTCAGACCCGACTCCACGAGTGAACCCCATTCCATCCATCCTTAACTACCCTCCCGTCTCATACTCCCTTCCTTACATCACCGTGCCTGCTTCCCCTTTCTCTGCTTATACTCCCTCATCCGTCCATCACCTTCCCCGCCATGCATCATGTCCCACTCCCCGCAACTGCGCCCCCGCACCAACCTCACGATAAGCTTGCCCCGCGTCCCTACAAGTGTCCTTATCCCTTGTGTGGCCGTGCTTTCAGCAGGCTCGAGCACCAAGTCAGTTCCCGCCCGCTTCCTTCTCCTCTCCTCTGCTCATCCTTCTCTCTCTTAGACACGTCATATACGCACACACACTGGTGAAAAGCCCTTCGTCTGCACGTTCGCTTCCTGCGAAAAGAGGTTTTCGCGCTCAGACGAGCTCACTCGCCACTCTCGCATCCACAACAACGATCACATCCACAACCCTGCTCTTCCCGCCGGTTCCAGTACCAGCAACAAAGGAAAAATCAAACCCAAAGCTGAAACCGCCGTCGCAGATGACACCGAACCCGCTGTCAATCTCCACTCCATCGTCAAGAACGAGACCACAGCTCTCAGGATAAAGAAAAAGGCTCGAAGCAGAGCCAACAGCGACGACGAGGTACGTCTCCAATTATCGCATTCCTTCATACCTCGGATCCTTGCGATTCGCCGTCCGCCCTTCTCTCTTCTCTTTCCCCACATTTTACATAACAAGCTAACTCTCTCTTCGTCACGCTTACAGGGAGAGTCCTATGCTCGGCCTACTGCCCTTGGTCTCAACGAATCCGCCCATCACGCGCGACGCGCACAACCTCACTTTTCGCTTCCCACCAATGCATCCGCTTTCTCCACCCTCTCCAGTCTCGCTATGGACGAACTATATACACTAGAACGAGAGGAGGCCCTTCGACGTGCGGACTACGAGGCTCGCCATGCCGATGCTCTGCGACGCGCCGAGTACGAAGCGCGCAATACTGAAATAATCTACTTTCGCGGCCGCCTCAGCAAAAGTGCCACTACAAGTCCCGTATCCACTCCATTCCACTCTGGGGCTTCTCTGGGTGGCGCAGGTGCTGATGGAGGCTATTTTGGAATGTCGAGTGAGAGAGACTGGCAGGAGGAGGAGATGATCAGGCAATCTGACAAAACCAGTAAGACTAGGAGAAGGATGAGTGGTCCTGCCTGGCACATGACTCCCATGTCCCATGATCCGTCGTCGGGCCATCCGCGTGCTCCAGGTCATGCACCCCACACTTCCAACGCGAGCGGCGGCCATCCGGAAGGCGCTCGGACCCACGGTCTTCCCCAGCAGAACCATGCACCCCTCCACCCAATGCACCCATCCCATCCGCCAGCTTATCGCCATCTCGTTACTCACGAGGACTCGCCTTCTCCTATAAGCTCGGACTCGGACTCTATTCCTGCACATCATGCTCAGCCGCCGCCGCACCCTCTATCCGCCCATGCCCGCGTCCCTTACACGCATTCTGCAAGGTCGTCCACTGAGCGTTCTCCTCAGCTTTCATCTGGGGCACGTGCTGCTGAGTACACGCCATCTGCCAGTCCCTTCCTCGGCCCACTCAGTACCCTCAATCTACATTCTACGAATCCATCGAGAGCACCATCGCCCATCTTGTTGCCTCCCAGTGCAGGCGACTTTACGATCAGCCCTATAGGAGACGCCCCTCGTGCGTACGTGCAACGTTCACGCAGATCGAGTATCGTCGGCAGTCCCTCGAACAACGCTCCTATGTACAATCGACCCATCGTCCACAGGAAAAGCTCGGGTGATGGACACTATCAGCAAGCTTCGCTCCCCCATGTCCACACGTATCCCGGCCAGCTCTCCCAAGCCGTGCATCGCCCTGAACGCAACATACACTCATTACCCACCCCTCAGCTGTCCAGCGGTCCGAGCAGCAATGGAAGCAGCCCTGGGAGTATCAGCCATCCACTCGGCCTGGGAGGACACTCGTTCCCTCGGGTGGCTCATGAGGGTAGTGGCACGCTCAGTCCCTTGGGATCCCGCCCTCCCTCGCCTCTGCACTGGTCTCAGCCATCTGCAGCAGTGCAGCCGTCGCAGCCGACTCGCGAAGGTCAACATCACCCGCACTTGGCTCACTCGGTACGTATGGCGTTTGGGATGACGCCCATCCATCCCCAGGCGCCTCCACGAAACACGTCTTGGCCCGTCTCTCCCCCAACCAAGTTCGCACCCAATATGTCGCCCACGTCTGGCATATACTCTTCCTCGGTGCCGCCTTCAAGGTCAGGTTCGCCGCCCATCACGCTGCCGCCTCTGAAGCTGCAACCGCCGATGCTCTCGCCTTCTTCTTCTGGGGCGATGCGCTCATCGCAAGACGATGAGAGCAGTGATGAGGAGGGGGAGAGATCGGCGGGTGTGAAGCGCAAGCACAAGGTGGAGCTCCCTGGGTTCAGCGAGTTTGAAGCTGCCGCTCGTGCGTCCAGATGACCAGAATCATTTTTCGTCATTCAACTGCACGATCCGAGCGACGTGATGGGTACAACTCTACTCAAAGAAAAAGAAAAGAAGAAAAAAAGACCTCTCGGTTCCTCATGTGACCACTCCCTTTCCCCTCTGATCTGCCCAGAAACCTCGGCGCTAGAAACTCCCTCTCCCCTCCTGCTCGAATGTCTCCCCCCGTCATAGATGCGAATATAGGTGTTTTTCCGAATATGGATGTACGTTATATAAACTCATAATCTCTGTACCTACCCTATCCACTAGGCTCGACTTTTACCAACATGTAGCAGCAGCACATCCCTTTTCCCCCGTTTTTGATCTTCTGGTTGTCTTGGAATGGCTTTTTGCATGTACATAGAATGGCTTTTTAAACCGTCGTCGCAGGATTGTTGACTATGTTGGTGTGATAAGCGTGATGGGGGGGTGCTATAATTAAAACGCACGCTTGAAATGAATGAAGCGGGTGTCGGGAATGTGGGGGCTAGCGCTGGACGTGTGCTAACGCTCGCATGCCATCTGCGGTGTCACGACCGGCATCTGAAAGCGTGCACGTTCCCCAGACGATCCCATCGCGTACTACCCTCCGTTGGGATGCGAACAAAGATAATGTCCGGAGTCCCTCGAGAGGAGCAGGGTGGTCGCGAGATAAAAATACCAATACCCGGAAGGGGTTCTGATACCGAGCGCCGTGTTTCTGATGCCGGCAGTGCAGCTGCGAGTCGCGGTTTAAAGGACGTTCGTCGGGTATGATCTCATGTCGAGATTATCGCCAAGGTACCTTGCACGAACACGACACCCCACCTACCGACCCAATTGAAGTTTTGAAAAAAAATAAAAGCAATGGTATGGGGTCTTTCTGCCTCTGAGTGTGTGGATGGGGTGACGAACCTGGGGGCTGAGGGATGTAGGACACGTTCATGAACCTCGCCATGTCTGCCGCCGGACAATGTGGGTGGTGCTTTTAACGCTGGGGCTGCCTATCGTTATCGTTATCGCGGTTTGAGGCTGACGGTGCGGTTGTGATTCATCGCAGTTACCGGCCAGGAGGAGCAGGCGCCTCCCAGTCACCAGTGTGAGTGTCCCGGCCGGCTCTCGTCAATCTCGCACAGGGCTGACGTTGAATCGCCGTCGATGGGCCAGTCAATGAAGATGAGGTGGTCGAAACGGCGCAGAGGCACAGCGGCGGCAGCGCCGATTCGGGCATGTTCTCTGCTGCGCTGAGCCACGTCACTTCTCACAGCGTACGTGCCCTGACTTTTTCTTTGCCGTCGTGAATCTCGGGGGCTGATGCTCGAGTGGACTGTCGACTATCCCGGTGATGCTATCCGTGCGATAGAGTCAGCACAGGGAGCCTGTGGATGAAGGCGAGGTGCGCGATTCGCACAGGCAGGCTTATGCTGAAGGAGGCGCGGGCGGCCTCAGCGCGGGATCGATGGGCGGTGCCGCCGCAATGCAGGTCCGTTCGTTTTTTGTTTTTTTTTCTATTCATCTCACGCTGATCATCCATGCGATGTTCCTCACCCCCTCTCGTCTCGGGTTGGGAGAAATTAGATCTTGCAGAAAGTCACCTCTGGTGGCGGTGGCGGATCCCAGACTGAGCTGATCAGCATGGCCATGGCGGAAGCCGGCAAGCTCTTTGACCAGTCGGGAGGCGCCAGCTCTGGCAGTAAGCAGGATGCCATCAATGGCGCCGCCATGACCGTTATGAAGCTGGTCGTCCAGTCCAAGCTTGGCGGAGGCGGAGGCGGAATGGGAGGGTTGATGAGTTTGGTGAGCTGGTTTCTTCTACCCTCCCTTTCTTTGGTCTGGATACTCATACATAACATCATGCTCTAGGCGACTAAATTCATTTAGACCGTCTTGCGGTGAATGGATGGATGATGAGAAGCTTTGTTGTTTGTAATATTAGTGTACCAGTCTACAGACTTCTATACACCCGAGGGAAGAGAATCCAGCTGATATCATGATGACCCCACTACGAAACGATATACGATAAATTCCTAGAGTCAATCATGCAAGTCTTGCAGTTGCGGCGCGCCTGTGCTCGTGACTTGTCGACGATCACCACGTGCACATACACCACTCGTCCAAAGCAAACTCGGACTGGCACTTGGAGCTTGACCACCAACTCCCATTATCAATGTGTCCAGTCTTGAAAACCAGCATATCCTACTGAATGATGGCATCCCAGCGAAAAGCATATTTGGCACCCACGGAAGCTATCCATCACAAGCGCTACGAAGACACGCGAAAGCACATCCTCGACAACGTCATTCTCAGGGGTTTTCCATACTCGAGGTGACTGATTTTAGCCCAGCATCACCGCCACCCCCAAAGGCGCTGATGACACTGTCGCAGAAAACTCCAAGCCCACAAGTCCTGCGTGAACACCTTGCGTTTCTCTTCGGGTGACGGAAGATGGCTGGCCAGTGCTGGTGACGGTGTGCCCTCAACCGGGTTTGCTTTTGGGCTCCTGTATCTTGAATAGACGTTCAGATTTTCGCGTTCATCTTTGGGACATGCATCAGGAAGACATACGTCAACCGTCGTTCTCGTATTCTGGTCCACGGGTACGTGATATATATTCTGACGCAATACGAACTCACGATTCGGATGTCAATCAGGGAAACGTACTAGCTCTATCATTTTCTGCACACAACCAGTTCATGTATAGGTCGGTAATTTATGACTGTGTTTTAGGCCTCCGTTGAGCGCTAAAGAAATGCTAAACTATCGTAGTGGAGGTGCCGACAATATGGTAATGAAATACGATTTATCACGAACGCCAACCACACAAAGCACACAGGGTCTACGACCGGCACTGAGCACGTTTATGCAACACACTGTATGCTACTTCTTTTATCCATTGCGTGGGATTGATAAGGTACCCATATGACGCCAGGATAGCGTTCGCGATATCAGTTGTCATCCGCTTCAGGAAGAAATATTTTTCAGTGCCAGGAACGTGAACCTCATCGTGTTTGGCTTTAGTGCTCCTTAAATCTGATATTTTCTTATCTCACAGTGAAGATGGAAAAGTGATTTTGCACGATGGCCGAGTTAATGCCAGTGTGACGGGAGCACAAGGGATCTTACAGCACGATAAGGAGTTTACAGGCGTCCAGGCTCATCCTATCATGGAGAACATTTTTGCGACGTGCGATGGTGGTGGACAGGTCTGTCTTCGCGATACTCGGATGGCTTTTGGACCCCTTGCTCAACGTAGTAAACAAGGCATCGTCCAAATGGTGAGCTACATACGATAAGGTTGAAAGGGGCAATTATGCTAAATCAAGAAATCGATAGTACTCTACCAAGCTATCTAAGAAGACCTTCCTAAGTAATCCTGAGAGCAGTAGTATCGCATTTGATCGCGATGGTATGCTTCGTCACTGGAGACATTGCGTCATTGATAACACTATTCCAGGGACTAGACTATGTGTCACAATGCTTGTCAGCTTTCCAGTTGTCCGTGGATCACCCCGCTTATAATCGCTTTCAGCATTTCTTCCCAACTGTATATTCAGTATCTGATCCTAATCCTATCGCTGTATGCAATGGGCGGAACAAACCGGATGGAACACCAGTTCTCCCTGGGCAGCGGACATACTCTAATTCGTGTACAATGAAGGTAATCTCTTTAAAGCTTGATATCTAAATTTTTCTTCACAGCTATTTCAGTCGGGATCTTTTGGCGGCCCGGCTCTCTTGGAAGACGAGCTCTATTCAGCCGGGTCTGATGATTTCCGCGGATATGTCTGGAGGATTCCAAGTATCGCGTGCCTCACTGCTCGCAGGAAAGAGATTAAAAATGAAGATTGGTGTACCCAAGAGTGGCCGAATATTGTAGGTGCGTGTGATTCACAATCTGAAATATGTACTGTCGTTATGCTAGACCCTCAGCTTTTGCTGAAAGTCAATCGGCCACTCGATATATACCAACGGAACTTTCAACTCCTCTGTTTTGTCTCAATGGTAAGCCATATTACCTCATTACTGTTGAAGGTGCTTCCTGTCATGCGATCACAGGGCATAAATCAATAATCAACTCTGCCGTGATTCATCCGTCTCTCTTGTATATTGCTACCTCGGGGGTAGAGCGCCATGTCACTCTGCATAGTCCAGTGTCAAATGCCCCAAGCTCCAAAAATTTACCCTTAACTACACCTACTGTTCGAGATCTCCAAGAATCCAGTGCCGAAGACTACAGAGTTTTCATCAGGGCGTTGGCTGGTCTTCAGCCTACACTACACGAAGACATTAATGATTCTGAAGACGAAATTGAAACGATCTCCCTATTTGATCAGTATGTTTCATATTTCCTCGGAATGGAGGTTAATCACATGAAATGAAATGAAACAGTATTCTGCGCCAGGAAGGAGAAGCAGACGTTTTTACCATGCGCCCATGGGTGGGGAATGACGATTCAGAGAGTGAATCGGGCTCGGACTCGGACGATCCTAGGGACTTCTTTCATGAAAGCGGCGGCGATCAATAGAATGGTAATATTGGCTACTGAATACTGCCACTTGGCGTCTTGAATGTATCGAGATGACGCGTTTTTTCAATCGACAATTTTTAGAGACCCCATCTTTCGCAAATGCGGTGTACACCGCATTTCATTTCAATGCGCCATGACCACGTGACTTCACTTCACTGATGCCTGCAACTACTAACGCTGTAGCAGTGCAACCAACACTTTCCCAGCTACCTGGACAATACACAAACTATCTGACGCTTCTTTAATGGCGCTTTTAACTCGAGGCACGACTTATGACATTAAGGACTCGAATATTGCACTGCTGGGTTCCGATGTGAGTATATTCATCTTCGCTAAGATCGAGCCGTAACGCTTATCGAATCAGCTAGAAAAACACGTGCGTGAACATGCCGGCGACAAGGAAAACGCATGGCAGGGAGTAGGACATACACAAGGTTTGAAGATCTGGAGAATCGAGCATTTCACTGTTGTAGATTGGCCAAAGGAGCGCACAGGATCATTCTATGATGGAGACTCTTATATTGTTTTACACGTAGGTATCTCTAAAGGTAGTGAATTTGACCGTTGCTAAGATTTTCCTAGACATACAAGGCAGATCCTGAGTCCGAGACGCTGTCATATGATCTGCATTTTTGGCTAGGCGAGAGTACAAGTCAAGATGAGGCCGGGACGGCAGCCTATAAAACGGTTGAACTCGATGATCGTACGTTGCTCTGTCGTCCCCACAAACTCTTTCCTTTATTCACAACATCTGGGAACCTGCAGACTTGGGAGGCGTTCCTGTTCAATATCGGGAAGTTCAGGGATACGAATCTCCCCGCTTCCTATCTTACTTCCCCCATTTTGTCTGCTTACACGGCGGCGTCTCTACTGGGTTTCATCACGTATCCGCACCCCCGGAAGTCACCAAGTTGTATAGGATCAGCATATCGCATGCCACTGCGAGGTCTCACCTGCTCGTGCGGGAAGTGCCAGTGGGAAGCGCGCACCTCATCCAAGGGAGCGTGTACGTGTTGGACAAAGGCGAAGAGCTGTGGCAGTTCAATTCGAAGACCGGCACGGGCCAAGAGAAATTCAGAGCAGCCGAATATGTACAGAACTTGTCCGACCAAAGAGAGGGTCGCTGCGAGGTCACCGTGTTTGGTGAGTCCTTGCTCACGATGCCACTTTTCGTGCTGGTGGTAGCGTGCTCATCTCCACATGCAGACGAAGGAGAATCGGGGGCGGGAGCCTTCCTTTCTGAACTTGGAGCAGAGAGCGTGCTGCCTCCAGCAAGCGATACTGCATCCGAGCTTGCGCCATCTCTCTATCGTTTGGTCGAATCAGACGGAGCTGTAGGTTTCGAAGACGTTGCCTTGAGCACCTCCTCCCTCCGTTCCGATGGCGTTTATTTCTTGGACGATGACGCCAGCAACACCCACGCCGCCATATACGCATGGGTGGGCAAAGAGACGGCCTCGAGGCAAAAGCAGCTCGCGACTCAATATGCTCAGACATACCTCTACGAAAAGCAGGCCAGAGAAGGGGAACGTGTAAAAGTAGCGGTCAGCATCGTCAAGCTGAACGAAGGAAGAGAGCCGGAAGCCTTTTTGAAGCTCTTGCAGGCCTGATCGGTCTCGGGCCCCCCTGTACCAATATTGAAATGTATCTGAATGTGGTGGAATTGCCATGAACTAAATTGGCATTTTTGCACTTTACAAATCGCACTGGCCATTAATAATGCTTTTGGTTTACTTTCATGTACTTTTATTCCTGGCAAAGGTATGCAGACATGTGTGGGGGAGGAAGAGGAGCCCAAATCAAGGGAACCGCTTGTTGAAAGGTAGGAGTTTGATTGAAAGCTACCAATGTCCGTTTTATTGCAACTTTAAATCACCGTCGGTGGTAACGGGCGTGGTGTACCGCATCTTATTCTATGAATTTGATCGTATGACAGGTTGACAGGAGAAGTACCTGAGCGCTAACTAGTGTCCACAGTTTGCTGCTTGCGGAACTTGATAATCAGGGTCTGACCTAAAATGTCATATTTCATAAACCAAATCACGGTAGCATACACACGCCTTTGGTCGCGGTTATTGTTACACATTCCTATACAAGTTGTTACAACAGACAGAGTTCACCTTCACATACACTTTGTTCATTCGGTAATATCGTATGCAACCCTGGCGCCAACCCAAGGATACGGATAGTTTCGCTGGTACCAGTTACGCACGCTATGCCTTTCTGCGATGCGAGGAATTGTAGCATGCGAGCCACCAATCTGTCATAGAAGTTGAGAATGAGTGATCTCAAGAAGAAGAAAATAGTATGATTTGATACATACCACAACCTGGTGGCACTCGTCAAAGAAATCCGCAGAATATCTGTCGTCAAAAGGGTTAAATGATTCTTGCCAGCGTCGATGATGGATACGGAACTTACCCAGGATACAACTTGGACGGAACGAAACCGTCATAACGATCAAAAATAGTAGAAGTCCACTCCCAAACCCCTCCGTTATGCCCCATCCCTCCGTTCCTCGTCCCACCCGTCGTAGCCCTATGTGGAAGGTGAGAACTGAACTAAATGCCTTATGTTTATAAACACTTACGGAATTGGGTGCCAGTTTCTGAATCCGACATTGGATCCACCCTCATAACCAGACTCGAATTTGTCCAAGAAAGTACGAAGCTCCGGTTCAGTTGGGATGCGTCCGCCTTTAACGCTGGCATACGCAGAAAGATTGTCATAAGATGTCATAACGGGCCATTTCCAAGCCACTTTCATAGGGATTGGACCATACAATGTGCGCACCTGACGAAAGAAATATTGAGTTCAAGGGGTTATGCTATAAAAGACTGCTAGACTAACATAGGTTCCATCTTCACATTCAACCCAGCTTGCAGGGAGCTGAACTTTATCTTTTCTATTGTCGCTGTTGTAGAACTCGTAAAATTGACCATTGGTTACGGGCCTCCATTCAATTCGGAACGCGTCCACGTGCACCTGTTGAGGTGGGCTTTCATTGTCCCAGCCGAAATCGTGCCCTAATACTTCCTTCGACTTGACAGGATCATTATCATCAGCTTCAACATCGTCGATCCTTAGGGTTACCACGCTAGGGCCGACTGTTACAACAGGATTGAGGGGTTCTTCAGCAGAGTTCCACGAAACAGCAAGAGAGTCCCAAGACGGGGGTGTAAATTCAGGAGGTGGGATAGTACCCGTTCCTGCACGCTGAAGTAGCATATATAGGAGTGTCTGAAATATATATATTTGTTAATGGTGCACGTAAGTTAGACCAATAAATGGTACCTCGATATGGAACCCCTCATGCTCGTGAGTCATACAAAGAACCCTGGCAATCTTTCTGGTCATTTGGATAGTGCCAGCATCAACATCGGCATATAACTTCATCAATCGGTCCCGAACTCGATCACGGAACAACAGCATAGAATTGAGGGAAGGCCAATCTTCCTCGCGATCGGGAACTTCAGAGTGTGGCTGCACGAACAGACATGTCAGAGACCAGATGTTATGGGAATAGAAATCATGCTTACGTGACACTGTCCAGGATCATCAACGTTTGGGTCAATGCCCCGCTAAAGAATATGTTAGCATTTTAAGGCAAATAAACGAAAACAGCATACTTCGAAGATATCCTATAAAAACTGCTATAAGCATGGACAACGATGGATAATAGGGGTACCAACTCACCTTATATTCGATGGGTTCCGTATGTGCCTCTCCTAACAAGCGAGACAGATGTATGTCTAGGAAGGTAGGGATGTGACCTATGTAGAAGAGACAAATATGCCTCAAGTCAATTGGCTTCTGGAATAGCATAGCAGGCGGTATCATCTGCAATGTGACAAAGTCCCATGCAGACCACAAGTTCTGCCAGTCTTTGGTGGCAGGCACACCAAACTTGCCTTGCTCTGCTGAAGGCGAGGGCAATAGTGGGAACATGAACGGAGGCCTCTCCAACAACCATAGAGAGTATCGCGAGGAACTATCCATCCAACGTTGAATCGGACGCAATTGGGCTGCAGTGAAAAGCGAATGTACGTCGGTTTCAGAGAACTAACATTTGGTTGTTTAGAATGTGTTATGGTATACTTGTGCAGCCTACTTACTTTCAAAGACCTCTCTATCTGGACCATTTCATTTTCCGAAAAAATGACTTCTAGCTTCATGGATGGAATATGAATGCTGTGTGCAACCTTGCACTTATAAAATGCCTCATGGCGACCTATTAAGAGGGACGTCAACATCCACGATCTCGACGCGAGGAATACCCTGATTTACGCTCTCCTCGATTGTACGTATTGACGTATTCCCATTTGGTTTCGTCGAAAGCGTTTGCATCTCCAAGAGCTGCCCCGGCGGCCTGCAGCCCATTCATTATGAACGCCTTGGTGTACCCCTTTGGGTCATTGTATGCTTCTTCGATCTCTCGGGGCTCGTTGTCATGATCTAGGCCCAAAAGTAAAGTATCGCCTGAACCTGAACGCAACGGCAGCGAACGGAGAAATTCCGCAGCTTCCGGCCGAGTAAAGTTTCCTAAAGAGGAACCCAGGAACATAACGTGAAGAGGTGGTTGAGAATTGCCAGGAGTGGAGGGTGTAGTAACCCCTGTCTCAGTCGTGCGTGCCCTTGTAGAATTGGAAGACAAAGAACTGGGAGAGGCATCTCGAGAGGGCCTGCTAACCGCAGAGTGGATCAAGTTGGAAACGGATGGATTATCCAAAGCTTCAGATCCATGAAGACCACCATCTTCAACAAATTTGAGGCCACCGTCATATGTACCTAGCATCCCCTTGATGTCGACTTTACCAGAAAGAGCTGCACCAACGTCAGAATTCGCAAGCTGATCCAAGGTACGCTCAAGCTCGCGCTTCTCTAGGTCGAGAGCATAGTATGTGATGGGCGCTGGAACTGTTGAAGCGGAAACAGTGCGCGAAAGTCCAGCAAGGATGTGCGAGGTTTTGCGCAACGCACTTCATTTTGAAATCGAATATTAGTTAGAATCAAAGAAAAAACAGAGATAAGGGTATGACAACGAGAATCTACTGTTTCAGCACAGCTTACGGAGCGCCACCCGGGTGTCCGAGTATGACAAGCCAGTATGATGTCGCTGGTTTCGTGAAGTCAAACTACTCACCCAGCACCAAGTTCGAGAACAACTTCCCCTGGTACGACTTCTCCTGCAGCACGATGCATCGCCCCAATAATATCATCTGCATTGTTTGCTAGAATTTCTTCTTCGGCACCGAAGAGATAATACTCAGGAGCTTCAGTGGTGATGTCGTCGTAGAGTTTGAGGCCACGTTCATCATACAGGAGAAGAGTGGGGAGGCGCCTTTGGCCTGAGGGCTGAGAAATCCCGCTGATAATTTCGTTTACAATATCATAGGAGGTGTCTTTGACGTCGCAGTGATTTTTGACGTCAAAACGCACGTCGACGATATGAGGAACGTTGGACATGATTTAAGCGCTTCCTGATGAGGATACTGGACGAGAATGGGGATGTGAACTAGCTGCATTGCTCCCTATATAAACGCTTTTTCACTAATGACCTCAGGGCATTCTGAAATGGCTGCTTACCTAATCATCAGAAATGGATGTTCGCCAAGGCTGGGAAAGACACATGTGCAATTTGGACCCTAAACTGGGCAGGAACATCAAATCGTAGGGGCTTGGTGACATCAACTCTGAACGTATCTGTACAACCTCAATTCTTCAGCTCCATTACGGCAAAGGAAAGGTCGCCTTACGAATTAATCCATAAGGAGGTGGCGAAGTCACGTGAAGGCACGGCCATTTGTCACCAAATCAGCCTCCATTCTGCAAACAGCAGTTGATTAGAAACTGCACGACCTACGTGAATAACAAATAAGTCACTCGCAACACGGTTAGCGGACGTTCAGTGGCTTCACCTCATGGGCATGCAGAATGGGGATCCAACCGTCACACGAAATATGATTTGGTTATTGATCCCGAGCAGACTCAGCTCAACACATTGGTAAGCCCACCACTGCAGGCCAGAAGCAGAAACACTCTGTCAGCGTTATAGAAAACGAACCACCCTTCAATGACCTGATGCCCGATCGTTTTCAAGTGGTCAGGGTGCCTTTTACACAGCATTCTAGATGAAGTTAGCCAGCGGCCTGACCAGTGAGGAGTCAGCAAGCGCTCAGCCTCCACATTATATCAAATTACCGGACTCCCAAATGAAAACGGCAGAAGAGCTGGGACCTCGTTTGTTCGTACTCTCTGATCACTTGAGCGAAGAGACGGATCTAAGGTGTCTCCAACGTGGGTGGAACATGTCAAGAAGCCACCCACGTAAGAGGGTATGTTCTGGAACCGGTAAGGCGCGAGATAGTGAGATGTAGGCTGTATATTCACGGATGGCCCATCTTGTGCTCTGCGTGGAATTTAAAATTGTTAATAGCAATAAAAACCACAGAAAAGATGGCACGTACTATAACCAGTCTGCCAGGGTTTCAACATGAGCAGCAGCAGTAAATATGAGCCTTAAAAATCTCGAAGAAGTATCGCTAAATTAAAGAAAACACGCTTTCGCCACAGCACGGCTATCTCTCACCCCCTCAATTAGTGACTCACAGTGACTTGCCTTGTTTTGGACCCGTTTGGCCCAATCAATAAAACCACACACCAAGACAGGAAGACAGTGAGAGAACACGAACTCAACTTTGGCTGCTCAAGCTCCATCTCAAATAAGAACGCAGGATACATATAGTCTTGCATTAGCATTAGCGCCAAAGTGCAGGTCAGATGAAGATTTTGGGGCACAGGTGTTCAAAGCGCGAACAGTATAAATACCATTGGAATGGGGATTACGCGAGGATGGCGCAATACGTGGTAATTCCTATAGAGGAAAGAAAAGTGACCATTCTCGAGCTATAGCATGAAATAGCTGAGTGAGAGTGATCACATTGTTGAATGGCGTAACTCTTCTTGAATAAATAGGTCCTCCATAGGAGCTATGGCGATAGAACGAAGAAGATAATAATCTAGCAATCCGCGGATATTAGTTCAATGGACCGTTCTGCAGCGACGCTCGGTTAATTAGGGTCTACAGCATCCCAAAAATAATATTAGTACAAGAACAGTGTGAAAAGATCAAAGGTAGAACTTAGCAAGCTACAGATATTATAAGCGAGGCAAACCGTCAGTTAATGGTATCAAATAATGCAATTAGTATGACCAGAATTCGCAGTACAATGACGAATAGTCCATAGGATTGGTTAGATATCCTTATCTACTTTGGCGAGTTCCATAGCAAGTCGGGACAACATATCATCAGCTTTAGGATTGCGAAGAAACGTCCGACCATCTCCTTTCCTGTCATTATAATTAATTAAGTGCTTATACGGACATGGACCTCAAACTTACCCTCCGCCGCCATTGAAAACTCGATGTACCCAACCCCACGGTTTCTTCCACCCAAATACTTGTGCCCAGTTTTGCTTCCAACCGACATCGTAAAGACGGACCGATTTGTGAGCACTTTTTACAAGTTTACGTTGATTGTAAGACAATTCATGCTCTAACGGCGGTTCAGACAAGCGTAGTGAAGCAGGAAGGGGAGGGAGATGCCGAAGAAGGACGAATGGCGACATGCTTTCTAGCGTTGTTTGATTGGTCCTACATTGTCATTAGCAAGAATTCAAATAGTCGGCCAAGACGGAGAAAAACGACTCACGAGACAAGATACATGTGGTAGACAAGGAATGACCCCATTACAAGAGAGATGGCAACACCAGCAAATGTCATAAACAGTTCATGTATAGGAGTGACCGCATCCTGTAGCAGCTTGAGTTGGATCACTGTGCACTATAATGCCACTAACACTTACTATTGAAAACGGATTGTTAATCGAGAACCAAAAGGCAAAGCCAGAAACGGTGCCAATATAAGTAGCAAGGGCAGTGACGGAAAATATAAAATGAAGGAAGGCAGGGTATGTTCTATGGCCCTACAACTTGTATGATGAGCGCTGTGAAATCTGGTAGCTATTATAACCTTACGACGCATTTTGACCCGAGCCAGGGGCAGTGATGATCTACAGAATATAAGAACACTAGGGAGAGAAGAACGTCAAGCCACTAACCCATTTTCAAAACACACCGGTCACATATGCTACAGTGATGTGCACGATCGGGCCTAGGTGCCCAGCATTTGCGGCACCATTTCGAAGGCGACATGTCATCATCTCCAACGCCTGACATGAGTGCCTCTGTAAGACCCATCTCGCCATCTTCACTACCTGCATCAGCATCCGATTTTTGGGAAGACACTGGGCCAGGATCTCTGGCGACGCAAACGATGAGTGAGGAGAAGGCCAGGAATGTTATTGCATATGTTATTAGAAGATGTACGATGAAGACGACGGGCTTGTGTAATGTACGGATATAGTGATTGACGAGGATAATCAAGAAAGAAGGATGCGGAAGCAACATTAGAAAAACAAGAACTGAGAGCCAGAAGTCAATGGAATAATCATCACGGTGAAAATAAGCTTACAAGCCAGTGGCAGATACTGCAGCCAAGTCTTCCTTGGAATTTCATGATCGTCAGACGAGTTATTTGAGCGTATTGGTGCCTCCAAATTCAAGGATATAAGAGGTCGCGGTCGAGACATTTGCATATCCTGAAGTTTAAATCTTAACGCTGGGAGCCAGGGCAATTCCTAATCCTGAAGAACGCGTGCAGAATAAAGAAGGTGATGGTTTGAGAGAGAAAGAGGAACTAGAAGTAAAAAGGTTGTAAGATTGACGAGTTTCAAAGCAGTCTGTGGCATTGAGCAATTCCTCCAAGTCCGCGCCATCGTGTTACCTGTCGCATGCCGAGCTACAGCCACAATCGGCCGGGCGATGCCGTGGTCATGGGTTTGGCCGAAGGAACTAAGAAATCACTGTAGTTCTTGACCGTGAATTGTAGTCTGGGTCTTGACTGTAGTGCTTTTAACACTAGTATGGCCCCTTTGCTCAATGCCCTCAAGGTTGAGCATGTTTCGTCAGAGAACGGGACTTCCACGTATAGAGGCGACATCGATGGCACCTGGACAATTGGCTCGTATGTTCGCTGTATATACTGAAACTATATGCATTAGACTTATCTCAAATCGTGGCTTATTAGTGTCCCACAGGGAGGTGTGTCCTTAGTGAGTGCAATTTACAGGATGTGATATGTACCAACATCGCATCTTTTAGGATATGCTCTAGGTCAGATACTGGAGGCCTGTATTATCCATCAATCGGCAACTAGGCATAGGGACCCTATCCACGTCTCTGCCCATTTTCTTCAAGCTACGAATGTAGCGAGATTCGAGGTACAGGTGAAGATACTGAAAGTTGGCAAAGGTTTTACCAACCTCGTTGGGATTCTTATGCAAAATGTGCGTACTTATCGGTGTTGATGATGTTATTTTATACGCTCAACCCTTGTTTCTCAAAAAATCGTAGGGACGTACCAAAATCACTGCGCATTTTATTTTTGGAGATCTCTCACCGTCCAGTAGCGATTCTGCCCATGGACTTAAGTTGGCTCCACCATCTCCGTACGCGCGACGCTTGCCTTTATACTCTCATCCTTCAGCGACTACGGCGGATCCAGTTCGGCACACTTGGAAATTTCACTCGCTCCTTCAATGGGCTCAGGATCATATGACTGTAGCCAGGAATAAGCCTGATAGTGAGACTCGTACCCACAGCGACACCGTCGGTGGAGGCGGCACAGAATGGGGTGCATGGTGTGAATTGACTGGCACAGATGATGGGATTAAGACTTCTTCATTGCCATTTTTCGGTGATACATTTCACAATTTGCCTGTATTACTACCGGAAAATGAAACAGCTGGTTATTCGGCTAAATCAAGGTTCGTAATCAGACTTCAAAGATCTTTCTCTCACCAACTTTCTGACATCGCAGTTGGTTTCCGACGATGACAATGACGATTGAGTTCAAAGCACGAATGCCATCTACGTCGGATTATTCTAGTCGTACGGTTGGTTTGTACTCAGAATCACGGTTTCTCGGAGAGCCTCAAGGAAGACACAACGCTCGCGTAGAAGTCTGGACCGCGCCTTCCCGTATTGGTGATGGTGAAATCGCAGACGGTTGGAGAGACAAGCAGTATTGCATTGCCGTGGCAGAGCAAATGTGTCTGACACTATCCATGGACGTCAACAGACGCGAAGGTCACAGGGATACAGTCAAACTATAATATAGTTACCTTATAAGCACGGCACCAAATCCCACGAAGATACTTCACCTATTCACTTGCTGTGCGTACTGGCTTACAGGTATTCTATGTATCGGAGTAAGTCTATCAGTTCTTACATGCAATTTGGCGAGATGATAAATTTCTCGTATGATACAACATCATAGTATCTATCGCTGCAATTTATGAATACATAACGGAATCATCTGAATACATCAATAGTTCTGGACGTAACTTCAGTTCTTCTGAGTCGCGAGCCAAGCAGCGTAATAGACGGGCAGACCGTCAATAAGTCCAGGCTTACGCGGTTCCCAACCAACGAGCGCACGGGCAAGGTAGGGACGAAGAAGGACAGTTGTTGCTATCGCTGCTTCAAAAACTGAAATATGATTACTGAAATTAGCACACACAAGCAGGTGAGACCGTTTGTAGAAGTCACCATTCGAAGGCTTGAGGTATTCATACGGACCCTTTGCTCCTGAGACGTCGACCAATTTATCCAAGAAGTCGTCTACCGACTCCGTCTGGGGATTAGCAGCATCAATTATCTTGCCGCCCAACAGCTGAGCCTTTTCGGAGACTCTTAGGTAGAGGTCAGCCAAGTCGTCGGCGTGCACCAGCGAATATCTGCCTCCGGGAGTGCCATACCATGCCACCTTGCCTTCAGATGCTATCTTGAATAACGACTCTAGGACTGATCCCGATTTTCCGTACAAAAGTGCAGGACGGATCACAATTCCATTGAGCACCTGATCATTGACGTGTTGCTGCTCTACTTCAGGCCGCCAGGTGAGCAGGTCAGGGGGGTTCACTATGGGAGTGGTGTCTGTGACGACATCTTTGCGATTATCACCGTGAATCCATATTCCCGATGTCATGATATAGGTAAGTTTCGGCGCAGATGCGGGTCGAGTTGTCTGAGCTGCTTCACTCACAGCGCGGAGGAGTGATACATCAAGATTGCGAATGTCTGCACCTCCCACAGCGCTGATTACAACGTCGAGCGTAGGCACAAGGGATACCCAGGGTTTTGAGTCAGTGTATTCGCCCACGATAGGAATGACTGCAAGGTATTGATGTTAGTGGTTGAATTTAAATGGAGAGCAGGTCCTTACTCTCTTCCACTGCGAGCTTCTTGACGTTTGACTCAGATCGAGTGACACCATAAACAACATGGCCTCCACGGGACAAAGCCTGACAGACAGGGAACCCAATAAATCCAGAAGCTCTGTAGTAGCGTTGAGCAAAGCCCGCACTGTAGCAGGATGTAAGCTTACCCAAAGACTAAAACTTTCATGCTGAGGTGATTTCAGGTGTTGCAAACGAGGGATCCTGTATGCCTTGGCACTTGCCGTTGGATAATTCAGTCTTCTTTTATATGATGTCGTGCAACGTCATTCACTCAGGGGAGGCCCGAGCAGCAGTCTCCGTATGTCGTATCCAGAATGTGTCATTCAGAAGGGTCTGGATCATGGAAAATCCGACGATCACTCCTAACTCATTCGTATACAGTAATGATATGTATAAGCCAACATAATTAGTTTCAAGATAGGGGTAATAGCATCGCGCAATATGCTCACATTGTTGGCTCAACGATGTGCTCTATAAGACTACAAGCATTCTCCGATTGGAGAAAAAACCTGGCGCTTGATGAGTGATCTCGTTCTGTTATTAATTGTAGCTCGATCAGGAGAACCAGTATTGGGAAATATGCTGTAAGTTGGTAGGCCGCCGATGTCACAGCTTTCTCTGTCAATGATTACCAGTCGAGGCTCCCAACCAATCCATGCGGCAAGGAGAATGTTAGTCGATCGCGACATCACATTGATTTGTAACTGTGTCAAACTGCCACTAGTTTGAACGCCGTGATGCTCTTCTGAATGCAATCCGTTGGTTGCAACAGCAGCGACCAGGTTCGTTGTGTTCGTATGGGCCATAACTGAGCGCTGATAAGTCTAGTATCAAGCATAGTCCGATGAAAAATGTTCGTGATATTGCAAAACATTACTGAAATACACTACACAGCTCGGAAGGTTCACTGTCTAGAATCTTGTCACATACAAGGTATACAAAGAAAGAACGATATCGGCAAAAGGAAAAGAAAAGAAGAGTCCTCAAAATCAATGATATTCTAGCTCGTTATGTCGTGAAAAGGGTGTAATCATAATCTAGCTGTACTGGGTTTGGCAGTACGCGATGCCGTTGTCGAAGGGAGTCAGTTGGTAGTCGCATCCGTATAGGGGGTCGTCGCAAAGCCGAGTTGCGCGTTGGCAGTGTCGAACACACTGTAGTAGCGCTGGAGCCATCCGAAACCGTCTATAAGGAACATCATCACAAAGTTAGCTCAAGTATATTTGAAGTCGGGTGGTATAGAAGCTACGCACTGATGAAGTCCAGACCTTGGCCGCTGGGGGTTCCCAGGCTAGACACAATAAGATAAATCTGGCCATCTTCACCACCGAGAGTGCTGTTGAGCGATCGGGGCCAGATCTGCGCATTGGCAGTAAACTCATAGGTGACTCCGCCGATGTCGAAGAACAGGCTCTGAAGGTTCTCGTATTGGGATTCAGTGATCGTCAAGAGGCCAGTGCTCCTACAGGATGGTCAGTTTAATATCTTCTGATAGATAGAAGACTGCGATAATTACTGGTCTTCAGTAGCGCCCGTAGCCTGCTGATAAGCAGAGAATGCATCTAATTCGGGAGATGAGGACAAATTGGACAAGTAACTCGTAAAACTGCTTACCACTGGAAATCATCAAAAGCGTGGTACCAGTGTCAACAATCCCGGCAGTGGTGCTCAGGATGGTGGTGCCTGTACCGTAAGTTACAGACTGGTTGATGCCCCAGTACTTCAAAGCCGCCCATGTCAGAACCTATTATCGGCAGTAATAGCCATAAAAACTCACGTTGGACGCTGGAGAGGTTGTCGTAATAGGGGTGTAGCTGAGTTCACCAGTATACCTAAAAGGAAACTAGGGGTTGGTATATAAAACAATCGCACTAGGAGTTAACATTACTTGGTGTTGTCGGTGCCACCGAATGTAATTTCACCATTGAGCTCTCCTTCGGTAGTGGTGGGCTCGTAAGAAATTCCAATGGAGTCTTCTCCAATAGTGCCCTGTGAATATAAGTTGTCCACAACAGTGGGCACCTCGGTTTGCCCGGATACAGTTCCTGGTTTATATGGTGAGTCTTGGAACGATAATAAAACTAAATATTCATGAACCTTGAGTAAGATCGGTAGGGCCAACACTAGAGAATTTATGGTCAATAAACACTAAAGAAAGTGGGATAAAAGGTGAACATACCCAAGAATACCGTCCACATCATTGAAACCTGTTGCAGTCGATGCGACACCAATAGACTGATTCTGAATTACCAAACTAGAACTCAAAGTAACAGTGTCGGTATCTATCTTTCGAAGTCACTATCGTAATTCCTAGGTGCTGTGGATAAAACTTACACTCGGTACCCGAGAAGGATCCAGAACCGTAGCTGACATTCTAATGTTGTAGTATCGTTAGAAGTGTATATTCAAACTACAGCAAGTGAATAACGTACGACGGTGTCACCGGTGTTCTGACTAGTACTGGTTGGTACATATTGGGTGGCGGCACCAACCCAAGTGTTAGAACTTCCTATAAAAAGCGAAGTTACAAATCAAAGGCAGCCCCACAAAGGTTAAGTTAAAACATACCAGTATCGATGAGGAGAGTGTATTGGGTGGCAGGGCTGCCAACTCCTACGGACATCGTGTAGGTGACACCTATATTGTTTATCTAGTTAGCATTTCCCCTGACACTTTCTGGAGGCTGAAGCGAACCGGCATCAGTGACATCAACGGAGCTGCCTGAGCCTGAGACACCTCCACCGCCGGTCGAGGGTGCAGTAGTAGGTAAACCAGTGGACGGGTCGATTTCGTCACCAGCATGGCGAGGGCGACGGTGGTGCTCTCTGTGGTTGTGACGTCTTCTGCGTGCCTCGAGGAAGGGGCGGGGCCCGTGAGGATGAGCTCCTGCCAAAAACTTCTGTGCACGAGCACGGTCGCTTTGCAGAATTGCTCTCGCACCACCTGCGGCGGCGGCAGTCAAGCGGGCGGCGAATGGTACGGAATTTATGACAACGGAAGCCATAGTCGTAATTGTGTTTTACTAGGAGAGTGTGTTGGATGTGGGTTGGATTTTGAAAGGTTACTTCTCGAGCCCACTCCTCGTTTAAATACTAATACTTGTGTGAGACTAGGGGGGCCTTCCTGGAGCGGTTCTCTGTCGTCATTAGCCGGGACATATTGATGCTGATTGTGCAGTGGTGTGTGCCAGGGGAAAGAAGCCTCGTCCCAAAGTCTCGGTAGAAGCCTATTCTTGTTCTTTCTCTCTTCGTAGGTACCAATTGGGTACCGATTGGGTAGGGCAATGACAGGGCTGAGAACCGACGAAAAAACGGAGCTACGGTTGCATAGCTGCGGGGCTTTGTGTTCCAAGAAAGTCAGGCGTGAGATACCAAGTTGGCGCAATCGGGGACCGTTGGGTCGAATAAGCAAGTGAGGGCGGATGTGTTGTCGGGTACTGACAGGGAGCCTCCGGGTGTTCATAGTAACATAACAGACGTCACGAAGGACTGCGGAGAAGCCTTTGTGGATAATTCTATCATCCCATCTGGTTTGTACCTTGATTGTTGCGGAGACCCAGAACCGAAGCTACAAGTCGAGAGCACTGACAAAGCTTACTCGATGTCATGGCTGGACACATGAGGCATGGTATGAGCGGCAAAGATTCGGAAGCGAACGACGCAAAGATAAGGACTCTGGACTTGGAGGCATACGATCACGAGAGAAAGGTTGGAACCAGATCATACTATAGCGGTGCTAGGCAGTGACGAGAATAGACAGACAGCGAAGAGAGCGACGGCTATCTATCAGAACCATTAATCCCAGAACGCATATTGCTGAGAAGGTGCCAAAAACGCAATACAAGCTGAATATTCTGTCAAAATCGGGTGAGGGCTCACACAGGACACTGCATTGCGCGTCTTTTGTACTCCGGCGATAGTGCGTGCTGGAAAAGAGTCATTCCATTCATTAATGGAACAAAAGCCAGTCTGGAAGATGGAAAAAGAGAAGCAAGGAAAGCTGTAAAGACTGAGAATGGTACGAGTGCTCTCAGTGCCAGCACCGCCATGCCGTCCGTGCCGTGGATCGTCGTTTACGTTGTCCTAATCATATATGGCTTATCGCAAGATCACAAAATAAATAATTAAAGATTCACCAGGTCAGCTCTGACAATACCTCACTGTTATAGTAGTTAATGAGGCTCCGGAGTATGCAAATGGAGCAGCGCAAGAGCTCATTTTTAGGGCTGACATTACTTCAAGTCAAGTTGCCTCAGCTTACTGGACACCACGTCACAAATCAGCGCCCAGCATCAGGGGCAGCATCACCTGAGAGAATATGGCTGTATTACATCGAACCCTATCCGAGGCTTCCAGTGATAGGATAGACAGAAACCCGCTGCTAGCGATCGCGAGTAGCACCACTACAGCACATCGGTGAAATAGTCGGCCAACGTATCCTGAATCTCCTTCACCTTCCCCGCAGTCGCAGCCAGTGCGTTGTCCTTGCACCACGGCATGGCATCCAACATCCCCTGTGTTGGAATCTCTCGCTCCACTAGGGCCTTCACCACACTCTCCGCCAACATGATCTTCCCCAAAATGTCCGCGTACTGCAGCGGTAGAACTTGCTTGCCCATATCAAGCGTGGAGCGCCACAATGCTGCCCATGCCTGATTGCACCGCACCTGTGCACCGCCTGTGCATCTGGGGCTATGCGCAAGCGTGGGAGGTTCATTAGGCAGACGCTCCCATAATCGACCAAGGGCATAGTGCCCCGAAAGAAGGCGAACGCGTTGAGAACGAGTGAGCAATGGGTCTGCGTCCCAGTGCTCGCGGCCTTGCAGCAACATGGCGTGATACGCTAGTCCAAGGAGTCCACGTAGGTTAAGACGCTCTGCTACACCAATCGCAAGCCCAACATCTTTCCCACAGGCCAACTGGCGCTTCCACCTCACTGTAGCTGCTTCGAGTAGGTCACGCTGCTCACAGAGGGAGGCTAGTTCAGTGAGTTGTACAAGGCTCGGTTCATCAGAAGTATCAAGTGAGGGAGAATGCGAAGGGCGAGTGTAGTAGTTGGTAAGCGCTGTGAGAGCCCAGGCTTCGATAGACCGAAACTGGTATTTATGTGTGATACGCGAGAGATTGAACAGCTGAAGATGATTGGCTTTGGGAGTCAGTGCGACTGTTAGCTCGTGAGGTCTACCATATACAGGAACAAAGGAGATTAACATAAGCAATCAAATTGAATTTGGAAAAGAGACATACAAAGCATACAAAGCCCATAACAGAGCCCGAAATTCATCCGCAGTGTCACCTTGAAGTCTGATTGGATTATCGTCACTTTCACCTTCAGCGCCTGCAGTGACGCTAGAGCTGGAACTTTGACCCGAACTAGAGCGCAAATCGGAATCGAGAGAGAACATGCTGTCGAAGGTCGACTTGTCCTTCGTCAATGTCGATCGGTGGACCTAGTTCAACGAAAGCCTGGTAAACCTGACTGCAAGTATCTCAAAAACAAAATATTGAACCTTGAAGAGCGTAGTCTCGACTAAAAGGACAGTGTTGCCATCGGAAATGTAGTAGACGGGATCTCGTGTTGGTATTGGGATGGATAATTGCAACTGTAATTTAGGTGAAGATGGGCCGCTCGATGAAGGATGCATGAACGTGGTGGTGAGATAGGCTTCAGACGGTAAGTGTGTCATGGTGGTGGTACAAAAGATACGTTTGATGTCAGTGCGAGAGTCCTGCTATTCGAAACCTGCACATTGTTGGCCCGCCATCCGTTTGGAGAAATAGGACTGGCACGTGGCTATGGGGCGGCACGGAACGTTTGGTTTCACACTTTTTTCTTTTGTTCTTTGACTTGCGTCTGCCTTGTACGACGTGACCGCTCTATTTGATGACTTTTTCGTGCCTGCGGGTGAAAGCTTAGACGACTTTGACACTAAACTAAGGACGAATGAAAATTGCAGTGGTGGAACTGTCCGAGACGACGTCCATAGGCTACGCACGATGCCCGTTTTCCATGGATTCTGAAGTGAGCCAACGATGAAATTTCCTTCAGCACATATGTTGTCCTCTATATCTGCCATATCGTGCATAAAGCTCGAGATCCTCGCCCACACATTCGGAATTCAGCGGAGTTCGGAAGGACAAGAAAGATAAGAAATCGTGGATTTGATAAAATTCGAGGTACGTTTCATCCTCCTCAGCTTATCTTTGACTGTAGCTTCAACGAAGTAAGAAATCAATATCCGAGGTGAGCACTTTCACTAATGCTAGGGAGCGTGTCCTTCGTGCTGTGCATCTCTAAGCTATAATATCTATTCCCGGAAAACTGAAGCCCAGAGAGTTTTCCAGGAAATTACTTGTATATATCTCTGAGCCAACATGTCGTCTCGTTTTACCGTGTATTACGGTCCAGTCATCAATCCAAAATCGCTTACCTTGTACGAAACAATCCCAAGCTGCCTCCTAGCTGTTTCGTCGACAGGAAATATCGAATGGATAGCTGCGGACATCACTGCCTCTCACGTGCACGAGACCATCATCCAGAAAGGATGCACAGATTTCGATGTCGTGCGTCTAGGTTCTGGGGAGTTCATCATTCCCGGGTTTATAGATACACATACCGTAAGATGACCCCATGCATTTCATTTCATCCAACTGAATACATAATGTTTGCAGCATGCATGCCAATTTTCTGCCATTGGAACGTAAGTTGTCATTTCTGATCTTTCAGGGCGCATATAGTGGCATATATCTGATATCTGTGCCGTAGTGGATACGACAAAGAGCTTCTAGATTGGCTTGCAGACCTCACGTATCCTGGGGAGGCCAGGTTTTCCGACCCCGATTTTGCGAGGCGCATATATCCAGGTGTTGTCAGGCGCACGCTTAATTGTGGGGTATGATGATCTTTGTTTAGTGTTGTTCCAACTACTTATATTTTCAGACAACTGCTTGTTGTTATTACGGAACATTACATCTTGAAGCTACCAAAATTCTAGCAAATGTTGCTCATGCAATGGGTGAGTTAATGTATCTAAAGACTCAATGAAGGCTGACAGCAAATATGTCTTTTAAAGGGCAGCGCGCATTTGTTGGGGTATGTGACTTCACTTACATCGACTGTGTCAACGTCATCTAGACCATCTCCCACAGAAATGCAACATGGATCAGAGTGCTCCTCAATATTACATAGAACCGTCTCCCTCCGAGTCTATTCAGGCTACTAAAGCTCTTCTTGAGCATATCCAAACACTAGACCACTCCCCAGCTGGAGAGCCACTCGTGCACCCCATCCTCACTCCCCGCTTTGCTATATCTTGCTCTCCAGAGCTACTCAAAGAGCTTGGCAAACTTGCTGCAGCCAACCCATCACTTGCAATTCAAACCCACGTATCCGAGAACAAGGAGGAAGTTAAGGAAGTGCACAGATTGTTCGGATGCGACTCTTACGCAGGTGTATACGACACGTACCACTTACTCCGCGAGAACACGATCCTCGCGCATGGGATATATTTGACTGATGACGAGGTCAAGTTACTTAAGGAGCGAAATGTGGGCATCAGTCATTGTCCTGGTAGCAACTTCCATGTCAACAGTGGTGTTGCAAGGGTTGGTGAATGGCTCGATCAAGGTATCAAGGTATAGTGTTTCTTTGCACCAATATAGACTGGGGCCTGACAGATGGTTGTGTTTTTTTTTTGCCAAGGTCGGCCTTGGGACAGATGTATCGGGTGGTTATTCACCCTCTATCCTGACTGCCGTGCAACATGCAAGTATCGCATCTAAAGTGATTGCTATGGAAGCCAGGTCTGGCAGTCACCGCAATGGACATGGTCATGACCATCCTCACCAGGCTACAGTGCAATTCTCAAATAAGCAGCTGCCCATCGCGACTCTTTTCTACCTTGCCACACTTGGGGGAGCGAACGTGTGTTGCCTCCAACAACGTGTAGGCTCTTTTGGACCGGGTAAAGCGTTTGATGCGCTGGTAGTCAGTGTGCGTAACGATACAGGAAATCCCGGAGTTTGGGGTGTTACTCCTTCAGAAAGTGAAGATGTGAGTGAAGACGTGATGAAGGGTTGGTTGGAGCAGTTCTTGTTCTGTGGTGATGATAGGAATATTAGGCGGGTTATAGTCCAAGGAAAAGTTGTAGGTGGGCTTGATTTTACAGAGTAGGAGTTCGAGACAGTCGAGCTATAGGGGATGTTTCAATTCGCTTGAGTCGAAACATTTAGGGCAGGAAAGCTGTCTACTTGGGTTTTCGGTGATCTAGTTTCGGCTTACGAGATCCGGTGCATTAATATCCCCAGTAGCGCGTCATAGGGGCTCTGTATATCACTGGGAGCTGTGGTAAAGCAGTGCCTTATCTGAGCGTAGCGCTATAAAGGTAAAACCTCCAAGTCCATCTAAACCTCACTATTCCCAAGCACAAGCCAATATGATTACTGAAAAGGTATACAATCTCACCCATTCACAGAAGACTCTCACCACCGCGTTCGCCGCTGCTCCACATTCATCGCCAGGCGAACTGGGAAAGTCTCTTTACATAGAACATCATCACCATCACAGCGCACCCAATGCATCTGGAGGTGTTTTATCCACCGTGAAGGGTATGCTTCACGGTGGTAATGCCAACGAGCTGAAACGGATCATAAAGGATGAATATCCTTCTCAGGAGGATCTTGACAGGGCTGCCGAGTGTGGTCAGTTTGGAAGCAGACCAAGTGATCTATTTCTCAAGGTATAGTTCTATTGCTTTCCGCATAATCGCGCTATTAACTTATCCTATCTTAAGATTTATCACGATGTGCTTTGTACGCTTGATGCCGACCCATGGGCTTGTTCGGTGTCACCCCCTCTTCTTGGTTCACGCGGTGTCGTGAACCTTTCTATAATATCTGTGTAAGACACCCTCATTCCGTAGTGATACAACCTTAATTTATGTTTATACAGCATTCCAGATATCATTCAGCATCATTACGATTGCATTGTTCGTGCAGAGTCAGAAGTCTTCCTTGCAACCAATTTCTGGCAAACCTCCAAATCAGCGACAAAGATCTGCGATGCTTTCATCGAACTATCTCGCCGTGCTGAAAAAAGAGGCAAGAAAGCAGTCGTGAAGATGATGTACGATAGGGCAAACTTGAAGATGATTACTGAGAGCCACGTATACGTTCCCGAAAAGGAGTGGCTTAGTGAGGAAGTTCAATTACCCAAACAAAGTGATATGCCCTGGGTCGACTTCCAGCTCGTCAACTTTCACCAGTAACGTCACTCCTTTGTCACCCCTCATATTATCATTGATCAAATTATTTGTAGACCTGTATTTGGAACGTTCCATAGCAAGTTTATGGTAGTCGATCGCAAAGTTGGCCTGCTTTGCTCGAATAATATCCAAGACAGACCAAATTATGAAATGATGGTTCATCTCGAGGGCCCCATCGTCGATAGCATGTACGACGTGGCTTTGTTAAGCTGGTTCAAGGCAATGACTCCGCCGCTCCCCCTGCTACCCACCCCTAATTGGAAACCAGAAGAAGGCTATAAGTTCGGGATAGATAATCCCTATTCGACTACCCATAATCTGGACGGGAGCAAGGGTGCCGAGTTATTTGCACAGTTAGAGCGTGAAGCGGGGCGCGAATTCTCGTTGTCTGCTGATGACAATAAACCGTTCATCTCTGGAACTTACCAGTCCATCACAGAACATCTTAGTACGTTCTATTATTATTTCCACAGTCTTCCTTATTTGATGATGTACACTTTCTTTAAGACGCGGGTGACCAACCTGATACGACAGCGACGATAGATTACGTCGCTCCTGCGTCTCCAGATGATGAATATACACCACATATATTCCATGCACCCCACGGAGAATGTCCAATGGCTCTTGTTAACCGTGCTCCTAATGGAAAACCAGGTAACCCTGCGAGTGGGCTACACAACGGACAAGACACAGCATGGCTGGCGGCACTGAAGTATGCACAGCATCGCGTTTTTATCCAGACACCAACTTTCAACGCGGTACCTGTTGTAGAAGGTGTCTTGGAGGCGGTGCGCCGCGGGATAGAGTGTGTGCTGTATGTCGATGTTGGGTTCAACGACGGAGGTGAAGCTTTGCCTGGTCAAGGCGGCATAAATGAGGAAGTGGTGAAGCGAATGTATGCTGAGCTGAAGGATGAAGAGAAGAAATTCTTGAAATTCTATTGGTATACCGGAAAGGATCAGGTCAAGCCTCTGAACGCGCATGTCCAGAAGCGTAACTGCCATGTGCGTATTACTATTACACCTCAGTCAAGGATGAATTATGACTTTTTTTTAGGTGAAGGTAATGGTAGTCGATGACTCAGTCGGAATCGCGGGCAATGGAAACCAGGGTACAAGTTTATCTAGACTTTCCATTGCATATATGTTTGCTCAAAAGTCTCTTCAAACAGACACACAGTCTTGGTACCACAGCCAAGAAGTCAATGTCATGATAGACAATCCGGAAATATGCAAAGACTGGTTAAATGCGATTAGAAGAAATGAGAATACTCACCTACATCAACTCGACACAGACGGCATATATCGCGACAAGGATGGGAATGAGTTAACAGACTCGACAGGTGTGGGAAGCGGGTTCAAGGGCGTGATCAAGGGTATACAAGGTAGTATAGCGAGGGCACGTGGTACAGGTGGATTTTAATGGTTACAGGAACGTTTTCAGGTACAAGCCTCCCATTCAGAAAACGGACAGGCAAAAGAGCAAGCATAAGCACGATTGTACTGTATCGTACTGTATCAAGCTGGTTGTGAGGATGTTATCCACTCTTGACTGACAGATGCTACTTCTCTTAAGGAACGACTAAACCAACTGCCCTACCAAGTAACCAACTTACATCTGCATTCGTTTCTGTCACAACAGTTCTATCTCCAAATATTATAGCATATTACATTCTACCTTTGCCTCTACGACATCACGACATACTCGGACTACGTCTTGGTCCTAAAGCTTTCCCTCTACTGATGTAGGTGAGTCTGGCTCATGAACTGAGTCTTTGTCAGATCTGCGCGGCGAATCCGGTCCTGAACCCGAGTTGTCATCGACTTGTTCCTCAATCTCAGCTGTCGATGACTTCTCCGTTAAATCCAGCGATTTCTCGATACCACTAGTTATCTTCTCCAATTCCTTATCCACTGTTTTCTTCCTGGACTTGTCTAGGGGAACGACATCCTCTTCCCAATCTATACAGTCAGCCGTTGCCTCCCACACGTCATCCAGTTCCTTCTCCCAGCCCAGTTCTCGACAAAGCTCTTTCACTAGGTCGTCGCACTTCCCAAGGCAAACCACATCATCCGGTCTGCCAAATTTTCCGACCTTGTCCATATTAAGGAGTAATCTAGGACAATCCGGCGGCACCAGGTCAACGAGTGCGGCAAACGGATACACTTGTAGGGATGTTCCCATCACTATAAGGAGATCTGCGTTACGAAGGCGATGGATCGAGTTATGAAATGCGGACGGCATCTGTATTTTCGACATATCAGGTAGTGACTAGTCATCACAACTAAACGACGTACGGCTTCACCGAAAAATACAATATCAGACTTCACGTAGCCTTTACACTTTTCGCATTGAGGTGGGGTCAATTTCTTTATGGCTTCTTTCATCTTTGCTGAGTCGTATGGTTTCTTGCAATCAATACAAGTTTGGGTAGCATAAGAGCCGTGTGCTTCTATTATCTTTTCGGGCGGAACGCCCGCACGACGTTCCAGCATATCGACATTCTGTGTGAAGCTCGTGTGAAGAAGATTCTTGGTGTGCAACACTTTGATAAATGCGTGAGCTAGAGTGGGTCGATAACGCCCAGGCCAGAGTTCCTTAGCGACGACATAAACTGCGGATTTCTTGAGAACATAAAGCGAATTAAGTAGTTGTGTAACTGACATGGGTAAGGATTTTTGCGGAAGAATTTGAGCTCAAATACAGCCTCGGCATAAGGAAGTTTCAGCTTTGCAAGATTCGACTGCAGAGAGGTTAGGCTGAGTTCTCTATGACGAAGTCGGTAGTCACTGAGGAGATACTCACGTATAAGCCTTGCGCATTCATGATGAAGTTATCAACAGGATGAAACGATTCATAAAGACACAAGCTTACCTGTCCCGGGGGTCCTGAAGTCAGGTATACCAGCAGAAGTGCTGATGCCTGAAAGAGTGAATATCAAGACAGCAAAGGGAAAACGCTGTGATAAGACTTACCAGCCCCTGTCTGACCCGAGACTACCTTCAGAAAAGCCTATTTGACGACGAACAGAAAACTTACCATGACGAAGACATTCCGACAGCTATCCGACTTCATGTATTTCGCTATAGCTTTCAAGTTATTACCGTCCAGAAGCCTCGGAGTCTCATCTTGAGCATATGTGGGTTTGTTGCTCATGATTTGAAGTGAAGCAGACGCTGATACTTTGGGTGCTGTGAATGACGATGAGCTGTAATAGTTATCTCTGAGCTTTGTTTATCTATGGGAAGGGCAATGGGAAAGGGAGCAAACAATAGTCCGCTCCATTGGATCCGGACTTAATCGCACTGCGGCAAAAGTTCTGAGCTATACTACCACGTGGCAAATTACTTCCAGAGGCATGTCAAGCAAAGTTCGCAAATTTCCGTCCACAGGGCCAGCACATAGAAAAACAGACCATGGCCTTAAATTTAACGAATACAGCGCATCGATGCCGTCTCTTATATGCTAAGCCGCCAGCCTGGGCTAGCATCAATGACTGGCTTTGAAAGTCTTTAGCCATTCTAAAACGAAGACAATCATCTCTCCATGAATCTTCCTTATCTCGGCGGGTTCATCTTCCAAGTCACGAAGGCCGTACTCGTCGTAGTGATGGACGCCATCTATCGTGAACTGAGAAGAGACGTTCAAAATAATTACTACGGGGACGTACTTGGTATTAATTTGAAAGGTCGCAAAAGAGTATCGGGCCTGTCCGGAGCATATTCGCTATGGGGGGTATACGGCCTCCATGGGTCAACTACGATGGACAAGAAGCAGTGAGTACAACTTCGCGCGAAAGTATCTATCGCTGCATACCTTCGCCATCGATAATAGCCAAACGATCCGCAGCAATAGTGAAGTCACCCAAGGCGTTCACCGATGTAATATTTGGCCACTCGGGAACAGTAAAGTACTTTCCAGGAGGGTATGCCTATGGAACCAAGAGGTAAATCATACATATGAGGCGCTAAAAGATCTAAATCAGACCTGACGGCATATGCGAGATTGGTACTCTAGGGTCATGAGCCGTGATACAATACGAGGTTGTTTTGGATCCGGAGGTGCTGTCTAAAAAGTCAAACAATTAGATGAGCTTGCTCACTGTGCAAACGAAAGAAACCCACCGAGAAATAACCCCACTGCGTACACACTTGAAATGTCCACGCGCGCCAAGTTTGATCCAATGACACATCTTGGAAATTGCTGTCGTTATATGTACCGAAACACTAGACAATAAGAAGATGAGTGACAGTCAATCTGATAAGTGTAGTTTCATACGAACCTCTTCAACCGTCGTATCATCTGCGCATTGGGACACGTAGTTCTGGTAAAGAAATCTTTGAACTACATCTCGGATAAGATTTGAAATGTGACCTACCTCTTTCATGTAGTTTGCATAGTTGATGACAGATAAATCAAGAGCCAAGCCCCCGGGAAGCTCAATCATCCTTTGTTCATGATTGTAGGGTAAGTTAGCGGTATGGTTTCGGCCAATTACAGGTTTGTTTAAATAGTCGCAAAATGTATCAAATTCCGTGCTTCCAACTTTGGGATCCCATACTTTCCCTTGCCATCCGCCTAGAGGGTTCTACAAATCAGGAAAAGCGATTAAAGGGACTCTACATTGCAAATTAGATATGTAAATACACACCTCGAGTAACGCCATAAAATCATCGTCGTGCTCCAGATCTGCAAGTCCGAATAGAGCCTTGATGGCAGTCCTCAGATGTGGGACGCCAAGGAGGAAATCGATAGTCTCGATGGATTTCTCTAGATGACCAGCGCAGGTAGGGTCCGCAGCCTTGCGAATAATTTCAGAGTATTCCCACATGGCAAGTTGAGCGTGCGTTACACCTTACATTGGAATCTTTAGTACTACCTTACGTAGGGAATAAAATGCATACTAACCACTGGAAGCAATGGCACCATAAACCAATTCTGGATAGAGAACTCTCATGTGTGCTGCTCGAGCACCAGCATACGAGCCCTATGAAGTATATAGTCAGAAATGAAATCGAAGGAGCCTACGACGAGATAGACGCACTCCATAATATATCCAAGGCGTATTGGGAGCGGTAAGGTCCTCTTCAATCCCAGGAAACTTCACATTGGCCATAAAGTTGGCAGAATCAGCAGCAGATTGCTCATTATTGAGCCACCTTTCGTGAACATAGAAATATCAGTCATGCGACTCTGGTCAGAATTCAAAGGTAGTATTACCGCAAGTTATCAGTAGAAAAGTTAGAGACAGGGATAGAGGATCCTGAATATTACAGGAATTAGAAATGTTCCAGGCCATTGGTCCATGTAACACAGTACGATGGAGTGAATTTGACGCGTACCATAGTAACGATGTTCCAATACAACACCCACTCCTCCTGTTGCTCTGGCCAATATCTCCACGATCCCGGTATCTAGAAATGGTATTCTATCTTCTCCACTGGTTTCACCTCCATCCAGCACAATCACAGGTCCTCCTGCGCCTGGGGTATAGTGGCGGGTGTTTATCCAATAGCGCTGTCCGAAAGTCTCAGAAGTATTCGAGAAGTGGTCCAAAGGTTGACGGAAGTATTGCTCAGGAAATTCCTCAAATTTCTCAGTGGAATGTTGAATAGCATCCAAGTCCTGTACGAAGAGACTGTGAGAAGTATCCTTAGGACGAGCAATAGCGTTGTCTAGTCTCCAAAGATTCACTGCTTGAGCCCCTACGCGATTTCCAGTAACGAGTGCAGCATTCGAATTCACGACAAGGGATACAAATGCCGATAATGTGAGGAAGAGAGATGAACTGGCGACTCTCATCTTGTCCAGGACATTCACAGGAAAAGCAGATACTCAACACAGATTGTAAGTCACTTTAAACGTTCCCATCCGAGTAATACTTACTCGGTTCGGCAAATCGGCTATGCACACCTGCCGTATAAAGGACTACCCAAGAAAATCTATATCATAAATAATGGCAAGATGTAGAGGAGACGGCAAAGTAGAACTAATGAAGATACGAATGTGTTGAATATTCTGCAATCAGAATATCCCATGACGATGAACTTGACTGCAGAAGGACATAAGGCCCGAGCCTGGTGTACTTGCAGCAATCGTCGGTAACACATACAGAAACTCGACGAGAATCGAAATCTAAATTAGACCGAACTACCTGTCAATGCGATCCTGATGACATGGTTGAATCAAGGTGCTTTGACGCGGAAGAGGTACTAGGGATCTTCATCCTTGCCAACTATCAAAGCGAGTTTGGTGTTCCGAAACACATGGCTGGCCATTATGTGCGTCAGAATGAGATTGGGAGTAGCGATCAACGTGTACAAAATCCCTAGACCACCGGACAACATTAACACGGTCGCCAGGTTACAGCAGAGAGTGAGCCTAGATAAGGTAGTCGCCGTGCTTTAGTGGGGCGAGGTCGAAGAGGGTATTAGACGCACAAATAGAATATTTGGCCATCTCGTAGTATCAATTTTGAAAAAGCTGGCAGGAACTGGTGCGATAGAGAAACTTTCGCCAATTCTTTGAAACCAGAGTGAGCTGAGATGGACCCAAGGAGGCGCCATGATACAGCCATGAAAACGAAGGTGTCATAGACGAATATTGCTAGAGGAGTCCCATAAACAAAATACTTCCCATAGACACTATACTCGGGGTACTGAGGAAAACAATATGCAGTGGGTCCATCATTTGCAGCAGTGTAGGACGTGATGACGATTGAAGCTGTTACAAGAACAACAAGCCAAAGAACGAAGGAAACCCACACAATAAATTTGTTCCTCTCGATGAAAATGGCATGAACACGGAATAAGGATAATAGACATGACAAAGAGACGGCGAGGGCATAAAATGTGCTGATAACATGATCCATAGCGCGACAGTGACCAATCGGAGTGACTACAGCAAGAAAATAGCAGTGGATTCAATTCCTCGTCTGAAGCCAGGAGTACGCTGCAAGGACAAACTGGTCCTTGAGCACGTCTACGTACCTTGGAAGACTAGGGTTCCAATAATGAAGGCCAAGGAGACGAGTCTAAGATTGTAACTGAGAAACTGTGCATTGAAATTAAAAGAGAGACAGTTCTTACCTAGACCACATATATGTTATAGTACCTAGTTTTATCTTACATTTAGATAGCAATATGTAGTCATCGCCAATATTTGTGAGCATATCCCAAATGAGAGCCTGTGAGGAGAGAAGTTATCTTGGGTCAGATTGAGAAGCACATTACTGGTGATGCCTTACTTCCAAACAAGCAACTAACACATAGTTTTGTCCTTGAACTTGTTGCGCTAAGTCCAGAGGAAGAAAAGTCAACGGGCTCTGTAGCTGAGGAGTTTGAAGTTCGGGCGTGAAGCTCATGGCCAGTTTGACGAATCAACAGACAGAAGCTCTCCAGTGTACAAAAAAGGTCGACGACAGGCTTTGGAAAGTGTTAGGATAAAACAATGGAAGAGACTAAAAAATAGGCGGTGTCCTTTCTCATGATGCCTGCTGGGGCACAATATCAGTGACCAATATCAGTGAAGCAGTGTTCGAATTTGTATCATCATCTGAGAAATTCAGAACTCTTTAAATAGCATGTGGCACACACCAAATCAATTTCTGAAACCGTTTCCCTCTGGTATGATACGTGCACGAGCGTCTGGAAGTTTATAATAAAAGTCTTCGCTCGAAGCGCGTGTATTATCTACAGTGTGCATAGAAGTCAACTTGAATACTCTGTTACCTTGAGGCGGATCGGATGCACTATGCAGAAAGTGTCATAGAGAAGATGGACGTTGTTAGAGAAATGCATAAGTAAACATGATGCAATAAGGTTTGTGATTGCGACCGACCAGCACAAAGCATAACACGACAAGATAAAATAGTATCAACCTGACCATCACCTGAGGCTTTCAAGCTCTTCCCAACGAACACGGAAACAACAAATCAGTGTGCCATCTGGATCATGTTGCCGCTGTATGCTGATGTCCATACTTCTGCAATGGATTTCCATATAAACTCGTCATGCCTTCCACATGCCTTTGTGCTCGAGCCCAAATCGCCTCGAGTTTAGGATCGCGACTGCACCATTGTTTACTGTCAAGGAAAATTGGCCTAAAGCGTCTGCGTGAAGGCTGTGCATGCTGTTCCGGCTCATCGACGTCCATCGCATATGAGGGTTCTGCAGGAGTTGACTGAGGTTTCCGTGTTCGACGGGGAGTAGAGGGACTGGAAACTGGAGGAGGGATTTTGTTAACAGTGGAAAGAAATGGGGAAGGTTCTTCCGTAGGAGGTGCATGATGGATAGTCCCGCTCAGCGCGAGATGAAAAGCCGAGGTCGAGGTCGGTGTAACAAGATGTGAACGTTTGTGCGGGGTATGTCCGGTCGCTTTGATAGGCGACTCTACTCTGCGCCTTTTGCTGGGTGTTTCTGGTTGCAAATCGTCATCGGGGCCGCTCAATGTTTCCTGCGAGAACACAACGCCGCGTTTTTGCGCGAGGGCTTTTGCAGGCGTTAGTTCGAGTGTACGGCCTCTTAGAGCTGATTTGGATGGTGACTTTGTAGGGGAAGCGGAATTCCTCATTTTGAGGGGAGAAACTTGGGTAACATGAACTTCCTTCGTGTCAATTCTGATTTGAGTGGAATTTTCTCCGCATCTTTTGTCTAGGGCATCAACAAAGGTCCTTCAGAGGTTTGGGATTGAAATCATATCTATGAGCTAATGAGCTGACTCGTATTGGTTCAACCCGCTAAATGCATAGGTTTGTTAAAAAACGAAAGGCTTGGTGGCGAGGAAGACACATACCTCCATTAGACTGTAGGTCCAATAGAATACTGCACATTTGAGGAGAGCGACGTTGGTACTGTAACGTCTTCGTGTCAGAGCATTGTCTAGGAATGTATCCTCCACTTCCTCCATGGACTGAATTGCCTTTCGCATTGGCGTGAGCTTATATGCTCGAACGAGTGTTTCAAACGTGAGTACTTGTGAGCCACCTGGTTCTTGTGATTGTAAAGCTGCGCGAACAGTATTCAATGCTTTGACGAACGTCTTGCGATCTAAGCACGTAGCACTCTGAGCAATGTGCTCTGGCACATCAGTGTTACCCAGCCTAAGTTAAGGGTCAGTCCATGTGTTAATAATGGATGAAATAAAACGACGGACGCTTGGGATGCGAGGTGTGCACAGATTGCGGGTAAACCGTTTGCTCCGCTAGCTAGGGTGTAACCTGAACCTGGGCCTGTTCTGGTTTGAGCAAGGTGTAAGAGGCTCTTGGCTTTTTCAAAAGTCTCTTTTCTGAGGCATAAGCTCCGTAGTTGATTGATGTGAATGGTAGCCATAGCGTTCTTACGTTCTGAGTAGGAAGAGCAATGTACAAGTACTGAAACATGCGTGACGTACCAAACGCGTTTCGTCACATTTTCGACGCATCTGTCACGACGCGTCTTAGTCACAATTTATCAGGATCATGCTAGCATTATAATAAAAACAAGTGAAAAGGTATTGAGTTTGGGCTGTAAGGATTAGTGTCATACACTATCATAATAAAAGAGACAACGAATGCTACAAAATATTTTACGAGTATATGCCCTATCACTGGAGGCTAGTCGAAGTGTTTCAGATAGGATAGTCGTTGTTATGATCGCTAAGCATCTCGTTAAGACTGGCCGTATATTCAGGCTTCATTGTTGTGCGGAGTCTCTTTGTTAGCATTGAATCCTCAGTGACGCCCATTGGCAAGAATAAGTGAACTGCTTACCATACAGCGCAAAGTCTTTGCGATCTCAGCACTCCTTCGCCTTACATTTGAAGACGTTGAAGGGCAAGATCCAGCATGGAAAATTCGTTCATTGCACGTCGAGAGTTGTCTACCAGCGATAAGATGTAAGCAATGCGACTGGAAGAGATGAGGGCAGGGATTGCCTACCGTGCTTTGCGAAGGCTACGATAGCCTTAGCCGATGCTAGTTGCACATCACAGTCACTATCACCGAGCAAGTATCTCAGATACTCAAGAAAGTGAGATTCCAGCATCTTGCTTCGGAGTTTTTCTGTCGAACGCATCAGGGGTCCTCTCAGGGGTACCGAGACTATTAAACCATGCTCACCGTGATGTGCACATTCAGCGACAGCATTGAGAGATATTTGTCTCGATTTCCAATTGGAACCATTGAACATCTGGTAAAGATAATCCACAAAGCCAAAGGTAATCACATCGCATTGGTCGTCTGGAAAATTGTTAGTAGAAGAAGCGATAAAAACAAAGATAGCGATGGCCTACCATGGCTCGCGAAGATTGCGATTGCATTCACAGATGCTAGTCGTACAGGTAAGGACTCATCATGGATCATGTTTTTTAAATCCTCGAGAAAGTGAGATTCCAGCATCTTACGGCGGAGTATCTCTGTCGGACTGTCAGACGTGCTTAGATATGCGAGCTCGAGTAAACACACCATATTTTGCAAATTCTCCAACAGCTTCAACGGCCGATTCTCTACAAGTCCACTCGGCATGGCCAAATGTCTTTTGGAGACAACTCAGGAAGTCAATCCGAATAATCTCGCCTTGACATTCATCTAACGAATACTTAGTAGAAGAAAGACATAATAGAAATGGCGGGCCCACCATATTTTGCAAAGACTGTGATTGCCTTCGTAGACATGACTCGTACATTCGAGTCATTATCTATATCACTTATACTCGAGTAGCTATCCACTTTTGATTTTCGGAGGGAAAATATATCTTGCAGGTCCTTTAGAAAATTAGATTCTAGCATCTTCTTTCGAAGGATCGCTGCTGAATCGTCAGCCATGCTTAAACAGGCCTGCTAGAAATTGCCCACCATGCTTTGCAAATTCAGTCACTATTTCAAGAGATGTTACTCTTGACTCGGTGCTATGGAGCATACTTTGAAGAAGTTTCATTAAGTCAATTTCAATCATCTTGCTTTGGCAATTATCTGACATGTCGTTAATGGCAATAATAAAACACACGAGGGCTATGATGGCTCACCATATTCCGCAAAAATTTTGAATCCCTTCGCAGAAACTAGTCGTGCATTCGAGTCATAAGTACCGACTCGGAGCATATCCTTCAGCTTGTCGAGGAGGTGAGATTCCTTCAGCTTTTCAGAGGAATGAGATTCCAGCATCATGTTCCGAATCTCCTCTGAGAACTCGTTAGTTGCACTTGAGCATGCTAGTATAAATATGCCTACCATATTTTACCAGCTCTGCAACAATGTCGAAAAATGTTTCATCTGGCACAGATTTGATATCGCACAACATTCTTCGGAGACTATCCGCACATCCAAATTCAATCATCTTGCTTCGACATTCGTCTGACAAATCATCCGTGAAAAGACTGCAAGGAGCAAGGACAGCGACTCTGAGGGCTCACCATGCTTCGCCAAGGCCACGAAACCCTTCGCAGCTGCTACTCGTACATCCGAGGCTGTATCGTTGAGCATAGTGTTCAGATCTTGAAGGAAGTGAGATCCCAATATCTTGGTTCGAAGTTCATCTGACGACTCCGAATCGTCAGCTGCGCCTTCACAGACAATATCAGGGATGCCCACCGTATTTTACCATTCCTTCAACAACATAAATGGTTGCTTTTTTTAATCCTCGTTCGGTTGCGACGGTGATTTTTTTGAGGGAATCAAGACAGTGATCTTCAATCATCTTACGTCGGCAATCCTCTAAAAAGCGTTGGTTAAAGGGGTGCAAGACATCAGGACAACGATGGCCTACCATGCGATGCAAAAACTGCGAGTGCTCTTGCAGAAGCTAGTTGCACATCCCAATCTTTATTACGGAGCATATTTGCCAAACATTTCAGAAAATTGGACTCCAACATCTTAGTTCGGAGTTGGTCTGTCAACCGTCAATGATTACGACGATGTCCAATATGAGTTTGGAGTTACCCACCATATTTTGCACACTCTGCAACAGCATCAACGGATGATTTTCTTAACTTCTTACTTTTGAACATCTTTTGGAGTAAATCTATGAAGCCAACTGCTATCATTTCTTGTCGGCAGTCCTCTGATAATATTCAGTGAAAGAGATGGAAGATCCCAAAATGGTAACGGCGTACCATGCATTGCAAAGGCTGTGATTGCCCTTACAGACGACAGTTGTACTTGCAAGTCATCATTACCCAACATATCTGTCAGCTCCTTAAGAAAGTGGGTTTTCAGCACTTTGCTTCGAAATATTCCTGATAAATCGTCAGCTATGGCGCACACATGTGCTCATGGGTGCTTACCACAGTTTGCAAAGTCTGTAACGATATCAACAGCTTCTGTAATTGACCTATTCTCGGCTTTGCTGTACATTTTTCGAAGAGAGTTAAGAAAGCTGATTCTAACCATCTCCTGGTGGCAATCCGCTGATAATAGTCAGTGTATTGACGAATATCATGACAGTGATAATTTACCATAGTCTGCAAAAACTGCGAATGCCTTTGCAGACGCTAGTCGTGTGTCCCAGTCATTGTCTTCAAGCATAACGTCTCTTAGATCCTCTAGAAAGCCCAAATCTAGCATCTTGCCTCGAAGCTCATCTGTCGGACTGTCAACTATGCTCGAAAGCGCGAGCTCGAGAACCTACCATATTTTACTAGCTCTATCGCGACAGCAACAAATGGTGATCTGGAGCACCTTTTGGAAGGAGGGAACTCTCGGAGAGATTCCAGGAAGTGATCAAGGATCATTACCTTTCGGCATTCCTCTGCGCAATTCTATCAATAACATCCAATAAGGGTAGCAGATGGGTTTCATACTATGTTGAACATAGGCTATGACTATATCAACGATCTTCGCCTGGCCGTCCCAAATCCCCTGCTTGAGAGGGTCTAGAAACTCAAGTCCTAGCAGCTGTGTTCGACAGTCGTCTGCTGAAATATCAGACCGGCGCACTGGAGGAAGTAGGAGAATTGCGACGAACCATACAACATTAATCGCGGCAATATCGCAAGTACAGCCATGCGGATCTCTCGATCGGAACGCTGTAGATGCGAGGACAGCGCATCTAATATGGCACCCTTGATTTTAGAGCGTAAAATATCTGCGTGGTCATCAATTACAGCACTTCTCAAGGACACAGATATAATACCATCTTTGGCCAAAGCTGGTATGGCGGCAATCATTGCGATGCTTAGACCTTTGTGTTCTCCCCCAGGGTTCTCAGGATCAAGCATTTTGATGAGACATTCGCACCAGTCGGGAATAAGCGGTTGTAGTTTATCAGATACTAAGGTTCATCAGAACACAGATAATCTATACAAAATGGTGACTCACAATAGTCGGCCAGCGTCACCACAAAGCTGCAAACATGATCCTTCTTTCCGTCAGAAAGTAGGGTTTTCAAAGCATCATGTGTTTCACGTGATTGAACACTGATATTGATGTCAATATTATCAAGAAATAAAGAGGAATGAGCTGGTACATACCTCGGCTTCCACGATGGAGTTTCATGTAATTGTGCCAAGAGGTTCAACAAAGTCACGTTGAATTCTGAACTTGCTTCCCGAGACTTCAGAATATTTAATAAGCAGCAAGGCAACTTCTCTATTCTACCAAGCTCGCGACGTCCAACATCTGTACAACAAATCAGCTTCTGAGCACCGCCGCCGCCGTCTTCGAAAAATTGCACGTACCGGATGATACTATCATCTTCAGACGGTAGAGCCACATATTTTGATCTCCATCACATAGTTGCTCTAGTTTTGAGATCACATGGCGGGCTTTGGAATAATCATAGATGTCCCACTCCAGCATATCATTCCACCCGCCCACTAAGTCAGAGATATTTTCCGCATAACGCCCTGCTACGCCGACAAGTGCATTTAGATCTCGTGTTTCACCAGGGCTCAAATGAGCCCTCACACGATACTTTTTGCAATGTGCGATTGACACATGTATTTTCTGGCCAGGCTGAATTTGACGGCCATCCCCTCGATGGAACCTTTCCGTTACAAACGTCAAACAAGCCCAATATATAAGAAGATGGAGTTGCGTACCCCCATATATGGCGACGATCATCCTCGTAAGAAAGTCTCTTGATTGGGATCCACTCTAGGATCTTCCACGCTCCCTTCAACGACTCGTGTACTTTACCGAGCTTTCCCCAGTCCCATTCCACTTGCGAAGCACCCAGATTTAATTTGAGCCCAGCTGAAAGTGCTTCATAGGACATCCATAACGATGACGGAGTACGACTGTTCATGTCAGTGTTCTCAGCGAATCCTCCGCCACTGAACAAATCAATATTGGTACAATTACTGGCACTTAATATTAACTCACATGTCAGAGTGAGTGCCCGGGAACCAAACTTCCTTGATGTTTGGGTGTTGCGCTTACATAGGATAAGTGGTGGTGGTCAGATCTCTAGCACGGAGTATGGCTTACTGTCTTTATGGAACCTCTTCTCGCTAGCACCATCGGGACGCTGTAATGACCATCAATCAGCATGAAGGCATGATATATAAACATCCTACTCACATCGGTTGATTCCATGACACCCCCTCGTGCATATTCTGGTAGGAATTTCACGCGGCGCTCATCCAGCGCGAGAGCGTGGCGGAAGTAACAGACGTGTTCTGGATCCACTGTACGAGGCATGTCGCTCCCTCTGCCCATACCGATGGATGATACACTATCCCTATTAAACACAGTCAAAACAGAGTCGAGGCACATAGATAAAATTTAATTTCGTACCAAACGCCAACAAAATGGACTTTGACATCTCTCGCGAATGCGTTCTTGAAGTGATCTGCCAACTTTGATTGTTTTTGTGATGCACCACTATTTTCTTCTGTGTTAATCGGCTTCTCTTCATATCCAGAACGTTTCTCCTTAGCTGATAGAAAGAAATTCCGAAGAGTTGCGTAGATTCCTTTCTCCTTAAGATTACCGCTTTGAAGTTTTACATATACTTCATAAGCACTAAAACAAGCGGTTAATGTCAAGGCCCAACATAAATATATTTTGCCACATGCAATGGAATTTGCCCCTCGTTTCCCTTGTAAATAAGGCCAACCTGTTAGACACATGCCATGACGCTCAGTTCTCTCGTATCATCGAGTAGACATGAAAAAGAGAACCTTATGAATCATGCCTGCCAGTACACGAACTTGATATGCTCCCCGAGAAAAACCTGCTTGAAAGTCAGATGGTGACATATCTGATAAATTGAATAGATCACACCAAATAGATAGATTTTATCTCCCTTTTGGTAATTGTCTGCAAGCCAACGGTATGCATCAAAAATGATATCCTCAAAATTCCTAGGGCAAGACGGATAAGGCTGAATCAAACGATAGATACGGGATACAAATACCATGCGATTGCAAGATCAATCTTATGCATGATCACGCGAGCCCAATATGTGGGTGATCTCCACGGAGGTTGTGCATATGTTCCGATCCCGCTGTTGTAGTATGTAAGCTGTTCACAATCCGGGTCTTTGAGCACCTGGCTATATAGCTCTATAACATTTGTGTTCTAATGGCAAAATATGAGAGGGCGTAAATTTCGACAAGCATAATGGTTACCCGTTCCCCAAATTGGTTAGATGTACCGTCAACACACACCACTAGGTTTCTCCCCTTTCTCCCAGTGTTGGGGTGCTCAGCGCAACAGGAGTCATCTTTATTGATATCTGTAGTGTTCATGCTAAGCAGGATACACATAAGCATCACAAACATGAGACACGATGCGCGACGCGGGATCACGTACTTCATGTTTTTCGATTGAGACATACCAAGAGCAAATATGATGGGAATGCGTGTACAATTGAAATGGAAGACAGTGGAGTCAAAGTGTAGGGTTGGGACGACCAGCCATATATACGCCCATACCTCGTGGACACGCACATGCACCGATTGAAATATCATCCTTAAAGAGAGAACTGAAAAAAAAACTTACTTAGAAACGTGGATTTCATACAAGTCATACCAGAGCTATGTTATAGCGGTCGAATTTGATAGTGAAAGTGATCTAGCCAGCAGTCCTCGGGATGTTGACTCCAGGAACTTTTGCATATTGTATTGGAAAAGCGTGATTGGAAACTTTCAGCGTTCGATGCGAAGATTGAATTAACACAGGCTCCGAGTGGGCGACTGCCACCAACGCTGCCAGCGGAATGTACACAGCTCAATTGCAGACCGACGGCTAGGCTGCCATCTAACAGGGCCATATTTTAGTCCCAAACATATGGCATGATGTCCCGATTGGTATGTTCACACCCCTTTTGACGCACGATCTATCCAACGAGGTCAGCATGAAGGAGAGAGCGACATGTATTCGGAGCAGGTCTCGATCCTTGATCACTGCGCAACCGACATTTATACACGCACGGAATCAAGCGAGGGTATCAACAAAGCACTTTGTTTGGAAGATAACCATGAAGTCACAAGTCACTTCTAAGCGCTTGGGCTACGGCATATTGGTGTTCGTGTTCCGTGCCCTGTGGAGCATGGTGCGGAAACAACGTTGCTGTTTGTACGAGATTGGATGGGGACTTGCTCTTCCATCAAGACGATAATGCGTAACTTGGAAGGATAAGATGTATGGGTTAGGGACTGCTTGGATAGGGACAGACCATCCTTCCTTCAGTCACGTATTTTCGTCCCTTGAAAAAATCAGCAAGCGAAGCGCCTTGGGCATGATGCATGATGAGTCATAACCCTGTGCTCTTTGGTTTCTGACGGCTTGTTCTCGCGGTGTGGAACTGGGATGTGTGACTCATAATTCTGGTAGTTGGCCTGGGTGATGTTATCGTGACTCGTGACAAAAAGAGCGATAGAATTGCTATTGAGAAGGGCACGCATTTAACTGCTGCTGCCTGAACTCGGAGCTGAATCAAATCAATCGTGGTGCAGAAGCCGTTCGATGATTGGATAGCGTCTAAATCATGTCCGTATCACGGTGGCCGCGAGTCATGGTGAGAGTCTGGTCATCCAAGGAACCTACAACAGTGCACTGATAAAACATAGTACACCAATGAGGCGGACAATACCGCTCGCGGGATATACCGCATGGGCGCTCTCCCTGGAACTGAAAGCAAGTTACTCACTAGGGAAATGGTGCATGATGTACGCCCGCTGTCTACGATCAGATGGAAGAGAAGATTCAGGTTGTCGCTGGACATGTCTCAGTGCAATTCATTTGACCAACCTCCATGATAGCGGGCATTTCAAATGCGTCTTCTGCGAGGTGGGATGAAAACTGCATTCGCTACAGAGCCGCTGGAACATGAATGGTGTTGCTGTCTACTAGCGCTTATTCCAAGTTCCAAGTTCGTTGTACCGTACCATGACCTCGCAAATGAATTATTAGGCGCAATACTCCGAGTCTCGGATCGTCCGGTTCATTTCTGCAACGATAGATTACTCATTCCGCTCCGAAATCCAGCGCCTTCATTCTTGAATGTATTACAGGCTGTAATATTTATGTGAACATTTAAGCAATACTTTCAATGCATGATATTACCTGGCGCGATGGATTCGTAGAGAAAACCACTGAAACGCTGTGACAATTGGAACTCTGAAGAAATGTCACGCAGTATTCAGAGTCCCCCTTTTGCCGTGACCGGCATCGAACTTGGTTACAACTCAAAAGTACACAACAAAGCCACATCTTAGCATGAGCCTAACTGGTAACCTCAGGAGCGTTCATTTACCTCTAAAGGACCTCGTCAAATGTGCAGTTTGTAGCAAAAAAAAGGACCTGAGGCTATGTTCATCTTGCGGAGAGGTAAGTTGAATATTCCTCTGGTTTGATTGCGGAGCATTAATCACGTATATAGCAAACATACTGCTCCGCCGAATGTCAAAAGAATGACTGGCCCACCCACAAGACCAGTTGTGGTACGGTATTTCCCCCTTCCTGCATCTTGATCTAGCAAACCCTAAGAGCTTAGGTAAAACCGATAGAATCAATCTCGAGTCGTTCTATCCATTCATTGCCATCATCGTTGACCAGTGTCACATGCACAAAGACAAGCCAATGCACCCTGCAACGCTTCACAAAATCGTCAACACTCCAAACCCAAATGTACATCCGACGCAGCTACCAGATGGTTCAGTCGCTAAAGCGGTTATACTGGGTGATCCCCAGCCCCTAACTCAGATCGGCGCACCTAGCTGGTGGCCTTCTGCACTCTCAGACAATGTTCGAGGCAAGATGATGCGCAGGTTCCTGCGTGAGGGCTATCTTCCACACATACTCATAGCTGTCTGTCTTGGGCTACTCGCAGAAGTATACACGACGACATCAGGTTTGAGATATGGGAAACAACGTCGTGTGCGCCTCCGTCAACACACCTCGCCTATTTCAGATTTTGGTATTGCTTATGGCTCTGCACGGGTTACAGCCCAAGATAAACTTGCTTATCTTTATCTTTCGGATGGCTCTATGGTCAAGGGTCAGGATCCTGACAATCACTACTGGTTGTACTTCACTACAGTTCGAGGGCAGGAATTTATACTTGAATGCGGGATGTTCACATTCAATATGTCCCAGATTATCGCCAGCCAGCCATATCTTTCCGCCAACGATCCCTCTATGCCCTTCGTACCTGCATTTTTCCGGGATAGGATGATACAAAAGAATACTCCTGAGCTGCATCGTGAGCGGAAGCGTTTCTCTGTTTTGCGAAACCCTGCTCTGCAGCGAGCTGTCGCAAACAGTGAAACAGGGTTTACTGCGCAAGATCTGCAGGCCATCACAAGCTTCTTTCAGACCGTGTCCGGCAAGATCCCTTCCGAAAGCGATAAAGATGTTCTCCAGGCCTTCATGTTGCACAGCTGTCGTGCTTTTGCAGACGTTATAGAAAGTGGTAGATGGAAGGGCTTCCCTGTTGAGCCTGTGTTGGCTATCGAAGCGGATCCTGGAGAACTAGACGACATAGACGACAGCAGCGAGGAGTGGTGGCAATACCTGCAAAATTGGAAGAAAATGAAGAAATCGGGGAAAGTTGGCGAGGAGACGATGAGGCAAGCATTTCTCGATTGGGAACGAAAGAATGGCAGAAAAAAACGAAGCTAATGGATGAGTAGCGAAAATCCATTGACCCCGCTTCTTGTCAGTTATATATTTTTTGATTCTGTATCCCTCTAAAAATGTAAGTTGAGTGTAGCATAGGTGTGTCATGTTTTGGTTGTATACTATAAAGTGACTAGTATAATAAAATATGAAGCTTTTCGCTATTCTAACCTGCCAGGTGAAAAACCAAATGACCTTCTGTGCCTTCACCCATAATCCTTTGGTTGTGCAGTAGTTACGCCTATATATATCTTCTGTAACCTCACTTCAGTAGAGTTAATGTTCTGGCCAGTGGTAGAAGGAAGGGATTTCATGCTAAGCCCCTTCTGATTCGGAGAACAGTCTGTCAGGGGCTGATGTCAGGAATGATCGGATTGTCTACAAAAATACAAGTGAAGCAGTCAGAGAAAGTGGGAAAGCAGATAACATAGCATTTCTTGGTATGGTTCTAATGAAGCTCAACTCTCAACTCTCAACTCTCAACTGCTGTTGAAACCTAGAAAAACAGGGACTTTCTTGTCACCGGCGACACCCAATGACATAACTCCGAATAACACTGAAGTATGGTTCCTTGCATTTACTTTCTAGTGGTACAAACTGATATGATGATGCTCAGTCACCGTCCATTTACGCGAATACAACACTGAACCTTCCTGTTTATCTTACAATTTCTGAGAGTCTGCCCTGGGCAACTCGACAATTTGATCGAACCCAGGATAGTTGGGCAAATTGAGTTCAAACTTTTCCGCCATTGATCTGTTGAACAGACATCAGGGGTCCATTACCTCTGAATGACTATGAGAACGACTTACATTGGCACGAATCTCCCACCAAGGAAGTGTCTTCCCCCAAACGACCTGACGCCCTCCTTAGGGGCTGTCAGACTGATCAAGACATCTGGGTTTAAACCCACGCCCTCTGCATTTCCTTTCTCGACGTCCCATCCACTTGGAATATCGACGGAGACAATCGGAACTCGTGAGGAAGAGATTAACTGGAGGGCAGAGTCGAAGGGTGCGCGGACAGGTCCTTTGAAAGAGAAACCGAAAATGGCGTCCAACACGACATCAGAAGATGATAGAGCATCTCGCAAAGAGTCAGGGGAGACTTCAGGAGGCAGCGTAGAAATCTTCATGTTAGAGCATTGCTTGTGTAGACGCTATAACGGTAGATATATGAGAGACTGAAGGAACGACAGGGAATATCATAGATATACCTTATATATGTCTTTCGATCCCGGCTTGGAATATCACGTATGTAATCAAAGGCAACATGTAAAAACATGCAGGATGAACTCACCTTGGGCATGTAAATGGTAGGCTGATACCCAAACATACCTATATACAGGTCATGCTCTCGACAAAATATACCCCAAAGTAAACCTTAACAGACGAACCAAGATGCCTTGCAGCGACCAATCCATCCCCACCCTGATTACCAGGACCGCAGCAGACGAGGACACGAGGGTATTTCTCCTTATTGTAGGCCTTGGCCAGAGTCTGAGCGCATGCTAAGCCAGCCAGCTCCATGAGCTAGGTTTCCGAGTCGAAGGATATTCGTCATCAGGAGCTATCTTTCAGAAAGGAGGTATCGATACTCACCTGGTCGAGACTGAAGGCCCCAGCAGAGTTCATGAGCTCTTCGTCGATCTATTAACATTAATATGCTTTCAATCACTTATTTTGAAAAGATGGAATAAATTGATTACTTGCTGTGCAACCTTGGCGGTGAGATAACGGAGCGCCATGGTCAGGACCGCGAGAGTAAGATGTTACAAGGGTGATAGTCGTATGGGGATCCGATTCTGTTTTTATACCTGGACTGAAGTGGACTTGTTGACATCATAGTAAGCTCAAGATAACGTCAAAAAGGAGCCAAAATGTAATACGATCGACCATTATAACTGCAACTTCATGCCGTAAATTTGTCGCGAAAAAACCGCAAAGTGTGTCCATGTTTCTGACCAACAAAGTGAACATACGTAGAGCACGAAGGATCAGAACAGACTAAAGCCCTGACAATACATATTGCTCGTGAAAGCTATAACTTAGAGGTAAATGATAAAAAAAAATGGGGCCCCAGTTCTTCACTTTCCACCACCACCCCCTGGTTTAGCGCATACCCGTCGATGCTCGTCCCAGTCTTTCTTCTGATGTTCTGCCGAACAATATTTGACCAACCGGCATTTACTACAAACGAGACCTCCAACGCCAGTGGATGCCTCTCCACTGTCAGCGCTACTCTGCGAACCTTCGCCATTTTCTGTCGTGTTGGGCGATTCTTCGTTGAAACTGATGTTACAGTCAATCCAATTACACATCTCCTTCGGTTTTATCTTTCTTCCACACCGACCACCCCTTTTGATGGAGAGCACTACTGCTCCTTCGATCCCGCGTCTGGGGAATCGGATCATTTCACAATCGTCGTTACAGCAGGGATTAGGGCACCCGCTAGGGAAGTCGAAGTATATCTCTTCGGACGGAACATATGACGGGTGCGTGAATAGTATTTGCGAATAAGAGGTGGTTTGGTGCGAGAATAGCACAATAAATGGTGGTTTCTTCTCGTATAGGATGGCGCGAAAGGCGAGGTCGATTTGTGGGAAACAGGGTGTACGTCGTTGGCGGACGAGTGTGTGGCTCAGACGCATATCTAAGCTTGGCTTCATGAGCACGTAGTTGGGTTATAAAGCAATGAAAAGACACGAACGTTCATGTTGGATTTGCCGCTCGATGCTAGGTTTACAAGTGCGGCGAAAAGCATGCCGACATACAAGCTTAAAATACTCTGTTACATCGTCCATCTCTTGTCGTTTCATGTCTGTTACAATAATGAATATATCGTCGCTTCCGTGGTCGTGCATCCCTCTCAAAATCATAAGTTCGGGTAACTGATAATTAATATCAGTATCAACCAAAGCATCAGTCGAATGCAAGCACGCACCATTGTAAAAACTACAGGCATCATCGATAATTTCCTGTCCTGCATGGACCGATGGTGATAAACATGGGTTGTCCATGTTCTATCAAGGGGTATGAGCCGGCCGGTGTCGACCGTTCTACAAAAGAGGTTTTCTGGAACGAAATCGCCTTTGTTCCAGACCAGAACCTGTTTCCTCAAGGAATTTGCAGCATGCTTCCTCTCTCTCACTCCGCGAAACCATTCCCAGTACGCGTCGTTGCGGTGCTCGAGCCATTTGTCGATGAGCATATCTGTAGCATCGTGGTCGAGGGTTTTGCAGACGAGCTCGCTCATCGCCAGTGTTGGTGGTGAAAATATAGAATAATGTTGCTGGACCATTTTTGAGATTGGATTTGGGGTCAAGGGTCTGGTTATGTTTTGGGCTCCTGACACAGAGTCGAGGTGCGTGTTTAGGACATGCAGAAGCACATGCCACACTTGTTTAGGATCTACGGAAGATGGCGACCATTATAGATACCGGCAATCATACCACGCTACCGCCTGCCCTTAATCTCCTCAGGTCACGCGACCATCCCCATCGACGCGACAGCACCTTGATCTCTTTCCACAACATCGATCATCAACGTAACAAGATAAGACCATGCTGGCTGATCTCAACATTCTCAGACTTGGAGGCTAGTCTTAATCCAACAGTAACTCAAGTTAGAAGAAGCATTCATTCAAGATTCAAGCCAACATCGTATATTAGAGCATTCCTAATGAGCGTGCCAGCCAGATCCAAAACTTCAACCATACTCCAATAACAGCCAGGAAAGGTGCAAGCAGCCCCATCCTAATGGTGGCAAATGGGGTGATGGGGATGACAGGGCGCGTGATCTAATAAAGATAGCATTTAGTCCTAATGCGCATCAAGAAGTAGCATCATACTCACCGATGACAAGGCGCAGAGGAGCCTCCTCAGCAAGACCATCACCAATTGTAAGCAGCTCTTCAAGACGGAAATGCTCCTCGATTCTCCTCCCACATGACGTCTGCCAGTATACCAAGGACCTCACGTTCGCAGGTAGGAAACCATGCTTGAAAATGTGGTTGGTCAGGTGAGCCATTATCTCGAACTTCGTCTCGGGAGTGTCGAGCTTGACACGCTGCGTCACGACTGCTCCAGTGGTGTTACGAAGATACACATAGCTGAACCAAACAGCAGGAGGCGCGTCGGCTATAGGTTGATAATTAACCCAAGTCGAAATCCTGAAACAACACATGAAAGTAGCCCACCTATGATCAGCCTCAAAGCCGTGTCGGGGCACTTCCCAACGCCTTGCTTCAACAGCTCTTCGATATCAAAGCTTCCCTTCACTTTCTGGCCATCACACTTCTCCCACCATGACAGCGACCTGTGCTTAGCTTCAACGAAGCCCTGGCGGAACAGGTGCTCCATGATATCCTCCAAGTCGCAGAGCTTCTGGTTTTGGAACTCAAGCTCGATGAGCTGAGCGGTGGCAGGTTTGTCACAGCGCGAGATTTGGTGGTAAGTCAACCAGAGTTCTGTGTGGGTCATGGCGGTAATCTTGGCGGGAAGTGGGCGTAAAACAAAAAGATGTACGTTGATGGCTTGGAGTGGGAGCTGTGGAGGTGATGAGACCAGTACGTTGCGCAAAAGCCTCTTTTATACTGAGGTTGGCTGTCAGGGCCACGCATACTAGTCTGTGAAAGCGGAGCACGTTCGGGCGCGAGACACCGCGAGTTTTGCCGGGAGTGTAAATTTCCATTTTGTCTGTCTGTGGTTCAGGGTTTTCGAGCTTCTGGATCGTGGCATGCTCGGTCTCCTTGGAGAAATCACTCCGCGCTTTTATCGATCACGGCGGATTGCCAGCTCAGCACTGACTCCAACCGTCGCGACGCCTGGATGGGTCATTTTCCATGTTGACCCTCAGAGGCTCCCTGAGACTCGTTGGCAGAACAAGTGCGAGTAGCGTGCTAACTTATCAAGACTGTCGAAAACGCGATAGATACACGCAGATGCGCGCATGGGAGCCAGGCCTTTCTTCCTGTCGTCCAATTTACAAGGAACTTTGTCCCTTGGTATACCATCTCACTTCAAAAATTCGAAGATTGAGCACATTGATTGACACGTCTGAGTCTGGTCAACCCTAGGGGCGCTTGATACAAGGAGTACGACCACTACACTTGTGTTTGGATGCTCTGATTCGTCGACTTTGAAAACCAAGAGCGTTTGTCTTCGAAATTTTGGCGTTGAGTTGGTAATCACTCGTGCAACTGAGGTTGTGACGTGTCTGTTGTACGCTGCGGAAGAACTGACCGGGTACTTCGGTTCACCCGTCTCCGCGAACATGGGCCAGCGTTGGACAATAGCCTTGGTCCGTTTCGAAGGGACCTCGCTTAAAGCGCTTAAGCCCCAGTCCAGCTTTCAGCTGGGCCACGTCATCTATCTTGAAAATAGCCGAAGAGCAGACCTGGAGATCACCGGACTGATATTTTGGTATATTCCTCAAAAAATTGAATTAAACAACTCTGACTATAATCAGCGCTTCAACTTTATGTGCTGCAAGGCTGGGTGCCACCCCCTCAGTTAGCCTTCGCTCTTGTCCAGGTCATGGTGCACTCTGACGATCCCAGCGATTTCATCACCACTGATACAAGCTGTCAGACAGCATCAGAACACACTCTCCAGAAACAAGGTAATCCCCCTAGACCTGCCCAGATCAACTGGACTAATTCTCGTACAGATAGACTGGTTGAGTGGCTGGAAAAGCACCCTAAACGCAGATATGTCCTCTTTTCAGATTCTACTGCTGTTGTGAAAGAAGAGAACCGAGAAGTGTCGAAGACTACCAAGTACACGAAAGCTTCATTGCATCGAAGGATAGCAAGACATGTTTTTAAACATGACTCTAGTGACAACCTCCGTATTGCGGTTGATCATCATCGCAAACGATTTGGCGAAGCAGTCCAAAATCGTCTCACAACATAAGTACATATATTCTCTCTCCATGTATCTGCTCACGTCCTGTTAGCCTCAGCAAAACATACAAGGGACACTTGCGTGAATTAGGGTCAACTGGGAGCGGCCTTATATCAGGAGACCCGTCTGATGATCAATTCAATAGTCCCATTGGTATGTTTTTTTTGGTTTTATTTACAGGTTCTATGTACTGATTTGAAAAGAATGTGTTTGGGCAAAGTGTCACGATCGTACCCATCTGACTCAGCTTTCTTATCTAATCGAGAGATAGAGACTCTTGTTTCACCTTATCTAATCTCTCTCTGATCTAATCTTATCTAGTATCACGTGATCTATTAGTAATACACATTACCAATCAGCCTCACTACATACACATGTTAGTTACCAATACGCTACGTCATACCTCCCCGTAGCCTCATGCTCTTTCCTATATAACTAGCACAATATCCATGTACATACCCCAGTTGTAGATTTACTCTTTTATACTTGCTTGTCGAAACACTTGTTGAGATTTAAGTCCTACGCTGCTCGGGTCACCGGCATACAGCTAGGGTCTTTACACAAAGTTCCGTTGGTGGGACAGCCTGAATGCATTCTGGAAGTCCTCTCCGAAGTATAATGCCAAACCGGCAACTGCTGTGCATGGTCAAGATCTTGCTACTCAGGCCACAGCAATCCTGTTCTCAATGAGAGGTGATGATGGGGCGATGGAACGTGGCATGAACCGCCACTTTCAAGAAGGAGGGTGGGACATGATGAACAACAATTCAGGTTATGGGGTTGACGGTAATCGGGTGGTGGCGACATATAGTAGGGATAACTACCAGCAGCAGCAGCAGCAGCAACAGCACTACGATGTCCCTCAGCATGGGAGCACGTCTCAGCATATGTTTTCTAGGTCCAATCCGTCACTTTCTCATCCGCCGCCTATTCCCCAGCAGCCACAGCATGGCAGCAACATATGCCCCTACATGTCCTCCCTTTATTACAATCCTCGAGGCACTGATCCCATTACTTCTGACCCATCACTGTCCAGTCTCACCATCAACAGTAACGGCTCGGACAACTCAATTGGCTCTTGTCATGCTGTATCTTCTGTTCCGTCCATGGTATCAATCCCATCTATTTCCGGCCACATGTGCCAATTGGAGCAACCGTGCACACCGATCTAATGCTCAGCCATTGAGGTGAGTGCAGCTCCTTTAGGTCATGGACAGTCGCCTATTCGGGGCCATTCACCTGCTCACAGTGGGCCCGTCATCACCCCTAGATCTTCAACTCCTACCTCAACTCGATCAAAGCGCACACGTGAGGCTGTCGAACCAGACGAGTCTGAGCCGAAGAAGAAACCTGAGCTGAAGCAAGTGAAGGGTAAGAAGAAAGAGTCGGACACTGAACGCTTGAAGACATTAATAGAACCTGTTCTCAAGGAGGATAAAGATGAGAGGGTATCAGAGCGTACTTTGAAGCAGGCAAAATACATCCACAATATGGTTGTCAAGCAGGGTAAAAACATTATCACCGCAAAGGAAGCTGATGCTCAACATCAAGCTGGCCTCCTTCAGCTGGCCAAGTTGCAGATATTCCGTGAAGGGAATGCTCAGCATACTCAGATAACCCTACAAGAGAATTCCCAGCGTACTCAGCTTGCTGTTGAGGACATGCAATTAAAGCGGTCCGCCCATGAACTTGAAGCACTGAAGATTCAGTACCGGATGGGTGTTACCAGGCCTATGAACATTCCTCAGATCTCACCCGAAGCGTCGCACTTCCCATCATCATCTGCATCTATTGACCCTGCCAGGGGTTCAACACTCTCCACGTCGGCTCCATTTGCTCCTGATGGTTTGGATCTTGAGTCCAACAACTCTGCTGGGGGCTCATTGCTCCTCATGTCGGCTCCATTTGTTCCTGAAAACCTGGACTTTGGCTCAAGTTCCAATACGGTAGTTTTTGGTATTGATGACCCCCATAGCCAGGCTATCAACAAGTACATTTCAGCTTTCGTTAGTGGTACTAGCGTCGAGAATGAGGAGTTATATGAAGGTGGGATTGGTGATGTCTGATGCTCGGCTGTTGGTTGGTTTTACTTGTCGGTTCTTTATGCCCTCATGGTCCCTATCATGTGTCCTCGTACTTTTAAGTTGCATATGTTGATATATTGAATACTTGTATGATGTTTTCATTGTTGTTGTATGTGCTTCTGTTGTTTTTCGTGATGGATAATGAATATATTGCTTTGTTGTTTTCGTTACAGGATATGATGTATTACCAGATGATACATCAATACAAGTGACTGTTAAAGAGTGAATTAAAAAGACTTTGCCTAAGATCCTGATTCGGATTCTCAGGAATTTCTGACTCTAGCTCATCAGTATCCATGTCTATATCCATTCCTCCATTGTCCTGTGCTCCTTGCTGCCAATCACTAGGAATAGTAATAGTATTCTCTGCCTGGTTGCCTTCAATGATAAGGTTGTGTAGAATGATACAGCAACGAATCCAGGCAACAGCAAACTCTAGTTTGTTTTCTGTGTTGATTTGTATACATAGTTCTTTGAGGGACTGGAATTGTATCTTGAGAAGTCCAATTGCATATTCACAGCGTATACGGATGCATGATAAATGGTAGTTAAATTGAGATTGCCTTGTAGTGAGGCTACGACCTGGTGGCTGCTTGAATAGTGCTACACACCAAGATGTGATAGGGTATGCAGAATCTGCCCAGATCCATTCATCTTTGTTCAGAAAGTCTTAATGGTTTTGTGATGTCAGAGTGTCTTGGAAGGCAGAGGAATCATGAGTGCTTCCTATATGCCCTAGACCATAATCTATGATCTCGAGATTATGGGGAAGAATAATAGCCTGGGGAAAGTTCAGATCACTTCCATAATTCAGAAGTAATATAAATTACCTGGCAATTCAAAGAGTAGTTGGATTTCCTATCAAAGAATGTCTCTCCAAAGTGGCTTGGTTTTTGGAAGAGAGGAATGTTGGTACCGTCAACTGCCAAACACCCATTTCTCCATTCTGCACAAACTTGATTCTCCACCCACGTTTTGGCAGCATCCTTCTCCTCTCAAGTAGGGGGACCAACAACCTCATCATGCAATGAGAGGATAGCAATCATACACCGATTGGTGCTATTCACCACTGTGCCAACAGAGAGACCTGCCCAGTCAGCAATATCAGCAGGTGTAAATCCATTTCCATAGTGGCCTAGACGGTTCAAAAACATGGAGAGTTGATGTTCAATAGGAGTTTGCAGTGTATTAGAACTATTGTGGAATATTGGGTGGTCACAGATCCTAGCTAAAATACCGTCAAAAGTTTCTGGTCGACATTGATTAATATGTTGGAAACATGTTGGATTGTAAAGACGTGACCACTCCATAAGAGGGAATTGTGATAGACGAGGTGCTTGTGGGTATGTTGTAAATACTTTTGTATGTTGCACCTGGTCTTGCAAACGGAGACATTCTGTCTGTTATTAATATTTGTATTTGATGTGCCTTGGGATGTACAACTACTTCCGCCTGCTCGGCAGATGATGTACCTTCCATTTTTACAAGGTATTAATACCTACCATAATATATTTAGTCAGAGGGAGACAACTGACTTACCTGATATGGGAGAATCTGAACGGACAAGAGAAAGCGGACTGCTTGGTGGTGACCCATCACGTGACCCATCTTCAGAATGGTCGGTGATGGTGACCGGCCTGTGGATTAGCTGCCGAAGGAGATCCACAAATGTGGTGTCGAGTTCCTCGAGACAACGCTGACAGATAGTGGGCTGGTGGCGAGACATGTTGGCATTCCGAGGTGCGTTTGGCTTGTCCATATATAGCTTACAACTCATGGTTTTCATGTTCAGCTTCGTGGTATACTCATTTTTTTGGTACAGCATTTCTATTTAATTTACACATTTGCCGTTGGTTAGGTGTGGTCACCAAGATGACAACTTTTGGTTACTTGCTTCCCCCCCTCCTAGAAATGGACCTTGAACGGGGCTAATAGCTCTGTTCAGAGCATCCTTGCTTAGCTACAGACTGTTTTCGCGTAGCTGCTGTACAGGCCACGTCATCGCTACCCGAATGGCCTTACCTCAAACCCTAGGGTAGTTTTGTGGATAGAAATCCAAAAAATATTTGTCGCAAACCCAAATTTGCGGAGGCGGATACTCAAGGGAAAGCTAGTATATTGAAGTGCCAATTCAATCCCTTAATCGATGGGGACGCCCCTCCATACTGATGACCCACTAGCAGCCCTGCTTCTAACCTTGAGGTTCCTCATGTTGTCCCACAGCATTGACGACATCTCTGACAACGACAATCAGAGCCAACAACTGTCTGGTGAAGGCCACAGCATTGCTAGGACTCTTACAAGTTGCAAGACAGGATCAGTGCAGACTCTTGCATCCCAAGGCAATCCCCCGGCTCCATCTCACATTACTTGGTCAAACAAATGTACTGATCACATAATAGATTGGCTTGAGAAACATCCTGTGCAACGTCAAATGCTTTTTTCTGATTCGTTATCTGTAGCTAGGGGAGAAAACTGGCCAGTTGTGAGGAACACCAAGAGTGTCAGGGTCCCGATCGTCAGAAGAATTGCTCGACATGTCTTCAAGAACGACTCAAAGGAAGAATTTCGTATTGCAGTTGACCATCACCGCAAGCAATTTGGAGAATCAGTGCAATCAAGACTCAACAGTACATATTTATATATTATTTTTAACAGACATAATGATATCAACATGATGAATACTTTTGAAGCCTCGGGAAAAAGTATAAGGAGTGTGTGCACAGCTTGTCAGGTACAGGTGCTGGATTGTCTGCTGAAGAGTTGGCTTCGTCGGGTTTTACCAACCCTATTGGTGAGTTTTGAATCAGTTGGGATTTCAGAATGGAAGCATATAAATATCTACATTTAGAGAAAGTGCGTGGGCAATTCAGATGGTGGGATCATCTCCATGCAATGTGGAAGTCATTGCCAAAGTATACATCTCAACCCGAGTTGTCCCTGCCTGGTCAAAATCTTGAAAGTAGTGCTATGTTATTGCTGTTTGGTGCAAATGCAGGTCAGGATCCCATGAACAACGGCGACTTCCAGAGCAATGGTGACTGGAGCCTCATGGAATATGAGGACAGTAGTTTAGTTCACGTCACAACACAGCATGCATCACCCTATGCCTCAGTAGCAGTTCACTAGTCAGCAGCAGCAATATTCGACCCTCCCTCAGCAGCAGTTCACTGGTCAGCAACAATATACTGGTCAGCCGCAGTTTACCGGCCAGCAACAATATGCTGGAGTTAGCACTCAGTCTTCTGGCGGGAACCATGTATATAGGAATCTGCTACCCTTTTCCACCCATCCCTCGTTTTCTACTGCATCGTTTGACAGTTTCAACTCCTCAACTCCTTCTGTACACTCACTTTCCTCACTCAATTGGCCTCGCATTCTTGCACCAACCCCCAGTACACCAGCCACAATGGCTTCACAATCTGATCATTCGCTTGTGACAGGACCATCCACTACTTCGGTTCTTACGTCGCCATCCGCCACATCTCTTCCTGGCACGAGGTCTGTTACCGCTATTCACCGGCAGAGTCTCCAAGCGAGCACCAATGCAATCCGGGGCTCTCAAGGTGCTTCCTCGAGTCAGATGCCTGTGCGAGGTGAAGATGAATCCCCGGGTCAGACACCTTCACGAGCATCCAAAAAAGGCAAAGGGAAACGGGCGCGTGTTGATGAGGCACCAAACAACCCAGCAGATGATGTATCGCGCACTCGCCCCTCCGAAGCTGATCAGATGGAAGATTTCATGCAGCCAATCATTCAGTCTGCAAAAGAGCAAGAGGCTGCAGCATTGGAGGTCAAGCGGCTGAAACTAGTTCATGGAAGCGAAGTCATACAGTACAAGAGTCTCAAAGTGCAATCTAAGATAGACGGGACGAAGAAACAAGAACAGATTGAGATTGCTAAGTTGCAGGTGGAGCAGGACCTGAAGATGGAGGAGATGAGGCTGAATACACACAAGATGGAGAACGACGCAAAGAACGACATGGAGATGAGGAAATTTGAGTTGTTGGCACTTCTGGGCGTATTTGGAAACCAAGGCGGAAACCAACAACTTAACATGTTACATGGCCTGCTAGGATCCTCGGTCCATCTTCCCTCTCCCCCTGAGTTTGCTCCCTTGCAGACTGCAGACATATCTGGGGTTGCGCCGTCATCACCTTCAGGTTTCACTGATATGCAGAGCCTCTTGCAGACCCTAACTCCCTCTGCTGACATGAATTATGATGATGCTGATATGCCTAGTCAGTACGCATCCACCTCATCCGGCCATCATCATCATCTGTCAGCCCAAACACCATCCATTTTTCAAGGGGACTATCACAGTGGGGACACTATTTATGATGAGAACAATGTTATTGCATAACTTTCTGCTTGCGTGTAGATATGTCCATGTTGTTTTACCAATGTCTAGTGTTATATGTATGCTTACAATGTATGAATGAATGGTTATGCTGTGTTCTCTGATTTATCTATATAAGTGGCTAGCAAAAAGAGCGGCTGAAAGGGTGTCTCTAAGGTTCTCTGATGTGGCATCTATTTCAAGGTCCTCCTCCTGGTCCGATTCTTCCAAGTCCCCATCAGTTGACCCTTCTAAGATATCATTTAGTTCTCTCCGCCAGTCCCTGTCTATCCTACTTTTATTTCCCTCTATTTCTATGATCATATTGTGAAGAATGAAGCAACACCAAATCCAGAGTTTGGTGTAACTGAATCGGTGAACTGAGCTGACTTGAATTCGGAGTTCCTTCAGTGACTGTAAGCGAATTTTCAGAAGTCCGATTGCATGCTCAGACCGAATGCAGACATGGGATAGGTGACAATTGAAGTGCCGCTGTCAGCGCATCAGAGCCCCATTAGGTGGCTGCTTGAAGGGTGGGACACATGTGGCTGAAAGTGGATAAGCTGAGTCAGCCCAAATCCACTCCCCTGGTCCCAAAAACAATTCTGGTTGCGTTCTCAGGCCAGTGTCGAGAAATGCTGAAGCATTGTGGGTACTACCCGTGTGACCAACACAATAATCAACAATTTTCAGATTATGTGGGAGAGTCACAACCTATATTTATTACATATAAAAATCAGAACATGAAAAACAGTTTCTATCAAATAAGATTACCTGTGCATTAATGGAATAATTAGACTTCCTATCATAGAAAGTCTCTCCATAATGGCTAGGTTTTTGAAATAAATTGAAGGTCGTCCCATCTATGGACAAATACCCATTTTGCCAAGCAGGACAGACCTGTTTCTTGACCCAACATTTAGTGTCTTCTTTTTCAGCGGGAGTTGGTGCCTTAATGACATCATCATGGAGGGAGATGATCGCAATCATGCACCGCTTTGTGCATAACTCAACGCCTCCCACGGAAACACCAGACCAATCGGCAATGTCAGCCACTGAAGTCCTGTTGCCATAATGGCCTAATCGGGTAAGGAATATGGCCAATTGGACCTCAACCGGAATTTGCTCATTATTTAGTGGTAAATAAGGTGGTCGCGTACTCGGGCAAGTATTGCGTCAAAAGTGGAGGGATATACCCTCAATTGATGTCGGGTCTGATTGTGGTTTCTGGACCATGCCAGTAAATTAAATTGGGGTTCATGTGGTGCAGGTGGGTGCACTGTGAAAACGCGTGTTTTCTGAATTTGCTGACATAAGTGGCGGTATTTAGTAATCACCAGCCTAATATGGCTAATCTTAGCGCGTCCAATACGCAGCTCTGATGGGATCCTGCTTGATATAGAAGATACCGACATCGATACACTATGATTACCTGTGCTGTCAGAACTAGCGGAGCTGATGCTCTGATCAGATGGTGAGGCTGAAGAGTGGATAGAGAGGTTGTCCTTGTCGTCATCATCATCATCATCGCTGACAGTGCGACGACAATGGATTAGTTGGTGATAATAAAACTAAGTGAAACTACAATAGATGTTAGTTTAAGGTGATCTCTAATAAATGTAATGTAACATACCTCAGCCGCTGCCCGATGTCATGCACCAAAGTTGATTGGTAGCATAGACAGGTGTCAATAACGAAGCGAATATTCAAAATACTTGCCTTTGCGCCACACAGGCACAGTGCCACGTGGAATAGTAATTAATATTGCCTTTTTCGAACTTGTGGCTGATCAGCACCACCTCTATTAGGCAATCCAGTCACGCTCACCTTTGCTTTTCCATCCGGTACTTTCCGCATTTCGGCATTTCGGCAAATTTTCGCGTCGCCACTGGCTACAGATTGCATTGCGCCCTCGCTTTTGTTGTTTCCCTTACTCCCCTTCCTTTGCCTAGCCCCACCATGGGCCCCTTCCTCTCCTTTTTATTCTCACCTGACGGTCGTTTCTGGGTCCCCATTCTAATCCACTTTTTCGTCACCTCCACCCTCCTCCTCCTCATTTTATTTGCACCCCCACCATTTCTGATGTCACCACTTCCTATCCGCTTCCGTCGCCGATCCGTTGACTACCACGTGCCACTGCTGATATCAGCAAAGCCCCGGCGGCCGGTTCAAATAGGGCAACAGGTCCATCTTTATGATGTCGATCTACCATCATATACTATCAAAACATTGGTCGCTTGTCTTGCCTGGTTGGAGCGCGGGTGGGTAGTTTTTGAGCTGGAGAAGGTTCATCCCCTTGCGTCGCCCATGTTCATCGCTGTCCCATTCACTTGGGTACACTTATCTTTTGTCCATTGTCTTCGCTACAGCTACACCTACCACACACTGCCTGGGACTCACTTGTTCCAAATTGGAACTACTCCTCTCCCTCCCTCGTTTGATCAGGTGGTCCAACACAACCAGTCCATTGGTAAGGCCATGGAACTGTCGGATTTGGACTAGGTGGTGGACCGGCTCCAGTTTCTTTTTCTTCAGCAGAACATTCATTTACAGTGCGATTATTTTTGATTTTTGAATCATTTTTATGGACACATTTTTTAGAATGCCTGACTGACAATAAAGGAACTGTGTTGATACTGATAGTGTTTTGCCTTGCTTTTTTTTACTGCATCTTCCCATGACATCATGATTTTCCTACTCTCTTTTTGCTATTGGACTTTACTTTATGGCTATACAAACCTGTGACATTACTCACAGCATTCATTGTTCTATCCCTTTCTTTTCCTTTTTTTGACAATCTTATCCTGTACTACCTATGCAGGATTTGTCAGCGTACATTCCTTCCTTCATATTCTTTCTCATTCTTTTTGCACAGCTATACTGTGCATAGCCTACTTTTCTTTTACTATATAAACCCCTGTATTTTACCTTGTAAAAAAAAACAAGAACTCCAATCCAGACTTCTTCTCTACTCTCAAGTTCACTACTCTGCTACTTGTGATCCAGTGTGGTCACAACACTTCCCACTTCTACCACTGTCAACTGCTGTCATTGTCACTTCCCACTTTTGAAGTCATTGTCATCCCTTTCAATTAGAGTCCTTCTGAGCACTACTGTTTGTGCGTCAGGAGCCTGCTATCACTGGGATCCTCGTCATATTGTCGTTCTCAAACCTACCTTGTGCTACGATTAGCAAGGTAGTGCTCGTCTATACTCGTCACAAAGCCCCTATCCTTCTATAAATTCAACTATCCCTCCTCCTCAAAACCCACACTCATACACCTCTGGGTTTTACTTTGAAGGATCTTTATATGTACCACCCCACGAACAACCAGACCACTCCACTGTTCTAGGAGGCAAAGCCCATAAACAAGTTCCATGGAATCTGGGAGGATTGTGTGTTAGTTTGTTTTGTGTGTGGTTTTCTAACAGCAGTTCTCATCATCGACAACGAGAGGCTATAGAAACGACTGAGGTATTCCTATACTAAACCCCCTACTACTTATAGTCGGAGGTGCTACTCGCTACAGTATAATGACTCCTAGGAGTACAATTGTGCTCCTAGGAGAACAATGGTTACTCCATGGAGTGGTGGCTATGCTCCATGGAGAACAATGGCTGCTTTTGCAGAGACCGGGTTTATCCGGTTTTGTCACTCCCACTCGAGTGCAACCGTAGTCCCATAGCTTTAGAGAATTTCCAGTGTTTTTCATGAGTGAGGGGTTTAGTGAGAATGTCTGCAACCATATCTCCTGTAGGAATGTATCTGATTACTGCCTCTCCCTTTGATACTAAGTCATCTCGGATAAAATGATATTTCCGTTGAATGTGTTTTGTGTGAGCACGGAACTGTGGATCTCGTGTAAGAATGATAGCTGCTTGATAGTCACAGTGCAATGTTGTAGGTCCATTTTGAGCATGTCCAATTTCTTCAAAAAATGTCTGAAGCCATGCAAGGTGTTGTCCAGCATTGCTCAATCCAATGTACTCTGACTCTGTGGAGGATAAAGCGACCATGTTTTGTCTTTTGCTTGTCCAGGAGATTGCTCCTCGGATGGTGATAAAGACAAACCCTGATGTTGATCAAGACGTGTCTGGGTCTCCAGACCAATCTGCATCTGAATATCCATAGAAATCCATGTCCATGGAGACATCTGTGCCATCATAACGTAGTTCCATGTCCCTGGTTGCTTTCAGATATCGGAGGACACATTTTGCAGCTTCCCAGTGATGGCTCCTTGGAGCTGAGCTATGCCTGCTTAGTATTCCAATGACGTAGGCAATGTCTGGGTGGGTTCCGAGCATGGCATACATGAGGGAGCCTACAATTGAGAGGTATGACACTTGACGCCCTTCAATATGCATCTCGTGTTGCACAATATCTTCCCCTGGAGCATTTGCAAGGAGTTTTGATCCATGGGCCATTGGTGTCCATACTGGTTTGCAGTTCTTCATTCCAGTACGCTCCAGGACTGTGTCAATGTATTGGCGTTGCAATAGGGATATTGTTTTGTTTGAACGATCACGTTGGATTTCTATTCCGAGGATGTATTTTGCTTCTCCAAGGTCCTGCATTTTGAATATGGATTCGAGTTTGGCTTTTGTGATATCCATGAATTTTCGGGATGAAGCTCCTAGGAGGAGGTCATCTACATAGACAACAACAAAGCATATTTGTTTGTTGTCCCGGAATACATAGAGACATGTTTCTGCATTTAGTCTTGTGAAACCGAGCTCCTGGAGCTTGCGATCAAAAGTTTTGTTCCATGTACGACCAGCTTGTTTTAACCGGTGGATGGATTTCTTCAATCTCCAGCAGTATCCAGGTTGGATAGGAACACCCCCTGGAGGAAGCATGTACAGTTCTTCTTCAAGTTCTCCATTGAGATAAGCTGTGGATACGTCCATTTGATCAAGTTCTAGGTCGTACTTTGCTGCCAGGGCTAGAATAATTCGGATTGACTCTAAGTTTGCAACCAGAGCAAAAACCTCATGGTAATCAATCCCCTCCCTTTGAGTAAAACCTTGTGCAACAATCCGGAGTTTGTATCTCTCAATGTTTCCGTTTTGATCAAACTTGATCCAGAACACAGGTTTTGATGTGATGGGTTTTACTCCCTTCGGAAGTGGAACAGTGTCATACACTGCATTAGTATTGAGACTTAGGAGTTCCTCCTCCAAGGCAGACTTCCATAATTCTCCATCCGGACGTGATAAGGCTTCCTTTAGTGTCCTTGGAAGGTCTGTGTTAGATGGACCGGTACTTGCTATTCCAGCAAAGAATGTCTCCTCTGTATCAGATGTTTCTTCATGAACCTCAGGAGTGTTAGGTTTCTCCATGGAGTTGTCATGCTGCTCTTTTCAAGACTGTTCCTCATCTAGAGTCCTTTGATAATCTCGGTTTTTGTCTGCAGGAAAGGTCTGGCAACTGCTTCTGCATACTCCTAGGACTTCAGCAGGCATGACTGCTCTTTTAGGAACTTGTGCAGATACTCCAGGGAGTAGACACATTTGTGTATTTGTTGCCCCACTCACTCCTGAAGGTGTTGAATCACTCCTCGGAGGTGTTGGATGACTCCTTGGAGGTGTTGTATGCCTTCCAGAAGCTGATCCAATAGACAGGCTGTCTAGCTGTATTCGGACTTTTTCCACATCAGCTGGCTGTATGTTGAGGGGCTGTCCTCCCACTGACTGTAACTCTACTTTGGCTTTCCGTTCTGAAGATGGCCAGTGTTCAGGTCTTGGTTGTAGAGACTGTTGTGGAGGGTGTCTTAGCTGATCAGGTGCTCCCACTGCTCTCGGAACATCTTCATGCTAATATGGTTCCATTGCTTGTGAAACATCTTCTTGGAGATGTGGTTCCATTTGTAATTCATTTGGATCTCGGATCCGAGGGTCAGGATCATCCTCCTCCAATGTTTTTTTGGTCTGGATAGTGAGCATTCTCTGGAATGAGTCCCTCCCACTGATCTGTGCTAGTGTCTGTGTTCCAGAGAGCAGTGTCATCCTTTTGTACCTTTCCGGATTCATTGAATATGACATGCCGACCGGAAAACACAGTCCGTTTTTCAGTGTCTAGGAGTTTGTAGGCTTGCTTTCCATGTGTGTAGCCAATCATTATGGCTTTGCGCCCCTTGGAGTAAAACTTCCCTTGCCTTTTGTCTTTCGGAATCAAGGCATATGCTTGGCATCCGAAAGGGCGAAACAAAGTTGGATCAACTCTCCTTTTAAACAGTATTTCATATGGGGTCCTTCCATGGAGTCCTGATGCTGGGCTGCATGCTGTGATATATGCAGCTGTTTGCATGGCATCTACCCAAAATGACTTTGGGAGCTTGGAATCATGGAGCATAGTGGTTGCTAATGTAGCCAATGTCTGATTCATGCGTTCTGCAATGCCATTTTGTTCCGGAGTATCTGCAGCTGTAGTTTCTTGGATGACACCATCTCCTCGGAGTTGATTTTTGAATGCATTGCCAGTATATTCTCCTCCCCCATCGCTCCGGAGGAATTCTGTGTATAGTGGAGTGAAGTTTTCTTCTCCCAAATGAGTCTGGAAGAATGTTTGGACATCTTCTTTCCATTGCTTGTATCGTTCCAGTGCTTCACTTTTATGTTTTAGGAAATATATCCATGGAAATTTGGAGAAATCATCTACAATGATAATCCAGTACTGGAAACCCGCCCTGGAAGTTGATTTGATTGGTCCTCCAACATCTGTGTGCACAATTTGTATGGGGCGCTTGGCTCGGTTTCCTCCAGTGGACTTGAAAGGTAATTTCTTCCATCTTTCCTAAAGCACAAGGTTCACAAAACTCTGGGGTTCCGGTAAGGGTGTCTATGTCCTGGAGCTGTCTTTTTGTAACCATTCATTGCAAGCAGTCCATTCCAATGTGTCCCATTCTCCTGTGCAATAAATTTACATCTACTGCTGCAAAAGCTGACTTCGGGTTGATTTCGGGTTTTGCTTGGATGTGATAAAGTCCTCGCTTGTGTAACACAGTGAGGATAAGTTCCTCCTTTTTCCGAACTTCACAAGCATTTGACCCTGCTGGAAAAAGTGTTGATAACCCCGTTTTGGACAATTTGTGGACAGAGATGAGTGCTAACGTGAAGTTTGGCACAAGTAAGACATTTGACAGTGCAATATTGTAGTCTTTTTTGCCAACAGTTGCTTGTAGGATTACTGTTCCAATGCCAATGGCATTTACAGAGGATTCATCCCCAAAACTGATTGTCCTCGGAGGATGCAGAACATGGTATGTTCCTGGCTCAAACCAGGAGCGGTGAGGGACCATGTGGGATGTTGCTCCAGAGTCAATAATAATTGTTGTTTTGGTCTTATCGGGTTCCGACACAAGGTAAGCTTGAATGCGTTTAGCAAGGGGCTTGGAAATATGTACATGTTCCAATGCAATATGACTCTGTTCCTCCTCGGAGTCAGATCCAGATGATTGCTCCGCCGTATTTGCCTTTTTCTTCTTCCTTTGACCTTTTCCGGCTGACTGAAGTGTTCGACACTCCGAGGTGTTGTGTGTTTTGGCTTTGTGGAAGTCACACCACTTCTCCTCGGATTTGAGTGCTGTTTTGGAACCTCCAGGGGCCTTCCCTGACTGTCGTGCAACTTCTGCAGTGATCCGGATCTCAACTGCATCAAAGGTAAGTTTATTTTCTTCAATCGTGTTGATTACCGATGACTGAAATATTTGCCATTCAGGAGTGCATGGGAGAGATTGGAGAAGAGCGAAGGCCATGAGTTTGGTATCAACTCCTAGTTTCATTCCGGAGAAGTGTGAATCAATTGTCTGGATTTTTGCAATGTGGTCCTGGATAGGTGATGTCCCATTCCAGGACAATTTGGTGAGTTGCTGGAATGAATAGAAGGCCGAGGCAATGTTGGATGTCTGATGGAGTGAGACAAATTTATCAAATAACTCCTTGGAGCTGGTGAGGTCTCCAGTCCTCATTAGGACGGCATCAGAGATATGGTCCTGGATGATTCCATGTGTCTTCTTATCCTTAAGTATCCAGGTGATCTCAGGATCCTCCGAGGTAGGTTTTCCTGGTGAGGGCTTAAGCTCCTCTCCAGTAACAACCCGGAGAACTTTTTCCCGACGTAGCTTTGAGATGATCCGGAGTTTCCATATCTGAAAATTGTTGGGTCCAGTGAGAAATGGACATGCGGATGTATCACGTGCTGTGGTTATGGTTCCGAGGTTGCCGTTTCAAATAAGAATTATTTCCTGCTTAGCTTTTGCGCACCAGGGCTCATAACCTAATAAAACTAAGTGAAACTACAATAGATGTTAGTTTAAGGTGATCTCTAATAAATGTAATGTAACATAACTCAGCCGCTGCCTGAGAGGCTATAGAAACGACTGAGGTATTCCTATACTAAACCCCCTACTACTTATAGTCGGAGGTGCTACTCGCTACAGTATAATGACTCCTAGGAGTACAATTGTGCTCCTAGGAGAACAATGGTTACTCCATGGAGTGGTGGCTATGCTCCATGGAGAACAATGGCTGCTTTTGCAGAGACCGGGTTTATCCGGTTTTGTCAGGTGAAGGATTTTTTTAACGGTTTTATCTAACTGCTGGCGCCGTTGCTGGCGGATAGTCGGACGGTTTTGAGTGAGAGCTGCGGGTATGATGGGGGTAGATTAGCATTTTTCAAATCTCATTTTGATCTTATATATGAGGTAGAAGATGTATTTTCAGTGTATTCTCCATTTTGTATTTCTAAACCTAAATGGAATCTACCCTGAGTTATTCCTCGGTTATCTTTACCAAACGCCAGGGGCTTTGCTTCGTTAGTCTTAAAATCCTCTCTGGAGGACTTCCCCCCAGCTTCGCTTACACTCTGAACGCAGCTAATACTCTACTGTCGTTAACCGTCAGCTTGGATGGGGGGGGCTATTCGGACGTCACAGAGGTCACACAAGCCAAGTTAGAGCTCCTCTCGGCACTATCAGTGTTTGAACATGATTTTGAGTGTGGCGCACCTGAACTTTTTGAAACTGAGATTGCAGTACCTTAGTAGAGTGTTACTTTCTCGAAAGTCACGCACATGGAAGGAACTTGCTTAATAATTCAGGATTTTGTGCTAGGAAAGTTGGAGTAAGTAGTAAGAATATATAGAACTACTATGGGTTGAGTTGTTGAGGAAAAATGATAGTGGAACATATGTTTTCAGAAATGTCCGAATAGCCCCCCCATCCGAACTGACAGTTAACGACAGTATACTATAAAAGCACATTCAATAAGGGGACAGACGGGTCTTCAATGTTGTGCAAGCAAGTTGTACCACTCACGACTAGAAAAGGGTCGGATTGATCCATATCACCACACGGTAGGGTTACTAACTATCTTTTATAATCGCTGCAAGGTGTGGTGCC